GTTTATATTATTTTGCAAACAGGGCCTGTTTGTAATCGTTATGTACAAATAAATCATCTATCAGGCAAGAAAAACAAACCGAAAGAGCCGAACAGCTACGACCGCTGACTTAAGCCACGATCTTGTCAGTCTTGTCTGTGCGTTCATTGAAGTGAGCGCAGAGCATCGATTTTGCTATAAACCTAACCTCACAGTTTTAAAATCCTGTATGATGTTGTCAAGATCGTCGATAATTGTTTTGTGCTTTGGTAGAGATTTATAACCGTTTATTCCCTGACGTAAGTTTACATGAAACAGATGAAGATTTGCATACACATAGCACACACTGCATGCAAATTATTTTAAAGACACGCTTTTAGTTTCCGGGCTCACTGGGTTATGAAAAATGTTTTTTTTTTCCAAAGGTTATTGCAATATTCAAACTTATTCACCTTTACTGGTTTAAAATGGAACAAACTCTTCGTGGATTTGGCGTTACTCGCTTCACGAGTTCTGCTACTTGGCTGAGACGATCTCTTCATTCCAAGACATTTTCGACGCTTCATAACGGGAAAACTAAAAAGTGTAGACCCGGGTAGACCCCGAAATTTACAAAGAGGAAAGGTAATCCGAAAATAATAATAAAATTCGTTAAAACTGCTAACAGTAACCAGCAATGAATCCAAGAAGAACGGCGAAAATAACACTCAAACCATCATGGCGGCTCATGCACATGACCGAGCAATTCTAACTTGTCCGAAACGCTCAAGAAATCAAAATATTTAAAAGCAACGTAACTAATATCAAGATAATATGTTCCAACAACTTTCCACGGTGGTATAGTGTCGAAATACCTACACAAGCTTGGAGAAAGCGAAACTTTCACCATATTCACCTCTGAAAAAGGCTCGTTCCAAGCGCGAAAATCACTCTACAAATAACGCTTTCGAAACGCATTCTGATTGGTCGCATGTCGTGACGCATACCGAGTCACACCGCCTGGGCAACCAAGAACAAGCTCATAACACACTGTCCCGGAACACCCCTTGCCCCCACAAGAATCACATGGCCAACAGAATGCATACCTCCATCGATTCATCGATGTTAAGTTTATCTTCGATAGTGCACGTTTAGGGTTGTTCGCATCCGCAAATATTCTCCAAATAGCAGATGTCTTCTTGGTGTTCTTGCCATGTTTTTAGCTATTTTTTCGCCTAGTTCTTACTCTTGAAACGAGAGAAATGTCCGCCGTTTTTCAAGTTCACAACTAAAACAACTCAACCTCGTCCCCAGGTCTTCTCGGTTAACGGTGCATTAACCTGCACGAACGCTGCATTTTTGACGTCATTTCCTCGCTAAACACAAAATTCTTCCAAATTTGGTCATCACTAACTGGTTATGGTGATTTGAACGTGTGCTTTTAGCCAATCAGAATTGGGGAAATATTTTAAATGAATAGTAATAAATTTTCAGTACATTTTATATCATTTAAAATGCGAGATGGTGGTCAGAAAATACACAAATGACAAAACGAAAAGAATGAGGAGTATTCACGTCTCCGTCTCGAGCTCCACCCACGCTTCGCGCTTGCCTTTGCTTGCATCAAAAAGTTTTTATAAGGGGATGATCCTATCTCAGGCGCGGATCTAGGATAAATGCTGACCGATTTTTTAAACGAGCGCCGAAAGGATTAGCTTCTAGGGGGGGTCTGGGGGGATGCACCCCCGTGAAGTCTTTTGGATTTTAACTCCTTTCCTGGGTTTCTAAGTCATTCAGACAAGATATTGCCAGATCTTAACACGAAAAGTTTTTTTTCATTAAAAATTTACAGGCATTTATTTATGAAAAATCTGACCGATTTTCGTAAAACGGTGGGAACCGGTGTGGACCCAAGCCTAGCCTGTTCCAGGCTCCGAAATAGTGGTGAAAGTGAAAAATCGTTCAAAAATAAGAAAACGCGCGCACCTCCCCCTTTGCCAAGTCGTGCGCGTCTTATTTTCGCTTTGCTCTCGTTTAACACGTCCCCACTATACTATCTGAGAGCCTGGCACAGGTTAATCCGATCCACGCCCGTATCTAGGGCATGGAATGGGATCCGTTATCAATTCAAGAAGAAAGAATAACTCCTTGGGAAATGTCTATGTAATGTAATGTCTATTAATATGTAAAGATGCCTAGATCCTAGCGCCATATATTTCCTGTATTCAGTTTACATACAGGGTTGTACTTGTCCCTAGCACTAGGGTCTTCCTAGGGGTGCTTACCATTTACACAAACCACCCGGGTGGAAATTCGGTGCATAAACATAAAACTATAAAATTTGACGTGGTGGGACGACGAACCGCTTCAAACTATACCCAAATCAGCTGAGCAGATTAAAAAGAGTAGAAAAATTACTTCATCGCAAAACACAGCCCATATCCTCTGAAGCTTCCCAAGCGGAGTGGCGCGAACCATATGATTTTCCAACCGGAATTTCCAGTTTTCATAAGTATAGGGTAAGTCTGACCCCTAGTATCAGGGTCTTCTTATCTGAGAGGTAGGAAGATCCTAGCATAAGGAGGATCCTAAAACTTTCGCCAGGAAGATGCTGGTACTAGGGACAAACCAGACCAAACCAGAGCCGGGTCGTTCACAGGCTAATCACGGCAATATAGGCCGACAATTTCGTTTGGCGTTAGCAAAAGACGTCCAGTTTTAAAGAACTGCCAGCTGCTGCTGAAAGGCAGTTATCAACGCTAACAAAGAGCAGACGCCAGGGCCTGAATGGCATGTTTGTTTGGCTTTCTAGGATCTTACTAGTCTCCTTCGCAGCCAGTTTTATGGTCGTCACGCAACGCTCCTCCAAAAGGACCGTTGCGTGAGAAGCCTAAAAACGGCTGCGAAGGAGACGAGGATATTCCTCCTTCCATGTAAACAACCCCTTAACTGATCTAAAACCCGTTGAAATGATTTCGTTTGTTTTACAGTGATTTCTGTCCTTTACTAGGAGAGGCAGATTCAAGAAACTCATTTACTGATTTGAAGAAAAAAGACACAACTTAAATTGGAAAATTAATTTATTATTCTATCAATGTATAAAATTGAGAAAAATAATTTACTTGGTTACACAGAAACCAAGACAATCACGGAAATTTCCTGTACTCTTCAACAAGGAAATTTCTGCTATTTGATTCGTAGATTATATTAGCGCTGGGACGTCCTTTTAAATTTTCACATGCCTTTCATATGGGACCCGTTTCTCAGAAGTCCCGATAATTCACGGCTTGGGAAGATTGTTTTGTAAACATTCAAGGTCGAGGTTTCAATAGTTTTGCAGATAATATGATAAAAGTACCAGTTACAAAACAAAATTGACTGACTTTTTAGTAAGGATACGCGCTTTCATTCTTTATATTTTGAATTGAATATTTGATTTAGGGCCCCACAACTCGAAAGTCCCTTTAAGTTAAAGGGACTTTCGAGAAACGGGCCCCTGGAGACATGCGCTTTGAAACTTCGTATGACTTGTTTGCAGCCAATGTCAAGACGGTCAGGTTGGTTGTCAAAACCAAGTCTTTCCCTCCACTGCATGGCAAGTAAATTCCCCGAAGTGTTTTTGTCAACCAATATGGCCGTCTTGTCAAGTGATTGCAAACCAAGAATTACCAATGAGAACATTAATCAATTAATTGTAGAATAACCAGTCTCCTGAAACTGGTTAAATGGGATATGCCACACTCCCATCAAAATGGGGTGCTGTTTCCATCACAAGCTTTTCCCCAGCGTTACTTTAATGTCTTCTTTTTCCATGTACTTTTTTTCCGGTAGGAAGTGGGACCAACGCTGGCAAGGCTAAAGCTTGAAACAAGAATTCTAGATCTGAAGCCATTTCAGTTCTTAATATGGAACTCAGGATAAAACGACGAAAACAGCAAATGGGAAGGCACAAAAACAGTACAATCGGTGCGTAAAGACACGATTATTCATTCATATTCTCTCTCTAATATCTTCAATCATTTCTCCTAAAATTCAGACGCTGGACAATTCATCAACACAAGACAAAAGTCAACAAATTAACACAGCGACTCGATAACCAAAACTTTTGTTTCCAAGCGAAGTTTTCGCCTTTACCGTTGTGGTAACTTATAATCCATTTTAAATATGTTGGGCAACAAAAAAACAGTCTTATGCAGAATAGCCTGCTGTATTTTGTTCATTTTGATATACCACAGGAAAAATACAAATATTTGAGGGTCAAATTCCGAAGCGTGACAATTCATTATATGAGTAGCTTTTTTTTTCTTTCGTAATATAATTATATTTTTTGTCTTGTAAGTATTTTTTGTTTTTTTCTTGTTTGTTTGTTTTTTACTTATTCATTTTTTTTTTTTTTTTTTTTTTTTTTTTTTGCATCCAATAAGTTTTCAAGGTGATGCAACGAAAAGGCGTTGTAGCAAAGGTGATTAGTTGCGTGGGCCGTATTTTAGAAGTGATAATGAGATGATAATGAGATGAGAAATACGAACGATGAAAAATAAAACTCGAATAAGCAGAAACTGTTCGGGGTGTTCCAATGACTGGAAGAGAAACAGCGCATACGCGGAATATGGATGGAAAACGCTAATACCAGGAAGGGTGGTCTTTTTACGTGAGTAAGGGACCACCACTTTTCAATATCCGAACCCCGAAACGTATTTATGTAAAATTTAATAGCTTTTGCTATTTAAAATCTACCGCGTGCCTCCCCTATCAACACCTCTTCTTCCCCGGTCTCCCCTACCAAGGCCACCCATGCCCGAGTCACCCCTAGCCCGCGTTGCACCCCTACCTCGGTCACCCCTACCCCAGTTTCCTCTACCCCGGTCACTCCCACCCCTGCCACCACTACCCCGGTTGCCCCTACCCCGTTCTCCCCTGCCCCGATTGTAAGAATCTTTCCTTGGGTCGAAAGACCGCCTATCGAGCGAGTTATCAAACGTTCTAGGATCTGTGCCGTCAGTTCTTTGGGAACTTCCTCTTCTGTGCGTAACGGTACACCAAGCACCGCTGCCGTTACTATTTACACTTCCAATGCTGCTTTCTCCTCTTTCGCTACGCATGGAACTATCAGAACTATTTGTATCTCTACTAGTAGCTCCACTTTCCCGAGTGTGAGTTTTACCGTTCCGTTCAAAGCGTTTGCTGGAAGAGTCACTGCTTTTTCTTGAAGTGTTCCGCAAACCTCCTTCACTAGCAATCGTACACTCATTTGTCCTTTTAGTGTCTTGAAAGTGCGCGCTCCTTGCCGCATACTTCGAGCCGCTGACACCTCGTCGATAACCCTGATCCCAACCGCGTCCCCCTCGGGAATTTCTGCCTCTGCCTCCCCTCCCTCGTGCTTGCCGATGCTCCTGGTTTATTCTTGACCCTTGCCCAGTTCCTTGTGGAAATGCAGGTGGAGAAGAAGTCGAGCGAGGTTTAGTATTACTGTCTGAGATCCAACTTGCATCCCAATTAGGAGAATGGCCTGTAAATAAAAACGAAAAATTGAAATCGTTGTCATCTGACGAATCAGACGGGTAGTATTGTATACGCATAGATCTTCAAAACTAACGAATAAAACGAAAATCCGCTCCTTGGGCTGATCAAACCTGAGTTAAGAAGTCAACCTGTGTTAACCGTTCAAATGGCGCCAAAGGTAAAATACGAGATATTCACCAAGCGTGAGGGTCAATAAGGACGAAAAAAAAAAAAAAAACGAGGCCAACATCAAGCCATCTGGACAGAACAAGATTGGTTAAGAAAAAAATTGTTACATGGCCAAAGGGACTGCGTACGACCACAGAATTATTTGATAGTAACGTCGGCGTGCTTACTAGTTTAAAATACAAACCTCTCTCAGACTGCAAGCCAGCTGACTCACACCAAGGATTGTTGTTTAGCCGGCTTTGCAAACTATAGGCACTAGAAGAAGAAACCACTCTTTGCCGACTTTCTGAAGGCCTCTTCGTAGGACTCGGAGAACAATTTAAGGCTACTTTCTGGGCCCACGTCACTGGGAATGGTTCCAGACTTTCCTGCTTCGGACGAACCGCGTTCAATAGGGGTTGGGGGAGACTGGAGAGGGACGAGCGTCTTGAACTTGAGGTCTGGTAATACAACAAGAACGAATACAACCAGGTTAGGTCAATTGTACACAATAGTCGTTGGAGTACTTCAATAATTGATTTTATAGACAAGGGACAATTTGCAACGACAATCTTTTCGCAACTCAGTATTGCAATATTGAAACAATCTTGTAACTATCCATAACAATGTTGAAACGCTGTGTTACGCTGAAAACCGTCATTGCGATTCGTCCTGTGTAACATCACATTTAGAAACCTCGACGGCGACAGAATTGAGAATGTCTAAAGAGAAATTGGTAAAATAAGCAAGCAAGCTAGGAAATTCAGAGAACCCCCCCCCCCCCCTCCCCCAACCCTCCCTCTCCCCAGAGACGGACTGCTAGCAGGCTTTCACCCCTCTATTACGACGAAAATTTGCTTATGCGACTCAACACATAACAATGAAAGGTTTTCTCTCTTTCTGAATCTGATTACGGTATCTAAGAATTAAACGAATGAGGATAATCGCGATTCTGTTCAAAATGACGCTTCATTACATTGTTGCATGCCACCGCCTTCACTGTCGCCGTCCCTAGCAAGTAGTGAACTCACGCAACAGGAAGACTTGAGAGGAAAGAGAACGGCAAACACTGTGTGACAAGCGTGATAATAATTATGTTTGAAAAAAACTTTCCGTCAAACTTCACCTTCTTTTAAGTACATCTTTTTGTAAAAGACCAGAAAACATGAATGTTCTCTGATGATCACGACGAAACACGCAAGTAATAGCCCTGTCACGTTTGCCACACAAGTGCTTTGCCGTCTTCTTCTTTCTGTCGTCCTGTTGCGTTAACTCACTCACTCAGTGACCAGCCCTTAAATTGGCTTACCTTAACAACTGGTGACCAGGGAGGGGTGGGTGAGTTAGGGGAATTGTCTCAAGGCGGTTGTTTATCCTAGCATTGGTCCCTCTAGACTGCTTCAGTGTTAACTGCTCAGTTTTAGTAGCAGTTGATCCAAGAAGCCGAAAACGACAAAACATCTTCACACAGTTGTACTTCAGGAAGGTCTCTATCAATAAGTACTAACACCAAATCAAACTAAACGCCTCCACCCGGGTAAATCACATCCAAATCAGTAAATAATAACATGCATCCTCTCAGTTCCTTTTTAAGCGGATTATTTTTGTTATGTTACAATGTACCTCGTAAGTAACGGTGCATTCGACGATAGGAGCTTGCATCGGCAGTACAAAGTCCGACCCTGGAGGCGGGAACTTAAGGTTTTATCTGGGGAGGCTCCGCCCCGATGTTGAACCCCAAACCCTTACCATTTTTGACAGACAAGGTACCCACTTCTTTATCTTTGACAAATGATAGCTCTTTTACATACCTAATTTACAACTCTGCAACGCTTTAAGCTGCTGTAAATGCACCGTCTTTTAAATATGAATAAATCACTAAACCAGGTTAGTGTGTCTTTTTCACAGCCATAAAATGCGTCGGTTAGCCTATTTAGGCCTTTCGGAAACCGAAATAAAACATTTTCCTACCCTTCTTTAGCTAGTGAAATCCCTACTCACTTATGTGCCTGAGGATTGAAAAAGCTGCCCCTTTCGGGCGAGGCCTCCCCCGTATAGGCCCTCCCCCCACGGGGGTGAGGAAAGAGACCTTGACAGCTACTGAGATCTTTATCTTGGGTTTCTGAGTACCACGATATAAACAACCAATCAGAAGAGCGGCTCTGCCATTTTTCGCGTAATATACGCATTGCTCGAACCTAGTAACGCGGGAAACAAACTTGAGTGTGGCCGCTTTTATCCCGGTTTATAAAACGTCATGTCGGGCGAGAGAAATACCGCGTGGATGAGTTTACAACAAAGGATTCTGAAAAAGTTACGGTGGCCCCGATTAAGTTCGCTGCAAAGCAATTTCTCAGTTCATCCTAAAAATCACCTCAAAATAGAATTCTACCTTTTTAGTCAACAGAAAAAAGTTATAGCGTGAAAATTTCTTTGATTGGTTGAGCGAGGCAAGTTTTCTTGTACATAAATAATTGATGACTCTAAGCCAAATTCTCTGAAAAATGTGTGATTTTAAGCTTCTTTATTATTCAAGTTGTTTTGTTTTCTCCTTTTTTATGTGTCTTTTCTTGGAACTTCATGGCCGGCCGCGTGGACCACCTGCGGTTTCGTGATGCCTTGCCCTTGGTCATTATCAGTAATCAAAAGGGGGTTTAAGCCTCCAAATGTTATATGCACTTATCGAAAAAAAAGGGTATATGATAGAAAATATCATCTATAGGAATCTAGAATAATCAGATTAGTCAAGTGAGCTTCCCTCCGCTAAATGTCTTCGGTCATTGGCATTTGTCCAGACCACCCCGCACGTGACTGTCTGTAAGTTGTGCCGGAAGTCAATGAAAAAATTCTTAGAAAGGCTTGTTTATCTTAACAGGGCACTCAAGTGGTCCACGCGTGATTCTTGGAAAAACGGCTAAAACGGTCTTCTTACATATCTGAATACAAAACTAAAGGAATTATCCGTGTTCATGCTCCCTTGTGATAATGAAAATAAAAAGTATGGTATACCAAGATAAACCGCCAAGAGACTTTTAAAAATTCATCGCCGAGGTGGAACTAAAACCCACGCGGCAGTGTAAAAGTGACGGGAGCTATATACTTCTTAAGCTCTGTAACTGTAATGGGCGTTTAGAACATTTTACGCTAAATTTTGTTTTAAAACCAAGTTTTATTATTCTTTTGTCAAACCTAAGAATTACATGCAACACTTAATGACAGTTAGAGTTTCCACCAGAATCTTATTTTATCTCAAGATACATTATTACTTATATAAAACAACCAACTGCGTGAACGTGCAAAGCAGATTAATAGATATAAGTGTGTTTCAACCAATGTTAGCTAATTTCAATTACAACTGTCAAATGCTTGTGTATTTTCTCGTTTAAAAGTTCTAATTGCTCTGGTTTGCACGCTTGTCTGTGGTAGATTGAGCACTAGAAGCAAAGCTTCCTTCTGGCACTCCACCACCATGTTGTTTCGCCTCAGCGCTTTGAATACGGGACGCTGCTTCTTGAGTCATCGGGTTCTTCGGTTCTCCACCGGACTGAGATCCGAGTTTGTCTGTCTCGTGGATATTCCCAGCACGCTTGTCTGCAGTAGATTGAGCACGAGAAGCAAAGCTTCCTTTTGGCACTCCACCACCATGTTGTTTCGCCTCAGCGCTTTGAATACGAGACGCATCCTCTTTAGTCATCGGGTTCTTCGGTTCTCCACCGGACTGAGATCCTTGCTTGTCCATGATTTTGTGCGGGAATATTCCAAGCAACTGTTGTCTTCTGTTCAAAATAGCAATAAAATTCACTGTTAACTTTTCAGAAATAAAAGTTATATCTCTATACATGCCCGAATATTACCCGATAAACCTGACTCAGATGCTTCCTTCAAAGCTTTTCCTTGTCAATCGGAGCTTTGCTTTAAATTGTATTTCAGTTATTCAGTATACCCAGTGATCATAGTGTTGCCTTACATCTACATTTTTTATTCTGAGCTAAGAGAGTTTCATCTGAAAGAATATAAGTTACCTCCTGTTACTCTGTAGTATATATAGTTGACCTATAGTTTCTTTGCATAATTCACTGAGGATATGAAATCATGGTTACCGATCTTTCGTTCAAATTTTTTCTTATGGTTTGTACACCTTAGCCCTCAGTACAAAGCGAACATCAGTTCCATACAACGACAATAGTTAGACCTGGAACCGCCGCCGAACGCCGAGTCATGAAGTTTAGTAATTAATTAAAAACTCCGTTAGTAAATCTAGTCGGTTCCAACTAGAGACATTATACACGAAAAAAACTATCGAGGAACTTGATTCACTTAGTTTTTTAACCCTATATTTGATCACTGAAGATTGGTCAAACTTAGATAGATTGAAAGTCATTAGGTGTTCCCTGTTGATTTGAAATGTGCACTTGCTTTAATCAGCATTTACTACAGTCTAGTAGACTACACCTCGGATTTCACCTTGCAACATTAGGCAAACTTCTAAAGTAAAGACCTAAGAAAACTGTGTTTTTAGGCATGCGTATTCCGTGAGTAAAGTCTGTTCTAGGTTTAACACTTCTATTTTCAAAATCAAGCTCACAATAGTGTATTCTTCCAGTTGAAGTAGTTGAGTAGAAACGACTTGGCCCATGGCCTAGTCGTACATGCATATCTCAGTGGAGCTTTATACGTAGATTTTTTTGTTCATTTTATCTCTGTAAGATGTAGATGTTAGAATAAAACAAACAAGGGTTGAAGTACCTCGAACAAGTTGAATTAAGCTGTGTTTTTCGACCTTTTTTCTTCGTAATATCTTCACCTTGCCTCGTTGGTTTAATCTTCAGGAAAGGGGCTCCACTTTTATATGATTATTTCTTTCCGCGAAAAGTTACATCAGCATAAAATTATAACTATACTTAGAAAGGCCCACGCTTCTTAGAAATCTACTGGTGACACGGGTGTGAACAGGCTCCTAACACACTGTCCTGGAACACCCCTCCCCCACCCCCCTCCAAAAAAATAAATAAATAAATAAAAATAAAACTAACAAACAACAACAACAAGAGAAAAAAAGAAAGGAAAGTCACATTAGGAATAATTAAATTGATTAATGCATTTTATAACATTTAAAATGCGAGATGGTGGTCAGAAAAACACTCTGACAAAACCGAAAGAATCTGATTTGTAGTCACGTTTCCCGTCTCCTCCCCCCTTCGAGCTTGACTTTGCTTGCCTGAAAAAATTAAAAATATATATATCGCCTGTTCTGCATGCTGGTGCATTATAAGGGGATGATCCTATCAACGGCATGGAGTGGGATCAGTTATCAATACAAGTAGAAAGAAACGTTTGTCTAAATCTCTGAGCTATATATATGTGTAGATGTCTTTCGATGACTTTGCAAACGGTTCGTAAATCTTCGGACGTCTCCAGGTTTTAACTATTTGTTCATATTCTTGAATTTCATTTGCAAAATAGGAATTGTATTTATTGTTTTTTTATTAGTTGGTTTGAGTGGTAATTTCAATTGCTTTTTCGGGTGTACAGGTTCTTTCCCTGGGTGTGTCAACCGGATAGCTATCAAATACTAGTAATAACCAATGGTTAAGGAGTGCGGGCGACAAATATCGAAGGTCAAAGCGCTTTAGCTCCAGCACTGTGCTTTGCGTAAGTTTCACGTGACAGATGGTCAAAACACGCGTGATCAGATTACATGTGATAGAACGCCCAAACGTGGGGTATAAAAGTGGGTTCTGTGCATTCCATACATTCTTAGTCGGAGTCCAAACGAATGCTGACTACATACATGCCACGCATGTGTAAAACAACCTGGAGATTAGCATTGCGGGCTCCTTTTGTCGCCCGCAATAAAAAAAGGCTTTCCTCGTCTATCCTCGCTTTAGGTTTTTCTCTTTGCCTCCTAGTGTGGTTTTCTGGTCGATGATCTGACCCACTAGGGCTGTTTACAAGGAGAGAGGAAGATCCTTAAGCACCCGGAAGATCCTGGGTGATCATCCTAGCGCCATATATTTTCTGAATTCAGTTTACATGTAAAGGGTTGTACTTGTCCCTAGCACTAGCGTCTTCCTAGGGGTGCTTACCATTTACACAAACCACCCGGGTGGAAATTCGGTGATTACACATATATAACTAAACTATAAAAATTTGACGTGGTGGGAAGACGAACCGCTTCAAACTATACCCAAATCAGCTGAGCGGACTGAAAAGAGTAGAAAAATTACATCATCGCAAAACACAGCCCATATTTTCTAAAGCTTCCCGAGCGGAAAGGCGCGAACCATATGATTTTCCAACCGGAATTTCCGGTTTTCTTAAGTAAACGGTAAGTCTGACCATTAGTATCAGGGTCTTCTTATCTGAGAGGTAGGAAGATCCTACCATAAGGAGGATCCTAACTTTCGCCAGGAACATGCTGATACTAGGGACAAACCAGACCAAACTAGGGCCGGGTCGTTCAGAGGCTAATCACGGCAATATAGGCCCACAATTTCGTTTGGCGTTAGCAGTCCAGTTTTAAAGAACTGCCAGCTGCCGCTGAAAGGCAGTTATCAACGCTAACAAAGAGCAGACGCCAGGGCCTGAATGGCATGTTTGTTTGGCTTTCTAGGATCTTACTAGTCTCCTTCGCAGCCATTTTTTAGGGTCGTCACGCAACGCTCCTCCAAAAAGGACTGTTGCGTGACAAGCCTAAAAACGGCTGCGAAGGAGAATAGGATATTCCTCCCTCCATGTAAACAACCCCTTAACTGATCTAAAACCCGAGGAAATGATTTTGTTTGTTTTACAGTGATTTCTGTCCTTTACTAGGAGAGGCAGATTCAAGAAACTCATTTACTGATTTGAAGAAAAAAGACACAACTTAAATTGGAAAATTAATTTATTATTCTATCAATGTACAAAATTGAGAAAAATAATTTACTTGGTTACACAGAAACCAAGACAATCACGGAAATTTCCTGTACTCATCAACAAGGAAATTTTTGCTATTTTATTTGTAGATTATATTAGCGCTGAGGCATCCTTCTAAATTTGCACATGCCTTTCATATGGGGCCCGTTTCTCGAAAGCCCGGATAATTCACGGCTTTGGAAGATTGTTTTGTAAACATTCAAGGTCGAGGTTTCAATAGGTTTGCAGATAATATGATAAAACTACCAGTTACAAAACAAAATTGACTGACTTTTTAGAAAGGAGTCGCGTTTTCATTCTTTATATTTTGATCTGAGTATTTGATTTAGGGCCCCACAATTTAAAGGGACTTTTGAGAAACAGGCCCCTGGAGACATGCTTTATGAAATTTCGTATGACTTGTTTGCAGCCAATGTCACGACGGCCAGGTTGGTTGTCAGAAACAAAAGTCTTTCCCTCCACTGCGTAGCAAGTAAATTCCCCGAAAAGTTTTGTGAACCAATATGACCGTCTTGTCACGTGATTGCATACCAGCCAACAAAGAGAGCATTAATTAATTGTAGAATAACCAGGTCCCTCAAACTACAGTTAAATAGGATGTGTGGGACTCTCATCGAAATGGGGTGCTACTTCCATCGCAAGGTTTTCCCCTTTCATATTACTGTCTTCGTTTTTCTTTTCCGCCGGTAGGGAGTGGGACCAACACTGGCACAGCCAAAGCTTGAACCAGAAACTCTACATATGAAGTAATTTCAGTTCTTAATTTGAAATTCAGGATAAAACGGCGAAAATGGCAAATAGGAAGGCACAAAAACAGTACAATCAATGACCAAAATTAACAGAAATTGATGCATTTCTCTACTGTTCTCCGCAAAACAACAGCCCCAAACGGAGCGTAAAGACATGACTATTCATTTATAGTCTTTCTCTCTAATATCGTCAAAAGTTTCTCCTAAAATTCAGAAACTGGATAATTCATCAACACAAGACAAAGGTCAACAAATTAAAACAGCGACTTAATAACGAAAACTTTTGTTTCCAAGCGAAGTTTTCACCTTCACCGTTGTGGTAACTTAAAATCCATTTCAAAAATGTTGGGCAATCAAAAACAGTCTTCATGCAGAATAGCCTGCTGTATCTTGTTCATTTTGATATACCACAGGAATTTAGAATGCAAATATTTGAGGGTCAAATTCTGAAGCGTGACAATTCATTATATAAGTTTTTTTTTTCTTTCGTAATATCATTATATTTTTTTGTCTTGTAATATTTTTGGTTTTTTCTTGTTTGTTTTTTTTTTAATTATTTATTTGTTTTTGTTTTCTTTTTTTTTTTTTACATCCAATAAGTTTTCAATGTGATGCAACGAAAAGGCGTTGTAACAAAGGTGATTAGTTGACTGAGCCGTGTTTTAAAAGTGATAGTGCGATGAAGAATACGAACGATGAAAAATAAAACTGGAATAAGCAGAACCTAGAACCTGTTCGGGGTGTTCCAATAGTAAGGCCTAGAGGAGAGACAGCGCATGCGCGAAATATGGATGGTAAACGCTAAAGTGAGACCACTAATTTTCAATATCCGAACCCCGAAACGTATTTATGTAAAATCTAAAAGCTTTTGCTATTTAAAATCTACCACCTGCCCCCCCTATCAACACCTCTTCTTCCCCGGCCTCCCCTACCCCGGCCACCCATGCCCGAGTCACCCCTACCCCGTGTTGCACCCCTACCTCGGTCACCCCTACCCCAGTTTCCTCTACCCCGGTCACTCCCACCCCTGCCACCACTACCCCGGTGGCCCCTACCCCGTTCTCCCCTGCCCCGATTGTAAGAATCTTTCCTTGGGTCGAAAGACCGCCTATCGAGCGAGTTATCAAACGTTCTAGGATCTGTGCTGTCAGTTCTTTGGGAACTTCCTCTTCTGTGCGTAACGGTACACCAAGCACCGCTGTCGTTACTATTTACACTTCCAATGCTGCTTTCTCCTCTTTCGCTACGCGTCGAACTATCAGAACTATTTGTCTCTCTACTAACAGCTCCACTTTCCCGAGTGTGAGTTTTACCGTTCCGTTCAAAGCGTTTGCTGGAAGAGTCACTGCTTTTTCTTGAAGTGTTCCGCAAACCTCCTTCACTAGCAATCGTACACTCATTTGTCCTTTTAGTGTCTTGAAAGTGCGCGCTCCTTGCCGCATACTTCGAATCGCTGACACTTCGTTGATAACCCTGGTCCCAACCGCGTCCCCCTCGGGAATTTCTGCCTCTGCCTCCCCTCCCTCGTGCTTGCCGATGCTCCTGGTTTATTCTTGACTCTTGCCCAGTTCCTTGTGGAAGTGCAGGTGGGGAAGAAGTCGAGCGAGGTTTAGTATTACTGTCCGAGATCCAACTTGCATCCCAGTTAGGAGAAGGGCCTGGAAATTATAACGAAAAATTGAAATCGTTGTCATCTGACGAATCAGACGGGTGGCGCCAAAGGTAATATACGCAATATTCACCAAGCATGAGGGTATAATACGCGTTACTCACCAAGCGTGAGGGTAATAAACGCGATATTCACCAAGCGTGAGGGTCAATAAAAACGAAAAAAAAAAAAAGGTCAACATCCAGTCAGCTGGACCGAACAAGATTGTTCAATGGAAAATTACGGTCAAAGGAACTGCGTACGACCATAGAATTATTTGATCGTAACGTCGACGTGCTTACTAGTTTAAAATACAAACCTCTCCCAGACTGAAAGCCAGTTGACGCACACCAAGGATTGTTGTTTGGCCGGCTTTGCAAACTAGAGGCACTAGAAGAAGAAACCACTCTTTGCCGACTTTCTAAAGGCCTCTTGGTAGGACTCGGAGAACAATTTAAGGCTACTTTCTGGGCCCACGTCACTGGGAATGGATCCAAACTTTCCTGCTTCGGACGAACCGCGTTCAATAGGGGCTGTGGGAGACTGGAGAGGGACGAGCGTCTTGAACTTGAGGTCTGGTAATACAACAAGAACGAATACAACCAGGTTAGGTCAATTGTACACAATAGTCGTTAGAGTACTCCACTAAAGGGTTTAATAGACACCTTTCATAGACACGGGACAATTTGCAACGACAATCTTTTTGCAACTCAGTATTGCAATATTGAAACAACGTTGTAACTATCCATAACAATGTTGAAACGCTGTGTTGCGCTGAATATCGTCATATTGCGATTCGTCCCATGTAACATCACATTTAGAAACCTCGACGGCGACAGAATTGAGAATGTCTAAAGAGAAATTGGTAAAATAAGCCAGCAAGCTGGGAAGTTCTGAGTTCCCCACCCCCACCCCCCTCTCCCCAGAGAGACTGCTCGCAGGCGTTCACCTATCTATTACGACGAAAATTTACTTATGCGACTCAACACATGACAACGAATGGTTCTCTCTCTTTCTGAATCTGATTACGGTATCTTAGAATTGAAGGGAATGAGAATAATCACGATTCTGTTCAAAATGACGCTTCATCACATTGTTGCATGCCACCGCCTTCGCTGTCGCCGTCCCTAGCAAGTAGTGAACTCAGGCAACAGGAAGACTGGAGAGGAAAGAGAACTGCAAACACTGTGAAAAGCGTGACAATAATTAAAACTTTCCGTCAAACTTCACCTTCTTTTAAGCACGTGTTTTTGTTAAAGACCAGAAAACATGAATGTTCTGTGATGATCACGACAAAACACGCAAGTAATAGCCCTGTCACGTTTGTCACACAAGTGCTTTGCCGTCTTCTTCTTTCTGTCGTCCTGTTGCGTTAACTCACTGGTGATTTTCTAAGGACGACACTGGAAAGTGACCAGCCCTTTGGCTTACCTTAACAACAGGTGACCCGGGAGGGGTGGGTGAGTTAGAGGGAATTGTCTCAAGGCGGTTGTTTATCCTAGCATTGGACCCTCTAGACTGTTTCAGTGTTAACTGCACTGTTTTAGTAACCGTTGATCCACCTTCCCGAAGTACAACTGTGTGAAGATGTTTTGTCGTTCTTGGCTTCTTAACGGAATTCTGTCAAAGAAACGGTACATTCACTTCGTTAAAATTTTAAAAGAGAAGGACACGCAATTTAAAGCAATTTTAGGACTCACAGACTCAAAGTGGAGATAACTTAAGACCTTTTTAATACTGAGGTGATCAACAATGCAATATTCTTCAGTTAATATACACTCGAAATCACTAACTGTTAACACCAAATCAAACTAAACGCCTCCACCCTGCTAAATCATATCTCAATCACTAAATAATACCATGCATCCTCCCAGTCCCTTTTTAATCGGATTATTTTTGTTACGTTACAATGTACCTCGTAAGTAACGGTGCATTCGACGATAGGAGCTGTGTCTGCAGTACAAGGTTGCCAGCGGTCCATGACATAAGGTGGCTTTTAAAACCAGAGCAATAGGTTAGTCAAGTATAATACCACCAAATATTTTATTGAATCTGACGAATTTGCGAATTCGCGTTCACAATTTAAACCACAAGGTCTGGAAGGCAAATAAGGATGTATGTCGGAATTAAGTCGTTTTAGCCTTCCTGGATTCCTGTCGACGGGGCCTAATACACTTCTATGCGTCTTGGCCTTGCGTCTACACTTGCACGAGCAAAATCACTAACAAAATCAACATCAGCCACACCAGTTTAAAGCAAAGAAATGGGCTAGCCGGTACGCAGCAATAACTGATCTGAGAAAGTGGAGTCTTTTGAAAACACTTTCAACGCGACACGAAACTGAAGTTCTCGAAAACAATTAAGGGAGCCTTAGCAACGACGGGAGCGAAAATGTTACCAATAAAATAAATACGCGGCTTTCTTGAATAATGAAATCATAAAATGAAAGGAACTCATACCTTGCTCAGAGTTTGAAGCTCACTGGAAGACTTGTTCAGAAATGCAACGCTCTGGAATGAAAAAAAAAAAGCGTCAAACTGTTTATTAAACAAAACAATTCTCGGTTTTCACATGACGTCATCAAAATTCAAACTAAGAAACTATCGATTCTTCTGAGATTCTGAGTTTCATGAGGTATTACAGCACCTAAACACCTTTATTTAAACAGAGGTTTGGTTCGAAAGGGTTCTTCGTTTTGCGATAGAGGACGTTTGAATTTCTAGGCTTTTGCGTGACGCGGCATTTAGCTGGCGGCCGGGACTGCTCTTCTGTGGGTTAAAAACATTACCAGTTTTGGGAGATTTTGCTATCTAAACATTCCTTCTGTCAGAATAAATATCACTTTAATAGTTTATGAGTTTTTTAAGCGATGAATTAACGCATTAGTAGGAAAACTCAAAAACAGATGTTTCTGTTGGTTTCCGGCGGCCATATTTGTGCCCCTCAAAGGGACACAAACATGGCGCCTCCATACAAAGCTTTATAAATTTGGGTAAAACGTTTTTCCTAATATCTCGCATATGAAATATCGCACAGACCTGATTCTTGGCAAGGTCTTTTGCTTATTTATCTTCTTTTATTTCCAAGATTCGGGACTTTCTGTATCGAATGGTTTGCAATTTTATTTTTGATTGCGTGACAGTGAAAACCGAGAATAGTTGCGCCTACACTGAACGTTATTTCTCATGATATAAGGCCTTTCAGTCTGAGGCGGAATAGAACTAACGCTGTGACCACTTTGGTAACCATGAAAACGTGAGATGTTCGAAAAGAGAGACCGGGGATAGGGGGAACTCAGCAAAGTTTTTTTACGAGGAGGCTCCGCCCCGAAGTCCGACCCTGGAGGCGGGAACTTATGGTTTTATATGCTCCGCCTCGATGTCGAACCCCGTACCCCTACCGTTTTTGACACACAAGGTGCCCACTTCGTTACCTTTGACAAATGGTAGCTCTTTTACATACCTAATTGACAACTCTGTATCCCTTTAAGCTGCTGTAAATGCACCTTTTTTTTGTAAATATGAATCAATCACTAAACTAGGTTAGTTTGTCTTTTTCACAGCCATTAAAAGCGTGGGTTAGCCATTTAGGCCTTTCGCAGACCGAACTAATGAAATCCCCACCCCCATGTACCTGAGGACTGAAAAAGCTACCCCTTTCGGGCGAAGCCTCCCCGTATAGGCCATTATAGGGACTATCCACCCTCGCCCCCCTCGGGGGGTGGGGAAAGAGACCTTGGCAGCCACCGAGATCTTTATCTTGGGTTTCTGAGTACCACGATATAAACAACCAATCAGAAGAGCGCCTCTGACGTTTTTCGCGTAATACACGCATTGCTCGAACCGAGTAACGCGGGAAAAACAGGCTTGAATGTGGCCGCTTTAATCCCGGTACATAACACGTCATGTACCGCGAGAGAAATACCGCGTTGGTTGGATTACTTTTCTAACGGTGTGTGTAAGAACGCACCTTTACTAGAAGCAAGACACTTTCTTCACCATCAACCTCAATGAACATCTTCCATTTGTGTTCCTGGTGAAGCAAAATAATAAAGGCAAGATGATTATATTGCTTGGTTTTTGTATTTTTAGCAGTAGCGTTTCAAGCGAGCTCTCTGAGAAAAAAAATATGGACAGTAAACATCAACTGCATTAACAGAACCACGACAGCAACGGCGGCGAAAACGTCACTTAAAAAGTGAATTTGCGCTGCTTCAAAATTCATCGTTCTTAATCCATCTAATTCACTTTGTCAAATGTCGCCGATTTTTTCTGGAGTAGACTGAATCTAAAGGTCGGTATATTAGTTCAGAAAAAGAAAAAGGAAGTGGTTGTCTTGTCTTAACTGATAAAAGGTGAAGTTGGCAAGATTCATGTTGTAGTCGTGCAACGACTGGACGGCAAAGAAATGTACAAAAAGCATGCTGCACGTGCAAAGTTGTTGTTTTGCCAATCTAAACCTATTGCCTTTTTACAATTCTCGTTCCCGTCGCCGTCGTCAAGCTCCCTAATGCCCTTAATCTGTTACCCAAGTGCTGGCAGCAAAAAGAGCTAGTCACTGCCTACCTGAGAAGATTGCCCCATTCTGCAGTGATTTCCAATCAAAAGAACGAGATTGGACTGTTGCTGTTGATTGCCGGGACTGCAGTTTGTTGATGACAAACCATTCTGTAAAATAAAAGATCAAGTTTTTTATAGAACTGACATTCTATCAGGCCACTCTCTGTCTATCAACAACTGCGGAGTGCGTATGTATAGGTGGGATGGATGGAGGAACTGTGCTCGGATTGAAATTGAATTAAAGAAAACTCATTTTGAAATAGTTAAAGACAGTTATCATGGGGTTTTAAGCGTTAGCATTTACAAACCACCTTATCAATCTATAAACCACATCCTATTACAGTTATATAAATTAACAATACGATCTAGATTACTCCTAAGTTTGTATTTACTTCACTTTAATAATTAAACTGTTTAATGCAATTTCTTGTCTAAAGAGAGGGGAAGGGTTCAGTCCTTGGGTAGAAAGGACAGTTCCAATTCTGTACCCGACAATGGGCGCAAAAAGAACAGTTTCCTCAATTAGCACTTCACGCTTATTCTGACATTGACACTTATAGCATTTTCTTGCACTGATTAAAGGGTTGTGGGTAAAACTATTAAGAACAAACTTCACGTTTTTGGATAAACAATGTTAGTCAGGCTGTTACTTCATTCCTTGTTTTGGAGACGCCAGGCATAGCAATAAAGTACATCATACCATAGCCCCAAGTGGAGGAAAATGCATCATGGACTCGCTTTCACTCTTCAAATGTACAATCTGCTCCTATAAGAGAACGGCACAGAAAAAAGTACAAAGTTTTTTACTAAAGAAAGCATTTACATTTTCAGTTTATAATTCCAAACACTGTATCAAGTCTTCGTAATATTTCTTCAGTTTAAGCGGAAAATTGAACTGAATGTTCTAGATTGCTTTCTTTTGGTAGGTCCTTCTCAGTTGAATTCAAGTGATATCTGGTGGTGATTCATATATTTGATTCCTTCATGTAGAATTTTTGTGAATGAATTAAGGCACGCTCACAAAATTCACTCTCACTTCACCAGACAACGTGATCAGTTCCTGCTGCCTTTGGCTAAAACGACTAAGTACCACGGCAGTTTTAGGATCAATGGTGCATGTGCCTATATCAGATCTGCAAGGGACTTAAATACGTTCAAGTCATTGACGAAACGGCATTACAAGCGCAAGGCCATCTCTTGGATCTTTTTAATGTCGCATGTCTTACGTACTTTTAGTGTGCTACTCTTTGTATAATGTTTCTCTTAATTTTTATATTTTTTTACAGGACTCTGCTTAAATTAGCTTCATGCTAAACCAGTTGTTGCGGTGTAAATAAATAAATAAATAAATATATAAATAAAATAAAATAAATATATAAAAAGCACCACAGCTGTCAATACACTGAAGACAGTTCAAATACACGGCATCATATATTTTGCTTCCTTAAAGAAACGAACAATATTGTTCCATCATTTTTATAAACCACTGATAAACCTGTAATACGTGTTCTTTACTTCTCAAGCTGTTAGCGAGGTAGCCACAGGCCACTGAATGTAACGTTATGACAAAACGTTTAATTTACCATTAATTCAATCCTGTAGCCATATGATTCTACTCCTAGGGCTTTAAGATTGTCGTCTGTGAGTAGAAGAAGCCTGTATAAATAAGATATCATTTGTTGTATTAATCATGCAACAACATTACACTTGCAGGCTGCAAATACAAACTAATGTAGCTGTAACAAAGTTATCTTGCGAGGCTTATAGTTAATGCTCTTACCTTCTACCAGTGATGTGATTGTCTAGAAACAAAGGCACATACATGACCAGGTCTTTATCTCCACCTATCGAAAAAAAAAAAATACAAACAGACAATCAAAACGAGCCTTTTGTTTTTGTTTAGTGGTTTTGATTTACTTTAAGGAAGAAGAAACCGCCAAGGCCATATCAAACAGTTTCTTTCCGTTGAAAATGCTGAGAAAAAAAATGATTCACAAGAAATTTTTGTGAGACACTCACTTGCAAATACCGCAAGAGTAGCAAGAATAACAAATTCAACAAAGTTCTAGATTTAGAAAGAGAAAAGGCTAAGAAGGGCCTCGAGAAGTCTGCAAATTTCGCAAAAATCGCAAAAGTAACATTCTTGTTACTCTTGCAATAGGTGAGTGTCTCACAAAATTTTCTTGTGAATCAATTTGTTTGGCTAAAATTGCGAAAAACAATTTGCTAGCAAGATCGAGCCTGGACAAGAAAAATTCTTGTTACTTGTCTCTTATGCGTTAAACGGGTGAAACGTGTAAATTCTTGCTTGAGTGGACATAAACATGTAGTAACAGTGTGTGTACATTTTTACATTTCTCGGATTGTAATACCTTCGAACAGTCCACTTACGGTAGACATTATAGCGTTTAGATACTAGCGATTCACCAAAAGTAGAAACCGTCTCCAAAAGTAACGATAGGAAAAGGGCTGACTTACTATTCTGAGCAACTTGCTCAAGCCACAGTGCCTGAAAAAAAATGACATAAAATAAAATGTCAAAAATGAGAATCAACTACATGTATTTGTTATTACAGAGAGCAGAATCTGATCTTCATCATAATAATACAACTTTTACCACATCATCTGGTGTCCAAGCATTGACATCGTGTTTGTCCAGAACCTGAAAGAAAGGATTAAACAGATTCTTGAGTATAAAAGAACGTTCCTGTAATCTTACACATGTAATGCGTCATTGAAGAGTTTATCACAACTGTAAATTAATTGGCTAACGTTGACCCAGTAGTTTTGTTGTACGTAATATCCGTTCTCAAGTTAAACCAGTATTCAAACTAATTTGTTTCAGAATTTTCTTTGGTTCTTAGCACTAATTATTCATAAGAGACAAAGAAAATTCTGGTTTAGCCTGAGAACGAATTACCTACAACAATTTCACTTCTCCTGTCTATAAATATAACTGGTTATGATTTATTGTTGTAATTTTATTAGTTTAACACACCTTGGAAACCGACTGCAATTCAATTATTTCCTTTTCTTTTTCAAGAATACGTAGTTCTCTCTGCAAAAATCATAATCAATGTTAACAACTGTGTTTAATTAACCCGTGAAAAAGATAGTGGGTTATAACACAAAATAACACCCTGATGCAACTATTAGGTAGGTGCCTACTATTATTCATTCAAAAATATCTCTCCGTTTCTGATTGGCTCAAATCCCAGCTAGCGTTGACCAAATTTGGATGACGTTTGCGATATCCAGAAAATGTCGTCAATAGTACTGCATAATCGCTAGAAAAATGGACGGCAACCGAGATGGCCTGGGAAGAGGCTGCGTTTGCGGAACATTTCACGTTTTGCGAAGAAGAAATTGCCGAGCTACTGCCTAAAAAACATAGCAAGAATACAACTCGACGAATGACATCTGCTATTTGGAGAATATCCACTACACTAAACATCCCTTTATATCCTGAAGGTTCTGAGAAAAAGGAAAATGAAGACGAAAACTTAACATCGATCGAGGTAAGCATGTTTTAGCTTGTTTTCTAAACTAGTAATTATTTTGGCTGAATAACAAAACAATTAAAAATATTATGCAGATCTCAGAGGGTGTTATCCGCCTTGGTCGAAACATCCTCCTCGATCTCCATAATTCTTCAGATCATACTAAACCATACCCAGTAATTGCTAATTATGTTAATAACAAGCAAAAAAGCAAGATACATGGAGCACCTCTTACATGCAGGAACTGTAAGCAAAATTGTAGAAACTACCGACCCCTCCCCCAACCCAACAAAAACACTAATATCATTGCTACTCAGGGGAGGGGTAGATGGGTAGGTAGGAAGTATGTAACTCGCCTCACGCAATTCTCGCTCTTTAACCGTCAGATCCTTTTCTAACTTTTTCAGTTTGTTTAATGTAGTTTCAATTTCATTGCTAAAAGATAAAAGATTTTACACAGATTATTTTATCTTCTTGCTACAATTTATATGATACACTGTACATGATATCTAGTCCAATACTGTACTAAAAAAATCAAGCAGTCAAAGAAGACCAACAAAACATCAACGTATTAAATTCTAGCATGTCATGTGCAAAAGGTGAGACTTAGTGTTCAACGTGCCAGAGTTACAATCCTAAGGTCTGGAGCTGGTGCTTCCACTTTGATCACTAGCTGCATTTGTTTCTTGGCAGTGGCCAAATTTATAGATGCCTATTATGTAAGCGACCTTTTGCCTTTCAACAACGGGGGTTTTCACCTTTTTTACAAGTTCAATTTTTTGAACAATCTTTTTTACAGATTATTTGCTTGGTAACACAAACTCTTCGGGCTACATGTACATGTACAAACGCTGAAGAGGGCAAAATGGGATGATTTTTGGTTATCAATTTTGTAGTCATAGTTAGAATGCTAATAATTTTTGTACCTCCATTCTTTTTTCTGCTCTATGAAAGAATCAGTCTCCTGCTGTAAGGATGCTGAAAAAAAGTGCAATATCATCATGTTTTGTATCTAATGCTGATGCATGGCTTAATAATAATACCAATGAATCAATAATAATGATAATAATAATAATAATGATAATAATAATAATAATAATAATAATAATATGTTAAGTTACTTCTATTTTTTAGAATTTGTAAATGAATAGTTTCTTTCTTCGCCCCTTATATATAGGATTGTTTTTGTTCTCTAATGAAGGCCGAGGGGTTTCTTTTGTAATGGATGGAATTGTAGATAGTGTTTTGATGAATTAATTAGATTTTTTGTAACAGCAGGTTGACTGTAAATAGGATTTTAATTGAGGTTTTGTAATAAAGATTTTATAATAATAATAATAATAATAATAATAATAATAATAATAACAAACATCGTAAAGCAGATGTGGAAAGGCTGTACATCCCAAGAAAAGATGGAGGTGGGGGCCTGGTTGATGTAGAAACAGCATTCAAAACTGCAACAATAGGGCTTGATCACTATCTGAAGCACAAGGAAGGGCAATATCCAAAGCAGGTGTTTGAACATGAAAGATCTAAAGCCAAAAATTCAATATCCAAGAATGCTACTAAATTCAAAAGGGAAGTAACAATGCCAGAGAATGAGAACAGAGAAGATAAATCTGCCTCTGAAAATGCTAAAGCCCTGAAACACGTGTTTAAGTCCAGGATGAAGTCAATGAAAGAAGAAAAGTGGAAAAACAAAGCATTGCATGGCCAGTATCCAAAGATCCTAGAGAAGCCTCATGTAGACTCAGTCACCACCAACAAATGGTTGTCAAGTAATTTGAAAGGAGAAACAGAGGGATTACTTGTAGCAGCTCAAGACCAGGCAATAAACACCAGAAACTACCAGAAAGTAATATGTGGCCAGCAAGTGCAGATTGTGTTCGCAACATGAAGAGACAGTGGACCATTATTGTATCTAGATGTGAGGTATTAGCCAAAACAGAGTACATCTCCAGGCACAATAATGCTGCAGCATATCTCCATTGGAGCATATGTAAAGATCATGATATAGAGATTACAGACAAATGGTACGAACACGAACCAGAGACCGTAATACACAATAAAGGTAACAACATCACCATCATGTGGGACATGCCAGTCAACACTGATAGAACTATAACAGCGAACAGACCAGATATCATCGTTAAAGGCTCAGTGAATTCCACCTGCAAACTTATTGATATGACTGTTCCATCAGATAGAAACATCGCACTGAAGGAAACTGAAAAAAAATGCAAGTACAAAGACCTAGAACTAGAAATACAGAGAATGTGGCATATGAAAACTGTAGTGATCCCTGTGGTTGTTGGTGCGCTGGGTACAGTGAAGAAGGGTATGGTAGAAAACATCAAGAAAGTATCAGAGAGAGCTACTATGACAGAGATTCAAAAGATCTGCATGCTGGGATCTGCACGAATCCTTAGAAAGGTGCTCAGTGTATGAACAGAATGATTGACTTGAGTGACTGACGCTCTAGGTGCATGGTTTGCGCCCGGCTGATGCACAAAAAGAACACCAGCAAAGACTGTGATAACAGAGACAACAATAATAATAATAATAATAATAATAATAATAATAATAATAATAATAATAGTAATAGTAATAGTAACAGCTTTTAATTTATAGTTCCAGTTTTTATAGTGTTAAAACTATTCTCTTGTTACATGCACAGCTGCATTAAACTTAGGTCCTCAAAACTCTAGTGCCTCTGAATGCAGTAAGCCAAACAGACAAATAAAAAAAATATTTAATATTATTATTGAATAATAATCTTTTATTATTCATTCAAAATATTTCCCCCATTTTGATTGGCTAAAAGCACACGTTTAATTCACCAAAACCAGTTACTGATGACCAAATTTGGAGGAATTTTGTGTTTAGCGAGGAAATTACGTCAAAAATGCAGCATTCTTGCAGGAGCATGCACCGTTAACCGAGAAGACCCGGGTACGAGGTTGAGTTGTTTTGGTTGTGAACTTGAAAAATGGCGGACATTTCACTCGTCTCAAGAGTAAGAACTAGGCGAAAAAATAGCTAAAAACATGGCAAGAACAGCAAGAAGGCAACTTGACGGGCGACATCTGCTGTTTAGAGAATAATTATTGCAGAGCTGAACTAAACCTAAACGTGCACTATCAAAGATGAACTTAACATCGATGGAGGTAAGCATGTTTTACCAATGTTTTTAAACTAAGAATAATTTTTCGAATGAATAATAAAACAATTATTGAATTCAGCTTTCGTATCATATGAAGAATTATGGAGATCTCGGAGGGTGTTATCCGCCTTGGCCTACGCCCTCGACGGATAACACCCACCTCGATCTCCATAATTCTTCATAAGATACTCAGCCTCATTCATTAATTGTTAATTAATACTTACCATCACCATCCATTAATTTCAGTTCCATCAGTATTTCACCAAAATTAGGCCGTTTCTGTCAATGGAAAAAGAGAATTTTTTTAGCTGCGAGCATGCAAACATTAATTTTACAAAACCAAAGGTAACATAACTTAGTCCATGCATTTATTAGTTCGAAACTTGATCACTGTAATTCCTTATTACATGGCCTTCCTAAGTATCTGTTAGCTAGACTACAGGCAGTTCAGAATGCTGCAGCTCGTGTTGTCACATTGACACCGAGGCATGTTCATATAACTCCTATTTTAATTAATCTTCATTGGTTACCAGTTGAGTTTAGAATAACTTTTAAAGTCCTTTTATTGGTATACAAGGCCCTTCATGGCCTTGCACCTTCTTATATTTCTGACCTTTTGAATTTTAAAACATACTCTAGGTCATTGCGTTCTTCATGTAAAGAATACTTAGTGGTTCCAAGAAGCAGATTGAAAACATATGGAGACAGAGCTTTCTCTATTGCAGGACCTAAATTGTGGAACGATTTACCTCTAGAGATTAGGAAATGTGCTTCAGTGGCGACTTTTAAGCAATCCCTTAAAACTTTTTTATTTAAGTTAGCATATAGGTTATGAGATTCCTTTTGTTTTGAGATGTTTTTGATTTATATAGTAGATAACTTAGGCTATATTTGAATTATATTGTATATTGTAGATATTTTATATTTCAGATTTTTTATATTTTATTTTGTAATTAGGTAGCGCTTTGGACAATTATTGGATTTTAGCGCTATATAAATAAAATTATTATTACTATTATTTATAACTGATAAGAAACAAAAATATTGATCATAAACAGCTGATTAAGTTAATAGTACCTTTGGGTCAGCTATCCAACATTTCTTCATGAGATTTGCAAACTTTTCAGGACAGCTACTTGGTATGGTCAATCGCTGGAAGATTTTAAAACAACCATCACACATTCGTTTTTGGTAATTTATACCCTCCATAGACCCCCAGCCAAAATGCTAAATGAAAATTTGGTGGTCACTTGTAACAAAGAAGCTTGAAGGGCAATGCTTTTAATGGGAAAAATGATTTTTGGTTTTCTGTTCTCTCAAAAGAGCTGAAGGGTCATGCATCGATGTTTGACTGTATTTTAACTGTTGTCTCATCAGAACAACAAAACTTGACCAGGGATCCGTATTTATTTTTGAACTATTCTGAAAAAAATAGCTCATGTGTCAGTGGTCTAAGGGTATGTATCTCGAGGCTTTGTGTGTTTGTTTGTGTGTTGCAGGGGCCAATAAGGTTGGAGGTACTATGAGTTGATGTTAGGAACCAATGAGATTTTGGCATCTAAATATGACATTGCTAAAGGTCAAACAAGGGCACTTTGAGACCGCCATCTTCGTTCTTCACAATTTTTTGGGTCTTTTATTATGGCTAAAGGTGTTTAGAACCATCACATTTCAATATCTTTATGATTCAAACATTGAGTACAGAGTTGCAGCTGTGTAAGGGTTCAAATTTTAGTAGGGGAGCTGCTTCAAGGCATTTATGACTTAATTTGGTTATCGCAGCTGTCGTGAGCGGTACAACGCACGTATTTCATAATTTACGAATTCTGTTTCACCTGCTTTTAAGGCAGAGTATAAAAAATCATATACTTTTTAAAGGTCTTCAAACAAAACGGGCGTTAATAACTGATATTTAGATATAGACTTTAACGCGGAAGTATGTGGCGTAATTGTGGTTTTAGACGATTGAAAGACAGCTATTTTTTTTAAAAGTTGTACCGAGTAAGTTCCATCCTGTAAACAAGCTTTATTCTCTCGCGAACAAAGTTCAACAGACCTTTTACGTTCCGGCAATAATGAATTAAGTGAACAACCTCATACACGTTTGCTGCTTAAGAGTTATAATATTAATTAAAACTATTTTATTTACCCAATGGCTTTAGTAAAGATGCGTACTAGAAGAGACAATAGCATTAGGGAATAAAATTGGAAGAAGCTAGTTGACAAAATAATTAGAAATTGTTTTATTGAGTGGAATGACGTGAGATGAGTAGTAACATTTTTCGGCAGTTTGATATTTTTTGTTGCAAGTGAATAATTCTTAGTTATTCGGTATTTGATGAACCACATTATCTCGAGACACCCTAAAGAAACCTTCGAGTCTTCCCTCAAAGTGACGTTTGATGAGTTGATATTGACTGTACTTTAACAATTATTTTGTTTAATTTGCACCAGATGCCTTTTAAAGGAAAGACAAAGAAAAGCGAATCTATAGCATGAAGATCGACTTGGCAGTGCGCAGCCTTTCGCGTTTTCATTAGTGTAGAGCAATACCCAATTATGCACACACAAAAATGTCTTATTTTAGGATGAAAAGAGTCTTTTTGGTACGGTTACACTGTAGCATTGAAAATAGCTCATGCACGTTTAACAGCCCCATGTTTTATCAAAGTCATCAGCCAGGCAAGTGAGCCTGATGGCATACTTACGCGGTTTCAGTTTGTTGCCCAGACAAGTGCAGAATAATTATTATAGAAGGAATAGTGATAAAATTGTATGCAACTTGGCCATTTCTGATTTGCTTTTTATTTCCATTGTAGAATACTAAGAAAGGGTTTTAACTAAACTGTAAAGTCGACAGGCTACAGGCCTGAGGCTAAACACAGTTTATTTACATTTTCAAGTATTAATTTGTTTATCGTTTTGTAGAAAATACTGCCCCATCAACGATGGCGCCCAAAGTTACAATTTTATTGCATCCAGACAAAAGTTGCAAGTTATTCTCAGGTTTTTAATGGACGAGTAGTAATCAGAACACAGATAAAATGTACATGATAAAATCATCTCAGAATTTTTGAAAAGATTTCATGGTTGAGAAAAACCTCACTCATGGAGTTATCTTCATTGTCCATGCAAGATTGTATAGTCACCTGGGATGACCAGAGAACTGTGATTATGGATGCCTGACGTGACTGGTGACTTAATGGTTCAACAAATATAACCTTAATCATTTTTTTAAAAGTAAAAAAAATGCGATTACTTCTCTACCTGCTGAAACCATTATAGTACACTACATGGTCTTCATTACAAAATTATCACTTCCTGGTGCCCTTCACAACAATTAGGAGGGGACTATTGCATTCTTCATGCATGTCCCATTCCCCAATAATCATGTTTGTTTTAGTAAAAAAATGAATGACTTAAGAATAAATTGAGAGGTTTTATAATTTGTACAGACACAGGATAGTAACATATCACATTCAGACAGCATATTATAAGGCTACAGTACCTCTCCATCCACTACCACCAGCCATGCTATTTGAACTCCCATCAGTCCCTTAAATGGTACCTCTTGAGTTAACATCTCCCACAAGAGCTGCAAAAATAACATACATACATATAAATGATTCATGTTAGCATGTAGTAATCAGAAAGATACATGTACGTAAAGTCCCCCAGTGGCTCTTGTGTCATTAACAAAATTTATCTTGAAATCAAAACAACAATTCATTAAAACAGTAGTGTTCTAGAGATTGGGGAGGTTCATTTACCTCTCAGTAAGCATTAAAATTCTAACGCAACTTTTTGCAGAGTGGTCATTAACTTTTTGTTAAAACCATTTTGTACCATAATAATTTGTAAATAAATAAATAATGATTTGGAGGTAGCACATCCGCAAAGTGGTTCTTTGTCTATCTGATTCCTGGTCGAAGTAAGTAATTAAGTAACCTCTTACGTACTCCTTTTGACTTTCACCAAAAATTTATGCTTATCTCAATTTCAAACAAATTTTTTTTCCAAAACTCACCACAGCATAAGAGAATGTGTCACAAGCTTCAGACACAGGCATGCTTTGGATGACCTGATTTCAAACAAAAATAATGAATATTTTAGGTTAGTGTGACATGATTGTGATTATGCATTTGTAGATACATGCATCCCTGCATTAAACCCCTGGGAGGGGGAGGGACTGCCATTTGAAAATGATGGTATACTTTTTGCCTCCCTTAGGGGTAGAAATTGCTGCTTTTGGTCTTAGTTAAGATTTTTGGGACTGCAGGCAACTATCCCTGTCCTATAAAAATATCAATTAGGGTTGTGCGTAAAGAAATATCTTTTACAAAAGTCTTATTACTGTGCTGGAGTGTAAGTTTCCTTTATGGGTCAAACAAAGCCCAAGCCATGATTTAGAGGTTTAATTTTAACTTTCTGATGAACATCACCATCTCTTTCATATGGGGGTTCCCCACCTCTGCTGGGATTGTAAATCATTCAACAAATACTTCGTGTAAGATGCTCAGTGTTAAAAGTAAAGAGAATTGAAATGCTTATCACCTCAGGTGCCATCCACGGATAAGTTCCAACAAGTGACATTTTTGTGGTGTTGGCAAGGAATTTTGAGGTACCAAAATCACAAATCTACAACATACAGTAAATAAAAAACAAAGTCAGTCAAAATATATAAATTTGGAAATTTAAGCAACAACCTTTAAGATTCAAAGGCACCTTTTGTCAAAATGAACAATAGTTAACATTGCAGGAATTCACATTATTACATATGGTTTAAGAAGCTCTGCCAGTACTAAAATAATACAGTGAGCAGTATCACTCAAAAGTAAGTTGACAGTCACTCACTGACTAGCATCTCGATCTTCGAGACTCGAAGCTCAATTCCAAGGCTGAAAATAACGGATAGCAGGTTGCTGGTCATGATGACCGGCCAAATATTTTTCAGCCCGGACAAACCCTGATTCTGGCCGGTCAAATAATGAATACTATAATTTTTTTTGCCTAAGGAATATTGAATTATGCTGGCAATAGATCGCTTTTACTACATTGTCCGTTCACATTTTTGACAGCAATTTGGTGAAAAATGTATTCACACATTGTAGAGTTCCTTTCCGCAGTTTTAATGCCTGTTCTACCTTGAATATCATGGTATGGCAGTTTCTGACGTCTCTAAAGGTAAAAAGTGAAGCGTAAATCCTTTTCAAACTCTCAAGGTTCAGGAAATGGAATACACATACAGTTCAACAAACTTTAAAAATTACGAAAAAAAATAACTTGGGTTTCTGCAAAAATTTGTTTTACGTTGATGTTCTGAAATGAACATCGGTGAAACTTGATCTTTTTCCTTGCCTGGCAAGTGATCGAAAATCTCCTCCACAAAGAAGAATCGTCGCTAATATTTTTGGCGAAGAAGTTTATTTGCATTCGCGAGAAGTCTGTTCCACAAACAGTGTGTTTATTATCAGAAGTCAATTAATATATAGCTGAGCTTTCATTTGGGTCATCGCGCAACACTTTATTGCGAAGGGCTCAAATGTCAACAGAAATTTGCATAAAGTTGTTTTTAAATGCGAGATAGACGACGTTCCTTCTCGACTAGCTTAAATTTCTGTCAGACTACACTGTATTCTGGAATCGAGTCCGAAAACGAGATTCATGTTCGACATAAAGAAATTATTATTTCACAGAGAAAATCGAAAAGATTAAAAAAATCCTCGGGAGCTGGTTGGCCAGAAGACTCACACTAATTATGGGTAAAACTGCCATTCTAAAAGCTCTAGCACTATCTCAGATTGTTTACGTTTTGTCCTCCCTTCCGACACCGAAAGGGGTCATAAAGGAAATTCATGCTCTATTATACAATTTTCTTTGGGACAATAAAGGGGACAAAATAAAAAGAACAGAAATGATCAATGATTACAGTAAGGGAGGGCTAAAGATGATCGATATTGCTAGTTTTAATCAGGCCTTAAAAATGAAATGGGTAAAAAGCTATTTAGATGATCAAGATACAGGGAAATGGAAGCTTTTTTTCAATCATCGCCTAGCACAATTCGGAGGGAAATTAGTTTTCTGGGGAAACTTAAGCCCTAAAGACGTTCCTTTACTCAATCTACGAGATCCGTTTTTAGCTGAGATTATGGAATATTGGACGACCCTGAATGATAACGACAACAATCTAGATTTCACGTCTGTTGAGAATTGCAATCGATTTACCCGAATTCCCAAAGCAGGTCACATTACTAATTACAGCAAAGCGGAAAGTACAGTATGACCAGCAACGTTGCGTTACTCCACAACTCAGTTTGTTAATGTTTCGCTTTGTTGCGTTCCATTACGACATGAAATTAATGTATTGCCGCGTTCTTTTTCTTAGAAGTTTTTTGTGCAAAGCAGCAAAAAAAAATATGTTCGTACCCAAAAATGGTCGGTCAAAATGACCAGCAAGATGAGAGTTTGACCGGTCAAGTCAGCGATCAGGCTGGACATTGTCCGTTGACCGGCCGTTATTTTCAGCCCTGAATTCTTGAAAGAGTCTAGTTGATTCTTGCCATAATTATGTGCAAATGGCTATTGTTATTTTTCTTGAGAAAACAGTTGTTTTCTTGAAACCCTTTTGAGTGATGAAGATTCAAAAATGCAAGACTTAGTTTATTGAAACTCAAAAGACTTGATTCTCGTGTCTCGAGACTTGATTCTCGTGTCATGAAACTCTAATCATTCGAGCTTTGAGTTGAGTGAATCGAGTTTCAAGTCTCAAGACTTTCAACTTTTTTTTGAGTGGTACTGTACATTTATCATCAAGACAAGCATGCTTTCAAAGCCTGCATTCATTTCATGATTACAGCTGGTTGAAATCCACACTTTAAAGTACATGTTGTATCTCTAAATATATATATTTCTTTTTGTCTGCTAATACAATTATTAATAAATTACTTTTAACTGACAGAAGCAACACCACTAAATCTAAGTTGAAAAAATAGATCCTCGCTACAGAACTTTCACTAGAAGTCTACACTGTATATGGAACATACAAAGCCTAACATTACAGTAATTAGTAATATTTTTTAAAAAAAATCAAAAATTATTTCAGAATTATTTGCCACTTACCTTGACACATAAGTTAGAGCAAATCACGACTGAAAACAAACAGATAAAAAAGTTACATGTCTTATCTCTTAAAAATTATAGAAGCAGCACATCATGGAATTTTTTTTAAAAAAGTGAATAATTACTTGCAAAAAGGTAACCTTGATAAGAAAGCAAAGCTTACCATTTTTAGACTTCAAGTCCCTATGAATCACTTTAACTGGAGCCTCATTATGTAGATAATTGATTCCTTGAACGAAACATGAAAAAGTAGCAAAGTTACATTACTCCATGGTTAAGTTGGCTTAGAATTAAAGCAGTGGTCTCGTGAGTGGACGGTTGTGGATTGAATTCCAGCAGGCTTACAAAACGGGTTTTGAATTAACTGATTCAAGCCTCACACACAGACATTTCTAGGGCTTTGTCATGTGTTCCTTTCCCACGAGGGAGGAAACGTGTGATAAAGTCGTAAGAATGTCCTGTATACCGTGCATGGGAAGCTATTAAAAACTGTCTTGAATGACTACCAGTAACCATTATTAGTTAGCCAATTTACAGTGTGGAATGAAAATCACTGAGGTGAATCTGCACTTTAATCACACCAACAGTTAACTACACTTGACACTAACTGTGGGTAAATTCTGCTTCCGTCATTTTGTTGACATACAGTAGCATCATATAGGAACACCCTTTGGCTAATGAACTTACATGTATTATGTTAACGAATTAATATCTACAGTGACTTTTCTTCACTTTTTAAAATCCTTGTACAGAATTTTTAAGTAATTTTAATTTTTAAATTTTTATCATGTAGTCATATAATTAACGCAGGGCCCCTTTTGATACCAGCCAGTGGCTGATAGTTCCCTGCCTAAATAAAGTTGACTTGACTTGACTGACACTGTAAACATACATTACATGCAACCTGTACTTACCAACAGCAATATCAGTTGACCACCTTAGGATCTGACCAAAGTTCAGCTGGTTGTTCGTCAGATAATCAAAAAGGCATCCTTTGGCAGCATATTCTGAGACAATTAGAAGTTTGACAGTTAGGCCCAGTTCAGATGCATGCCAAACTTTTCATGAGCCGAACCTAATACATGTACATTGGAAATCTTAAGTACATGGAAAGTTTGGTGTCTGAATCAATTAGGAATGCCTGTTTCAATTTGGAACAGCTCAGCTGTTCTTTTCACCTAGGCCAGCTGCGAATTTTTCCTTTGAAGCAACTTTGGAACGGCTTTGATTCAGACAATGAACTTTTCATGTACCAAGCCTAATGCATAAATTATCATAACATATTTTGTAAGCAGTTTGACCAAAATAAGCATTTTTAACCATTTGAGCTTAGTTCAGCTGCAATTAAGATCGGCGTCTGAATCAATTAAGCCAGTCTTAATTATTTGGGTCGGCCTTAATTCAAATTAAATTCAGCTCATGAAACGTTCGGCGTCTGAACCGGGCCTTACTTTTCAGAACTGCTATCATTCATTAACTTACAGATTAAAATCAAAGTTGAGTATTACACTGGGATATTTATGTATCTCTATGACACCAGAAATACAGTCGAACCTCTCGGTACGGACACCTCTCTATTACGGACAGTTTCCAATGTCCCAACAAAATTCTTATATATTTTCTTTAAAAAAACCTCTATAATACAGACTCTCTCTAATACAGACAACGGACACTAAATCTTGGCTCCAGAGAGTAAATTTATATAAACTTAACCTCTTTATGACGGACACAGCAGTGATTGGTGATCAGGTGAAACCCGAATCCTGATCAGATGAATCTGCACAGGGCGAATCCCACCTGGCTGACGAGCTATGCAAGGTGATATAAAGCCCAGTTGCTACACCTTTTGCAAATTGTTGTTTGGTATGCACAGAGAGACATAACAAAATGAGGCTTATTGAAGGCTTCAATAACTACAGATAGCATAAAGATCTTTTCCATTACATTTTGTGCTCTAGTTATTCTTTACTGCACTTGCAAAATAGCAAAAGACGCTTTCAGAGTTGTACTTTATGTTACCACTTCAGTTTTACATGCAGCATTACACTGTAGCTCGTTTCGTTTTAACCGCAGTAATTTGTCTATAGTTGAGATGTACAAGGTTGTATGCTACTGAAAGGCAGTGTCTTTGTACTGTGAATTAATAACTTTAAATGGAATTTAAAGATGAAGGTGAGCCTGGTTTTAGCTACTGAACACATAAAACTGTAAGTGGAGTCATATAAGTGACAAGAGCATAGTGACCTCTTTTATACGGACACCTCTCTAATATGGACACTTTGCTCTGTCCCTTCGGTGTCCGTATTAGAGAAGTTCAATTGTATGTGCGGGGGTGGGGGGTCTAGTCAAGCTGTCTTCTAGTCACTGGTGAATGTCTCACACTTCAGATAAAACACAAGCACTTAAAGTACCCAAAACAAAAGTTACGCAGAATAATGAAAAGATACACGTACAGTATACTTAGATTTTTACTGTCTTTCCTCCAATTTTTTTTTTATTCAGATCAATCTCTTGTATTTTTTCTCCTTCTGCTGGGCTCTAACTAGGCTTTAATCCATGTGGAAAATACATTTAACAATACTGGAGACAAAGACGCTGCATGGTCATAGTGGGGCTAGGATGACTATGCAGTACACCCTGTACCTGTCTGCAGAACAAAGTCTAACACAAATCATGTACATGACTTAATTGTGTATGGTTTATTATCACACTAACCTGTCACAAGGCAGAAGTTTGGCTTGGAATTCACTGCACCAAAAAACTTGATGATGTTCTTGTGACTGAGCATACTTAAAATACTGGCCTAAAATAGATGAATGACCATGAATAATAGTTATACATTTAGAAAGATATACAATGCAGCAAACTTTATACAAATTGTTCAGAATGTGAAGATCTAATTGGAAATAAGGTTCCTAAAAAGAAAACATAGTCCAGTTATTTGATATACCAAACAAGACAATATTAAAATGTACCTCAGCTTAAAAATCTACAAAAAGTTAAAATGTTAAGACATTATTACAAAGTACAGGTAGAACATGACATACTTTTAAAGTGCTACTACGATCAAATTTGGGAATTTGTTTTTGATTACATATTTCGAAAATGTATGTAAAAGTGACTCACCGTGCTAAGTTTGGAGTCCAAATATGATCTGGAAGTGTGTTTATTTGCACGGCAATTTTCGTAAATGTCTTGCCGCCATTACTCGATTCAAAAAATGACCGGGAGTAGTATTTGAAGGAGTTGGGGCGAGATGTGACGTAGAAACATCAACCCGACAAAACAAGGCAAACAAACGTGGCTAATTTCGCATGCAGGACGAGATATTTTTGGAAGCTTTTGGAGGTTCTTTCTTCGCTTTTTGACTTAAAGCGAAAGTATGCCTGGTAGACGTTGTGTTGTTCAGGACTGTGGAAACGTAAAGAACGATGAATTGGGGATTTCTATTCATAATTCTCCTGATTCGGGCAGCGTTAGATTAAAGTGGAAAGGGTTCGTGTCCATTCATCGGAAGGATTTCAACACGGTGGGAAAATTTGCTGTGTGCTCGGAGCATTTTACAAGGGATTGTTTTACGCTTGCTTTTCCGATGAAAGACATGAAAAGGAATTTGAAGAAGGGGACGTTTCCAACCATTTGGAAATAATCCTCTCAAACACTATCACAGCGGAGTCGACGATCGGTGAGTGAAATTACAATGTATTTGCGCTGTGTTTATCACCATTATATTTATTTCCCCATTTACCTGTGACATTATTTTTTCTGGCATCGTTGTTCAGTATTCGTGTAATGAATACTCTGACTAGTTGGACTTCCCATATTGTTGCATGTGTTTTCATACTTTTCTGCTTTCTCATAGTTATAGTAAAACGGGCATTTGCGCTGAGTGGACGTGAAGTCAATTCCCCAATTCCCAGACCTTTCCACTCAAGCGTAAAATTTAGAAAAAGTGAAGCTACATAGAAATCCGGCTCTCTATTTTTTGAGAGATTATCTTGCTGTTACTTTGAGATTTGACAGTACTCCAAACTTCCCTCCAAGAAATCTTACAGCAAATTAAGAGTTTAATACACGCGAGTCTTTTAAAATGACCAAAAATGGACTTAGTCTGATTTCTACATTCTATAAGTTCAGTTACTGTTTGCGGGTTTTTTTGTTCGTTTGTATTTTAATTCTATTTTCCCTTTCTGCAAATGATACATACATTTTAAGGCAAAGATGTGGTTAAACCTTGCTTCCATTTCTAGTTTTGAAAACATCGACATAAAGCTCAAATTTAAACTTGTTTTGAAGGGGAGATATAAAAAAATGGTCTTACCTATTTTCATTTTTAGCTACTAAATGAAATTCTGGCTGGTCAAACTACTAATGAGGATACAGAGGAAGAAGACAATCCTGAAGAAGAGGTGATCTCTTTGAAAGGAAGTTCTGCACCTAAGGAGAGTGCTGACACTATGGGGGCTCCCAATCTCAACCCAGAGGAGTCTCCAGAAGTCGAGGGTGTTCTGAATACAAGCCAGGGTTCTTTGCTTGAGGTAAATCCTGAAAAGGAGGGCTGCATCCCTGAGACTGAGACGGGTGAGATAAGTGTTGATGCTGAGATGGCTTCAGAGGTCCTAGGTACTCCTGGTGATAAGACAGCTCTCGAGAGCCAAGGGATTTCAGGCACTGATGAGGTTACTGAGACCATGCAGATCCTGGAGGCTCAGGGAATCGAAAAAGTGCAGGATATGGATGAAGTTATGCAGATTGATGAATCATTAATGATTCCTGAACTTGAACAGGTTTCTATGGTAGGTGCATAACTCTAATTAAAGTTTATTTGTATCTTTGTATTATCATAACAATGGAAAACTACATGTGCAGTTATTTTACAACAATACTAAAACACAAAAATTCTAAAGTATTGTTATTACAGCCTGTATTAATGTTGAAAGTTTGTTTTTTGTAGGATACTCCAACTGGACATGCTGGGAATTGCACAACATGCAAAACCCTGAGGAGTGAGGTGACTCAGTTAAGGGGCAAAGTCACAAGACTGAAGAGTAAGTTAATCTCCAATCAAGATCAATGGGTTGAAACCTTTAGGAGCATACAAGAGCCGAAGCAGTTGCTGATGGTGAATGCTGGTGAGTCAACAATAATTGATGTTGATGAGTCATATAGGCATAACTGCCTATCTTTATATTTTTATTACATTTTATCAATATTTGATCATTTAATAATAATTAAAATTTTAATGGTAATAGAATTTTTTTAATTCCATTTGTTTAAGCTATTCAAACTGATCCATGGCCAGTAACAAATGAGACAGAGTTAGGGCTAGAGGATGAATCAGAAGATGAGCAGGAAATGCAGGACGATGCGTATGAGGAGTTTGAGTGTGATGAAGACCCTACATGGAGTCCTGAAGAAATCGAAGATGCATATAAAAAACTAAAGGAAGATGATGACTCGATGAAGACTCATCAGAACCCAAGGTACAAAGATGCAAAATTTATTGCATTTTAACATCTTAGCTCTAAGTATCCTCTGGGAAGTGATTTAGGCCTAAAACTACCTCCCATTATGAGAGGATCTATTTAGAAACAAGAGTGCATGAAACTTGTTTTTTAATTTACTCAGAAAAAAATTGCGAAAAAAAAAAAAAAAAAAAAAAAGCAGAGGCCTAAAAATGTTTGGTTTGTTCACTCAACCACTTGTAATAAATTATGCATCATTGGGGTGGGCTAGATAGCTTAAGGGCTCAATGTTTTCATGTGTGCAATCAACAGAATTATTATAAAAAAGCATTTTTCAGGATGTATGTGAGAATAAAATCCCAACCCACAATTAGCCTGGTTTACAACAAGTTGAAAAACTGGCAACACCCTGAGAAAAACAATAAAAATGACAATCATTTTTTTTATTGTTATTTTATTAGTTCAGATGCTATGATTAAATGAGTATTTCCTTTCAATCATTTTGTACAGGTTGGATCTACAAGGAAAAAACATTCGAGAGGAACCAAAGGGAATTGTTTTCCTTTCCAAACTTCTTCTTTTGTTTCAGTTCTGCACTTGTGCTTCTTTTCAAAACCCAAACTTTCTCTATCACAGACAGGTACCTTGTTAACGGTAGAAAGTTTCTGCAGAAACTGTAGCCAGACAAAAGTCTGGAAGAGTCAACCAGACCTGCTAGGAAAGTTTCCAACAGGTAACCTGCTATTAAGTTTTGCAGTGCTCTGTGAGCCGAGTGAAAAGAAAGAAACCATACATTAAAACTGTAATTAAATTCAGGCTGAATTCGATTTAATTTTTATTACTTGTGTACATGAAAATTGGAGCAACATCAGAATTCCCAGCCACTAAACTTGAGTTTAACTGAACGCTAGAAGAACAGGGCTTCACACAGTGGGCAAGTTTGTCATTCAACAAAAAGCGAGTAAGTGGCTGAGAATTCTGAAGTTTGGCCCATAAAATTAAGTGCTTACGGACAAATATTCAAGCAACTACTGTAGGTCCTTCTTGGCCCCAATGGCATACATCACACTCTTCAAGAACAAACAGTGCATTTATTATTCATTTTCTTCATCTTCGAATCCACGATAATGGCCATTTTGACTCGGAAATTGTTTCCTGATTTTATTATAGGCACAACAGGGCAAGGGGTATCGCCTGGAACTACCAATATAACTCCACAGCAGTCTTGTAAATTGGCGATAGGCCACAGACCTCAGGAATCTAGTTAGAGAAATGAGATCACTGTTAATTCAAGGAGGGATTGGATGGAGATAAATAAATACTCCTTTTAAAAATAAGCAGTCGGGGCAATAAAGCCATTTAGAAAATAAAAAATGTGATTCTGTGAGATCAGTCCACGGCGATAAGCATAGATGCATCAATTATTCAATGCTATGTAAGGTTCGATCGTTCCGATACAAAGTCAACAATACCCCAACTTACTCATTATCACTTTTGTTGCTTTGCCCACGAATAGTTGTGTACGACTTTCCAGCTCGCGTTTTTAGGCCCAGTGCAGCCATTTCTAATACGTGGCGGTTTAAGCAGACGCCTTCAAACCCTGGATGGAGGGTTATGCATACGGTCCGGTCTCCAATGGCTTCTTTCATGACCTCTTCGCAGCGATCGATCTCTTTGCAGCAAATGCACTCCTGCGCTTTTGTAACAAGGCTGACAGAGCAGTTCGAGCACGAACACCTGCAAAATAATGTGAAAAATTCGTCAAACACAAGAAAAATATGTCTGTATAAAATTATTAATTGTCTGACCTCTTCAATAAAACTATCGCATAAAATCAGGACTACAGCTAATCACATAGCAACGAAATTGTACACTTAAACAAAACACACAGTCGCTGCGTTAAATCGCAGCACGATTTAACGACGGGTATGTTGACATTGGAAAATAAAAATATAAATCTACATTCCATGATAATACCATACCATTCATTCGCTGGCACCTCTCCCGAATATCTTCGTTGAAACTGTTGTTCCTCTTCTTCTTCGCGATGAACTCTTTTCGTTGTAGTCCGCGGCTTCTTCCTCGGTAGCAAGGGGTTCGCAAACTGTCGTCAGACGCGCGAAATTCAGACAATTCCTCATCACTTCGTCAACTGTAAAACTTTCTAGATCACTTTCAGATGTACAGGAAGAGGAATCCGACGGAGATGACATCTTAAACGTCTTGTTAAAGGGCTCTAAACTCACAAACTTTTCCCAAATGCGAATCTTTTGGTTGATGTTTCTACGTCACAGTGCATAAATCACGTGGTCAAACGCACGACCGCTTTGCGGAGATCTCGCGGGCTATTGCTTTGCGAACTTTGTAATGGCGGACGGTATTTACGCACTTTTCAGTGGGAAATTTCCAGCCCCCGTACGCAAGTATCGTTCCAATTTTTCGCTATTTGTATACGGTAATTTTGAACATATACAAAAGATTTATGTTAAAAAAGCTCGGAAACAAAAACAAAAATTTTCGTCGTAGTAGCACTTTAAGCATGAGTTTGATTTCACATAATCTTTAAACTTTCCAACATGTTTTTTTTAAAAGCAGCCACCTCCTATACTACACGTGTATAAGTCGTGGTTCAATTTTATCCTCAGTTGAAATTTTATTTTCCTTTGTTTTAAATTCATTACCACACATGACCATACCCTAAAACAAAGGGAAATAAATTAATTTTGAACCAACAATAACATTGAACCACAACATATACAGCAGTCAGTTACCAGTCAGTGTGCATACCATTCATGCTACATTATAAAGTCATGACATACTGTAAACCACCAAATAAAATATAAACTGTTTGATATTATGGTACAGTTCAACCGCCATTAAGCAGTCATCTTTTTCTGGTTTGGGCCACCGGCAAGTGGCCGCTTAATGGAGGTTGGCCGCTCAATATATAGGCTCATTATAAAACCACAACATGAACACAATATTTAGCAGACACATAACTTTATAATGGGAGTAGCATTAATTGTCCAAACTCAGTCCTCACTGTCTATGACAGGCTGTATTTTCGTTCATCTTATTCTTGACACAAAACCAAACTAAGTGTATCAAGCGCTTGATGGCTTCTTAATAGAGGTGCAGACAACAATTGGAGAGCTCTCGTTGGGATGGCCAAAAGATGGTTGTGGATGCTTAATGGGTGTGGCCACTTAATAGGGGTTTCAGTTCCTATTCTTTTCTATTATTATTATTTCAAGACTTTGATTACTGGTGCTTAATAGAGGGTGGCTGCTTAATAAAAGTCTAATTGTACTTGTATCAACACTATACACTACACTATTATTTAACTAATTTACATATTCTCTGTGATAACCAGTTCGGCTTCAGGAAAAACCACTCTACGACACTTGCCTTGATTGATTTGCATGAAAAAATTTCATCTGCTATTGATCGTGGTGAATTAGCGGTTGGTGTCTTTTTAGATCTCTCGAAAGCTTTCGATACAGTTAATCATTCCATCTTATTTGATAAACTTGAACACTATGGTATACGTGGCTTGGCTCTGAAATGGATTAAGAGCTATTTTTCCAACAGACTTCAATTTGTAGAATACAATGGTTATGTTTCGTATCGTGCTAATATCATGTGTGGCGTTCCCCAAGGTTCAATACTAGGGCCTTTGTTTTTTCTACTCTACATCAACGATATAATCAACACGTCAACAATATTACAACTGATATTATTTGCCGATGATACAAACGTATTTGTGTCTCACAAGGATAAAGACTGCCTTACTAATATCCTGAACGCTGAACTAAATAAGTTGTCAATATGGTTTAGAGCTAACAGGCTTTCATTAAACTTGAAAAAAACCAAATTCATTGCATTTAAACCATCCCAAAAGCGTACAAATCAAACTATTCACCTTTTTATTGATAGTCAAAAAATTGATCAAGTAAAAGAAACAGTTTTCCTGGGAGTAATCATGGATGAAAATTTAAATTGGAAATCTGAAATCTCACATGTCGCCAATAAAGTTTCTAAATGCACAGGAATTATTCGTAAATCCAGTTTCTATTTATCCACGAAAACCTTACGAACACTATATTTTTCTCTAGTCTATCCATACCTTTTTTACTGCAACTTAGTTTGGGCCTCTACTTACAGAACTAACCTTATTCGTCTTGAGATTTTACAGAAACGAGTGATCAGAACTATAGCTAAAACCACTTTCGAAGCACATACTGATTCAATCTTTCAAAATCTTGGTATCTTAAAATTTCATGATATATACTTAATACAACTAGGCTTATTCATGTACTCCTATCAAAACCATACTCTAGCTTTAAAATTTCATTGTAAATTTACCTTACAAAGTCAAATTCATTCGTATAATACAAGAAACTCGTGTAAATTTCGTCTGCCTTTCTGTCGTACTCGAACCAAGCAATTTTCCGTTTTTTATCAAGGACCTAAATTTTACAACACCTTAAACACCAACATCATCAACGCTTCCTCACCTTTCTCCTTTAAAAGAGCACTTAAGGCATTTATTTGTAATAATTATTAGTATACTTCAACAAAAATCTTGGAAAAAAGCCTTTTAATATTCAACATTTGTACATGTAAACTTCCATAATATTGATTAGTTTAATTTTTCACCTGATATTATATTGTACCCGTCGCCGTAATTTTTATGCCATCTTCGAAAAATTGTAATTGAGGAGGCCTAATTAACATAAGCTCTATAGTTTCTTTTAGGCCTCCTCGCCATCTCTTCCTACATTTTTTTTTTTCTTTTGGCATCTTTAAGTAATTATTGTAATTGTGTGGCAAATAAATAAAATACCTAAATACCTATAGTATCCACTTTCTACAAAGGTTTGTTGCTGTTGTAATTTGCATGCTCAGAGGTGCAATGTTATGCCACAACCAATACAATTATTATTTTTATTTAAATTTGCCCGAATAGCGATATTTCTTGTTTGTTAACACTGTTTTTGTTATTCAAATATTCCAGCCACTGAAACAAACGAACCCATTGTCTCAAGAACCAATAAATATTAAGCCCTGGAATAGCACATTTTTTTAGATCAAGGAATAGACAATTTGTATAGGTGATGAAGTGAAAATATTGCTATTTCATCATTTGTACATTGAAATATACCAACACAAATGGGGCCACTTGCACTAAGAGGTCACGTGACCAATGCTTCTTTAAAACGATGAGTTGGAATCTTGCTGATGCCAAAAATTGACAGAGCACATTAAGGGAGATATTTTATGGCACTTTGATTTTTCAACAAGTGGTATCATTAATTGTATTGGCCACCATGTTGGAGGGCAAAACTACTTTTTGTTTCGATCTTGTTAAACGTTTGATAGTTACGCTCAGATATGCTGTAAACATTCCCACATCAACTTCTCAACATTTTCCTTGAAGTTTAAGTGCAAAATGTGCGTTCAGAAAGAGGTAATTCATAATTTATTTTTAAAAATCACATTTTGGTCATGTGACCAGCTACGAGCTTACTCATTTTAAGAAAATGGTGCAGGTTTGAAAAACCAAATCACTATTATTTTGCTAAAGATATGACGCATTCATCATTTTTGGAAGAAAAAATCATACAACTTTCATTTTCATAAAAACAATGTCACATGACCTCTTAGTGCAAATGGCCTATTCACTTTCAATCATAAGCCCACCCCCTGTACTAAATGTGCCAGATCATAAAGTCCTTTAAGACTTATAGGCCCTAGGGCTTATTTTTGGAATATTACGGCATTAATACACTGTCATCTGTGGGGACCACCAACTTAGTTATTTGAACTGCAATCTGATGCCTTATCCACCAAGCCAATGAAATGTTAAATATATTTGTGGAAATTTTAATCATGTAACTTTCATTTTCATAAAAAATGATGTCACATGACCTCTTAGTGCAAATGCCTGTATTAAATGTGCCAGATCATAAAGTCCTTTAACATTTATAGGCCCTAGGGCTTACTTTGGAATATTAAGGCATTAATACACTGTTATCTGTGGGACCACCAACCTAGTTTTTTGAACTGCAATCTGATGCCTTACCCAACCAAGCCAATTAAATGTTAAATATATTTGTGGTAATTTGCTTAGATTTCTCTCATCAGTGAAAAAGAAGAAAAATATGGGTAGAACTACATGTTCACACAGAAATTTATAACAGTCTGACATGGTATTTTGAAGGCACCCGCATAACAGCCAATATCAAAATAGTACTTAAGCTGTTGCTATTACTGGCAACAAGAGAAATCAATCCCTTTGTGTAGACAAGACCCATAATATACTTGCAATATCATTGAGGGATTCAACTACAATAATATCAATATATGAGTCTCAAAATGTTACATACTATAATCTGATGCAGAAGGAATGCCATATAGTTAAAAAGTAATGAATTATCAATGGTATAGTATTGCACACAGTCATGTGTAATCATACTAATGAGCATACAGTGGTGAAGGATTACGGTGGAAACAATCACATGAACACTTAATATTATGTTAGAGATTTCAATTAAGTTATTGTTTTTTTTTGGAATTGAAATTGGAAGAATTGTCTAAAAATAGTACTAATTTGCTGCAAATAGTCTTGAGCACTTAAAATAGCAAATATATTGAAGCTTGTATCGGCTAAAAATAGTGAGACTAATCTCTCATATTAGACATCAAATCTACAGTAGCGTGATTTGTCAAAACTGATCAAAAAATGAAACCGTTTGATTTCAATTAGGTAGAGAACCATACGGTTATGAGACGTACACCGTGATGATATGACGTCCTATAACTGATCAGTTTATTCCATTAAGTGGCTTTGACTAGAAATAAAACGTCTAATTTGGTTTGTTTTGGTCTTAGAACAAATAACCAAAAAGGAAGCAATTCGAATTCAACCTCTATCAAATTATATAAGCTTATGATCTTGATAAGTACATACATGTATCATAGAAAGTTGATTTGTTAGGTTTCAAACAAACCACATATCGCACCATATCAAAAGATCAGCTGTCCAGAGGCTTATTTAAAAGTCAAAAATCATTCTTATAAACTTTTAAACTATCGAAGAATATACCGAGATAAGCGCTGTTAGTGGCGTGTACAAGGAAAAAATTTGGAGCGAATTTACTTGCCTCGTTTCCCAAAGTCAACAACTTCTTCACTGCGACCTCTTTTCCCTGTGATTTCCATCTCGCCCGGTACACAGATCCAAACGATCCCCCTCCGCATCTCTCGAAGAACTCCAGGTCGTCGAAATCTATCGTAACATACTCCATTTCTACGGCACTAATATAAAATTTCTACATGTTGCTATCAAAAAATTTGTGCGCGTGCGAAGAGAACGTGGACTCTGCAGACCAACACGTACTGCAGACTTACATGAAGTATGTGCTGCGTCATCTCCCTCAGCCTTCGGTGTTTTATGGTCAGAGAATAGATGTTGTGTCAGCCTCCTCCTCAGGCGCTTCGTTTTTTGCATGACAGAGGAGAGCGCGAAACGAGTTCCCGCCTTCCTTTGCGCGCACATTTTCATCAAAAGAGAGACGTCTGGGTACGAGGCAGATGTTGTGTCATGTATATTGTCATGTATGCAATACAAATTATCTATCATTTTTGAAGAGGAGAACTGGGTTCCAGTAAATTTTCGAGGCGCGATAGTGGCGCGAAGATTTAGAAATATGGCGTCGTTTGTTCTTTTACTGTGGCAGTTCTTCGCGTCCTTTTAGTCCAAAACCAAAGTAAATCATGTCTGTGAAGGTAAAAGATGTCTTAGATGCGCTCCAGCAAATGCAAAAGAGCCTTGAATGTTCTATATGGTGTGTAAAATTTCTACAAGCTTTAATAGTTAGCGTGGGTTCTCCAAAGACGAAAGACGCCATACTCATTTATTTCGTAACAAATAAGACTTACTTAATTCGCAGCCTTATTCCTTTCTTTTTGACAGCCTTGAGCTGCTGAAGGACCCTCATTCGACTAAGTGTAATCACCAGTTTTGTGGGTAAGTGTTATGAACTTTCCTTCGACGACAATTGTAAATGCAAAATTATTTTGCAACGGGCTTCACTCTTCATTGCTTGTACACTATAATCAGCTACTATGTGCCATAAAAGCTTACCTTGTGCAAACAAAAGCTCTAAAGTACACTGAAGTGTTTAAAGAAGGCTTAAAATAAGGAAACACTTGCTTAAAATCTCCACACATCTCTAGCCATGTCATTTTATTTTGTTGTACAAGCACAGCTGACAAGCAGCATTCTCATAATGATACTGTTTCTCACATACAATGTTATTAGGGCCGGCAAGAAGTACTGGTAATATTTAGGACCGAGTGGAGTACAATTCATATTGTAATAGGGGCAAAGTACTTTAATATTCCAAAAATAAGCCCCTCCATGTATAAGCCCTGGCCCCTCCAAATATAAGCCCTCAAACTCATAATGCCAAAAACCCTCCGTTAAATCGCCCCTCCTAATAAATTATAAGCCCCCTGGGGGCTTGTACTTGAAAATTGCCCTCAAATACAATGTAACACAAAGCAAAAATGGTAAATTTCCTTCCAACTATAAGGCTAGCTCAATCGATTTTGAAACGCAAATTTCCCTCTGTAGATAAGCCCCTCCAAATATAAGCCCCTCCAAAAATGAGCCCCTCAAAAAGGGCCTTTGAAAAATATAAGCCCAGGGCCTATTTTCGGAATTTTACAGTATGTATTCAGAAAAGATAAGGCCTGTTCAGGAAACGTAACCTTTTCAACTCTGTCTTTCATTGAAACAGTCAATGCATCAGGCAAGTTCTTGAAAAGAGCAGCAAGAAATCCAAAAACAAGTGGTACTGTCCTCTCTGTAAGACTCCTGTATCCAAACGGTAAGTTCTTTTATTATTTTGTTCCCCTGATCATGATTCTGAACGTTTTTCTTTTGCTGACAGGCCACAATTATGTAAGTCAGGATTAAGTCAGGAGCCGATGTGTAAGTCCATAAGCCAAAAAGTGATTGAACACCTCTTACAGTGTAAGTCTGGTCCCCTAGTAACCCAAGCATAAGCATAACATGGTCCTCATTAGTAACACAAGCATTTGAGCTTATGAGCTGTTAAGGAGTCCCTGGCAACATACTTGTCCTTACACAACACCAAAAAAAAAATTACTCCTCCCACCAGCTTTGTAGGCTGGGCATCCTAAAGGTTCAGAGCTTTTGCACTCCCTTAACTTTTTCTTAGTGATTGTTGGTCTTGAGTAATAACTTATAAATTCACCTTTTTGATGAGTTGCTGGTATACAATTTTATCTACAGGGCACTGCATGCATTCTACCTTACACGAGCATGCTGCAGAGATTCCAATTGACAACAAAAACTTTGCTTTTCATTTTCAGGAGCTTGACTCCAAATCCCAAGCTAAATGAAATTGTTGCTGCAGTGCGCAATTTACAAGGAGCAGTTCAGGATGACACAGGAATTCCTACAGGTGATCAGATTGTCAACATTTTAGGATATATAAAATGTTAGAAATTATGCCAGCACCCTTGTGATAGTACAATTTTTATGACGTAGTTGACTATAATTATCTCTATCAATGGAAGAATTAATAAACACCGAAAATACAGGTGTATTTCAGGAATATTTACTGTAAATTAGCCAACATAATAAAGCTCAGGACTCATAAGCACACTACAAAACCATTGACAAATTACCATTGCTGCTTGTGCAGTTTAGTTTGTCATACCTGATTTGATTTTTATCGCAACAAAATAACATTCCAGAAATATTAATTCTGGTTTTCACTGCTACCTTGCTAATGTACAGACCAGTGTCAATCTTTATTTTCTTATTGTATGAGTATCTGAGTATAATAATTTATTTTGTAATTTGCTAGCAATAAGTTTTCATTATTATTATTATAGTAAAAAACTTCTACAAATTCACTTTCACATGGATCAAAACTTACATTTATCCTGGAGCACTTGTTGTTGGGTATTCTGAGACATAAATTTTGACTTTTGACTTTGCAAATTTTATGTTTAAATAATTGTTTATGTTAGGCCCTGTTCAGATACAAAACTTTTCATGGCTGGTTGAATTGAGTCAGATGACGGTCCTAATTCCAGCTGAACTGGGAGAAAAATGCTCATTTCAGCCAAAATATTGCAAAAATTCATAGTAATAACATACATATTTCAATCCAAAGTTGAACTACACTGTCGCTGAAAAAAGCTCATTTTGGTCAAAATGCTTGCAAAATGTGTAATAATAATATATGCATTAAGTTACACACATAATTTTATAAATTAGGCATCTGAATTGAAGCATTGTTCCATAGTCACTCCAAAGTTGAATTTCCCAGCTTGGCAAGGCAGGAAGAACAGCTGAGTATTTCAAATTGAAATAAGCAATCCTAATTGTTTCAGACACCAAACTTTTCATGTACTTTATTCAAAGTATTACCAGGTTCGGCTCATGAAATGTTAGTGTCTGAACCCAGTCTTTAATCTGTGTGATCATGATTGCAACTAGCTCTTATCATCTTTGTTCAGGTTCTCCACCATCACAGCCCTTGAAAGTACCCAACACAGATGTTAATTCAAGTGTGGTTTCTTTTTCTGTTCCTCAACCAACACCTCGAAAAAATGCTACAGGTCGCAAGGGTAGACGGAAAGCTTCAAGAGACCAGTTTACTGTGTACATAGAAAAAAAAGGTATAATTATAACGATTTCATACGAAAATAAAAGTTACCCCAAATTTTTTTAACTTTGCACTAAGCACTGCCTTCGACCAAAAATTGTATCCAATGTATGAATGTACAACGCTTGTGTGCATTGGGTAGAATATTTAAGTTGCATGTGGTACAGTGTAGAAGACACTCTAACCTGCAAAACAAAGCAACCTAGAGCAGTAATTATGACAGTTGTAGAAATAATGTAAGCAGACATACAGTTGTACATGTTTTACAATGTACATGTATACAGTGCAATGTACCAATAAAATTTGTGGTGAATAACAGTCAAGATCACGTAGTGTAGGGTACCTGGTATTCTACAAGTCCAGTTAGGATACCACATTCACCTTTATACTGGGTGTCACTGCAGTTAACAATTTGCTCAATGAATTTACAGGCTGTACAAGAAGAAAGCATGAAAAAAAAAAAAAAACTAGAATTGTTTTTTGTACCTACTTGATTGTGTTACATTGTAGCTATTCAACCTGCCAAAGAAGTAACAGAAATGTTTGGTTAACTGCTAAGTCAACTACGGTCACATTTTTTTACGTAATTCAGTTCTGCTCCAAATTTTGTAAAAAGAGCACATACCAATGGTCATTGGCACTAAGAGTGAAGATGTACTGTAACACACTCTGCAGTTGCAGCTGGAAAAACAAATTAATATTATTGTCATTCTTGATTCTATACAGAAAATTTTGGACATGCTTTGGAAAGCCAGCCTCCTCAAATTGTATCAAATGTGAACATAAGGTACTTTACAGTCCACACATGCGTGATGTGTTTCACTTATAACTTTGGTTAAGATTTTGCTTTCGTTTGTTTCAAAGTCATTATCGTAAATCATTACCATACAAAGGAAGGTGAACTCTAAGCCTAGGAGAAAATTAAAGCACAACATGCATACCATGTTCCTGTAAATAAAAAAAAAACATACATGTACCCATTTCAGACAATACCACTGAGTCACTGTAATGAGCATCCTTTGCAGATGAGTGCCCTTCCACAGAAAGGTTGTAGCCAAACTTACATCAAGAACTTTTGCCAGGCTAAGTGCCCCTTACTTTCATAAACAAAAATGCCCCATTCACACCAAATGGACATGTTAAATTAAACCAGGTTTAAAAAAATGAAAAACAGACATACAAAACTGGAACACAGGTTTATTTCAAACAGGATTCAAATGAAAATCAAGTAACATTTTGTAATTTGCTCTTAATTCAGAAAGCAGGTTTTAAGAAGGAAACAATTTTAAAACATGTTTAAGCATTGGTGTGTACGGGGCTTAAGAATATCTAAAGGGAAGGGGTTCTATAATAATAATTCTGTTCTGACATTTTTTCCCTGTTACTTTGCTGTTTTTAATTTGAGGACTCCCCTCCTCTCACTGTAAGTTAGTGCCCTCCATAGAATAAGTGCTGCCCTCCTAGGTCGAACCACCATGTGCGACCAGCTCTGGTAAGCAACCACCACCCATAAGCGACCAACTATCAAAAACACCAAAATTTTCCCAGTCAGCACCCTATAATCAGAACCTCTGTAAATGACCCACTCCTGTAAACTACCATGACCACTTTTTGGCCTGATGGTCTATTATCTTCTCTTGTATTTAACCTTTAACCTCTTACAAGCAGCCACCTGTGCAAGACGTGGTTTTTTTGTTCGCTTTGTGAACTTCGTCACTCAGAGTAAACAAAGAACTTTCCATGGGTAGTGTAGGAACTGCTCGTAAGGTCTCTCCTAATTGGTCACAGGAAACAATGACATGTCATTCTTGTAATTGTTTTAGTATTGTTTGGGGTCAGTGAAACACACCTATTTGACTTCTCTTCCAAGCAGCTACTACATGACCCCTTTCAGTGCCAACATCGAAAACATAGGACATGTTTTGTACTTCTGTGTCGGGACCTCTTTTTGAAAGAGACTCCCTGTTTGACAATTCTTGTAAGCGACCACTAAACCTTCTCATTTTGGTTGGTCGCTTATGGGAGGTTCACCTGTCATATATTGTAGTCTGGGGGAAATCTGTGGCCACTGTAGCCCCTAGTGACAGCCCTGTTAAAGAAATATACATGTATGTCTGGCTTGTGAATTTTTCCATGCACATTTTTAAAGTAAAATAACCAGACCTGACCAGGTATTTGGTGTTTCACCCTTCCCCTCCCCACACCAATGTTTTTTTTTATTATTATTATTTTTTCAGCTTTATTGGTCTAAACCCCTTCTCAGGGTTGTCACTAAGATTTCAAGTTGCCGGGTAAACAGGGTTCTCAATAGATTTTTAAGTAGGAGGTGATCACTGATAAAGTAGGAGGCTCTTCAGCAAAGCCAGAGGTGTCAAAACAAAGCAAAGAAAAGCGACTTAAACACAAAGTAAGCGGCTATAAATCCCAAAGTAAGCGGCGATCAATCGCCGGGTGCCGCCTTCTATTGAGAACCCTGGTAAATACAACAAGTAGGCGGGGAATCAAACGGCTAGGGATTTCTTTTGGTTCTATTTGTCTTCTATTTTCCAATAAAAGTAGCCGGGGTCCACTCTCTTAGTAGCCGGGGAAAATCCCCGGCCCCCGGCTCTTAATGACAACCCTGCCCTTCTTAATTAATGATGTAAACGAAAAAGAAGGTGATGCAGCATTACAGTTCTTTTGAAGCTAACTGCTTAATTCCTTTATTTCAAAGCCATTATTACAACAATATTACAATGCTGTACAATAATACACATTGTAGGCCACGCAGTAGCTGGGTGAGAGTCTGCAAGTCTGTTAAGTTTCCTTGGCTTGTTGGTTTTGTTATAATTCCATATCACTGCCTAGAACTGCACACGTTCTGTTCTCCTTTGATCATATTTTTGTTTATACATTGTAATTTTAGTTCATCGCTTCGACCATTGCCAGTGACGCAGACACAAACAAAAGCCAAGAAATCAGCCAAAATAGAAACAACTAGGAAGACAAGAAATTCTAGAAGAATACAGGAACAGAAGAGTCTTCCGGAGGACACAGATCTTGGGAGGAACAGCAACGATGACCTGCTTCACTTGATAGATACCATGACTTTTAAACCGGTTCCTACTGAAGGTGATTGATCTTCTTTGCCACCCTGAAGTTTCACCTAAAATCATGAACTTGGAAAAATGAGATGTTATAATGTACATGTACAGTGTATAGTTGCATGGACTAACGATACTTAACATGTATAGCTGTACAGTGTATTTATCTTGCGCCTTGTCTATATAAAATAACCACATTACTTGCTAATGAATAGTATTACTGAAGCTAGCAGTACACTGTAGTTTGCTTCAGATCGCTGACTGCGGTTTCACGGTTTACACTTTATTTAAAACAGCAGTGCATACATGTACATCACCAGCAGTAGCTTGGCCGGTTTTGGCCTCCATTATAGTGTTTTATCCGGCATCGAAAGTTGGAGTAACACTATTTGTTTTTTCGTACTTACAGGTTCATCTAAAGATTTCATTTTGGACCCAAAGACAGAAGAAAAATTAACGCCAAGTGATAATTCCTCTCCTTCAACAATAACTTTGAGCACATTGAAAGAAGTCGCAGGTGAAAAAGACGATTGTAAACTGAATCCGTCCATGCAGAAAGAAAAACCTGTTTGCTTAACAACAATCGCTGAGGCGGACTCGTCCATCAGCATTAACCCTTGTAGTAGTACAGGATTGTTTGGAGACAAAAACTTGGTAAACTGTGAGAACACAGCAAATCCCAAAGAAAATGTAGTGGCAGATACCAGCTCAAAAATTGCCAACTCTACATTGTTATGTATTCCTCAGAGCACTTCCTTAGACACCATGCAAAGTGTGTCGATTCTGCAGTCACTGGAAGATCAACCTCATGATTCAGCTGGAGGCTTTTGCAATGAAAGTGTCGTCGAAAACAATCAACAGAATGATGTTACTACCTATCAGGGCGATGAAACAGACGAGCTGTTGGCAAATGAAAAATGTGATGTGGAAAACAGGGAAGAAATGTACGATGAAACTCGAGGTAAAGCTTGTGGTGAAAATCCAATTCATGATGTTGACGAGGCAAACTTTAAGAGGAGGAGTGAAGAAAACAAGCAGATCTTAGGAAGCATCGCTTATACAGAAACGTATGAGAAAGTTCGCGATGTGTTACCTAATAGCATCCCCGCCAAAATGCCAGAAATAGAAAATCATTGCATTGAAGGAAACAACTTGAGCTCGACCGTTATTTGTGGTTCAGCCATCCAAGAAAAACCAGCTGGAAACTATGAAGAAAGGGAGACTCATGATAAGCGATTATCGCAACCTTCTGATACAATACTGCCAACTGAAAATGTCAAAACTAGTGCTGAGCAGAGCTTGGACTTTGAGGGTTTGGTATCGCTGTTTGGCGAGCCCTCGTATAGTACCTCTCAAGACGCAATGCACAAAGAAGAGACCGCACAAAATAGTACTCGTTTAGATAAGGCTGCAGAGCAGTGGCAACACGCCCAAACTCTGGATAAGGAGACCAATTTAGGACAGTCTTTAGAGGCAGTGCAACAAGTCCAAACTGTCAACAACATTTCAAGTTGTAGTAAACCCAAGGGTAAGAAAACATCACCCCGTCAAAAAGGGCGTGGTCTTGCAAACTTGCAAGACAGTGAGGAGAGTGATGATTCTTCGGATTTGTGTGAACGCGTCAAACAAAGGCAGAGAAGGGGAACGTCCAAGATGCTGCTGACAGAGTCTCCCACGACGTCATTAACAGCTGAGTCGAAGTCAAAAAAGCGGACTGTAGATTCTATGACTAGTTTTAAAACAAGAGGTGAGTCCAGCCTCGAAGGCAGTGCCAAGAAGAAGTTTAAAACATCTGAAGTTCCTTCCCCAAGTCAGCTCTCCTCAGAGAAACCAAACACAGCAAGAAAACAGACACCAAGGACCAGTGAGGTTTCTAGCAAGCAGAAACAAACAGAGGACCTCGTTGCTACCGACTGTAATGAACGGAGTCAAAGTCATCAGTCTGAGATGGTCAATTATTCTTGTTCAACCGATAAGAGCATTGATTCAAATGAAATTATTCCAGCCAGCGTCTCTTCATCAGAAAATTCCAAGTCAGCAGTTATTGATCCAATGGATGTGTATGCTGATCAGACTCATGAAGAGAAGAAGGAAGTTGCCTCACAGAGAAAAGAGAGCTTGAAATTGCATAAAATTAAAGAAAGAGGCATCTTCGTCGAAGATTATTCATCAGATTTGAAGACAGCAGAAGTAAGATCTCAAGAAGAAAGGCAACACTCTACTGCACCACAAGTCAAGAATGCTGTGGACCATGACGAATCGACCCAAGGTTTTACGCCATCTCCGAAACTGTCTTTTCTGAGTCAGAACTTTAAGGACAGTACAAGTGGACAGAGCTTAATTAATGAACTGAAAACAAGTCATTTAGCTGAATCGCTTCCTTGTGACCAAAGTCAGAAAGCGAGTTTCAATGTAACTGAGCAAAGATCCCAGCTGTACGAAGAGGATTTTGTTGACCAGGAACGACTTGGTACAGGGAAAGACCGTACTGCATATGATGAGGATACTCATGTTCCGAGAAAAACCTTGAGAACTCCACAGTGTTCAAGTGGAATAAATTCCTTAAAAGGCAAGGAAACAGGCGACACCAAAAATGATACTAAGGAAAAGGGCGAATATTCTAGTCAACTTGCGGAGAATCGCTCAAAGACATGCAAACCCTTAAGTCAGGAAGGCTGTACCTTAAGTGGGACTCCAACACAGTGTTCACTGGAGGCGGATGATTTCACGCCCTGTTTGTTTGGAAACAACAGCTGTGAAACTCCAGCAAAGATAGTGAGCCAGAGGAGGACTAAACGTGTGGAAAGTCCTCTTCAAGAAGGCATCGAAGAACATAACGGAGGGATGAACGACGCTGAAATTGAAGAGATAGGTGTTGTAGACGATAGTGAAACCCTTGGTGTGACTGGGTTGCTTTCTGGAAGCCAAAAGGGTGCGTCGTTAAAAACCTGCTCCGATGGAACTCAAAGTTTTGGAACCAGTCAGAGCATCTCTGTACTACATGACTTGGACGTTCCATCGCAAGGACAACAAGAGGGTACAGATCGCAGAGACGACCGTAGTGAACCGGCATTTCATGCAGAACATTCCAACAAAGAAACAGAGAGTGATAAAGCGTGGGCAGAACCACTTCCAAAGAAACCGAGAAGCAAACAGCAGCCGGATTCACAAGGGATGGAATTGAATATGTCAAATTGTCACGGCAAGAAAAAAACCAACGGTTCAGAGCTCACGGAAAGTGAAATCATACCACCCACACCACCCGTCAAAACTGTTACCAAACACGTGTTCGATGTTCATGCTCAGTCTCCTTTAAAACTTACCAGCCCCAAAAGGAACGTGCAAATGAATGAGACCAGTAAAGCAGCCTGCCATTCCAAGAGTTTAACTGTTAAGAGAAAGCGGAGTATAAGAAGTCCTCGTTGTTCAAATTCGCCAAAATTGCAGGAGAATACCGATGATGGGACTGCGATGCACGTGAGCAGTTCTTTTAGTAGGGGGAGTGAAGTCAATGTCTCAGTACTCGAAAATCATGATCGTACTTCCACGAATGCTGATATCAAAGGCTCAAGTCAAGCCATGGAGTTTGAAGTTGGTACTAGCGCTTCTTCGGAACAACAGCTGGTAAATTTATCACAAGAGACAAATACAGAAACATTAGTTCATGGATCAAAAATAAACGCCAACAAAGAGGCAAAGAGGTTAAGACGACTAGACAACATACAAAAGCAAGGAACCTATTGTGAAAGCATTTCTCCTCGAGTTTTAGATGGGCCACGTCTTTCACAGTCTGAGGCCAACAGTAAAGTGTCGAAATATGACAACGTTGGACGAGAAGACTTGAGAGATAGTCCTTCAGCTGAAGTGGAAAGCATACATTCATCTCCATGCAGTCCTGTTAAGCGACGACTTGCTAACATAGGCGATTCATTTGATTGGTCAGGAACTCGAACCGTGCAGAAACGCGATGGGTATTCCCAGGATAGCCCGGTAGCCCTAAACAACTGTAACAATAACGCTGAACATTTTCGAGGCCAAGAATTCGAAGATTGTTACGTTGACCAGTTAAGTTCACCCAACGCTTCACAAGCTCGCGACGAAACTGAAGATTCATCGGAGGATTTCTTAAGGAAATCTGAGGCAAAAGGAGAATTGTCTAACCCTTTTGTTGGCAATATTCGCGTTAGGAATTCCTGCAGTGTCGTTGACGAGGAAATTTCATTGACGGACGCTGAAGAGGAAGACTCCTCTGGAGATGAAAGTTTATTGAAGCCGGCTTTTCTTCCCAAAGAATCTCGGAAGTCGCCTGAAAGTCAAATAGATAATACTCATGACAGTGACGATGAGGAGGAAGAAGTGACGGTTTTTTCTCAAGAGCTCATTCCTTCTGAAAACGAGGATGACGACGATGATGGAGGTAGGTAGTTTGAGCTATTCTTGGTACAGTTTAGATATGAACCTGTTTGCTTCCAGCTTGGTTTAGTCATATATTGCAGTTGAAAAAGAAATCTTGCATCATAATCTTTTTTCGACCCCCTCAACTGACTCACTTTGCGGCAAGTATGCTACAAATAGTTGGAGAAGCTATGAATTTCAACCTTATAACGTCCGTTTAGAGAGGCCGATTGACTAGCTATTTGAACCTGAGTTGGGTAGTTAATGATATCATTTCCTGAAAATAATTAGATAAATTTGCCACTCATAAAGCATTGGAATGTTAGTTTGGTGGCCAATTCTAGATATGTTATACTAATCAAGCAGCGTCTAATGTTGAAACGCTTCTTCTTTATGGTTATATCCTTAGATTTTGATCGTCACCCGATAAATAAGTTTTTTTTTTTAGTTGGTTTCGTTACCCTCGTTAACAAATTTGGAACAAACCAATTTCTAAGTATAGGTAACGGAAGAAGACGCATAAAATGGGGCTGTGGATTCATTGATCAGAGATAGGGCAGTGTGTACTGAATTCCAGATGAAATACTTTTTGACAGTAACGTGGCCGATAGGGAGAAGTCATCGAATATCTCGCTGACAGACACTTTGTCTTGTCAACTCATTGATGGTTGTGTAAAGTAAATAGCAACACAAATTTTGAAACGATTTACGTTACCTACCTACCAAATCAAAGCTATTGTGCAACATAAAACCTTTATTATCTTCATCCTTGTAGCTTCTTATAAAGCATTGGACAGTACTGGAGCATCGACTTCCACATTTCTGTCAGAAGCTGCTGCATCAACTCAGGTTTATCAATCAATCTTTATTGAGATTCATATCATTTAATGTACGTGTAATATCAATGATTTCTCCTCTAATGATGGTGATTCTTTAATAAAAGAATATGCCAAATTTTCGTGGAGACTCGGTACACTGTTTTAAAAAGTCAAGGAGATGATAAAAACTATAAAAACAGGGGTTCACCATTCTCGTGTCAATAGGCTATGTTCACACTATACTGCAAGGCTTATGCTCTGACACGAAAACCATACTGGAAAGGGCATCTGTTCACACACAATATAGGTGATATCGGCGCTTATTCTGCGCAACGCCGACTTCTAAAGTGGAGAGTCACATGGCGGATTAGATTTTCGTGTCGGCATGAAAAGCTATCAGGTTTTGTGTGAAAATAGCCTTTGTACAGGTACCGTACAACGGTAGCGAATACCACTTCAAGTGGTATTCGTTAGCGTTGTACGGTAGGCCACTTTAGCGATAGCCTTGCCCGACCCAAAACTCCATCAAAAGCAGCCAATTCAGTACCGAAAAAAGAAAATTCAGTGAATATTGCTTGAGTTAGACTTGCCACAAGTCGACCTCCCCAGCTTTTCCTTCACAGCTGTGAGTTTTTTCCAGGGCTTTTTAGGCAGCGAAGCGGTCGAGCAAGCGTGGAAGTCACGAGAGATCTCGCAGGCCGTATTAAATAGGACGAAGGACGAAGGAAAGTATCTGCTTACGTATGTCTTCAATCTGAAATACCCTCTCCTGTTTTGCTCTATTTACTTAAGTAAGGGGAAAACTGATGATGTATCTCATTTCCTAACGTGTACATACTTCGCTGTACTGACACCACTTCAGAGGGATTTATACTCACAGCCTGTTGTATTTGCTCTGATAATTGCTTTCTACAGAGAATGGACGTTCTTCGGCAAGACGTAGAGGCTATGGAAAAAGAAATGGAAGAATTAAGGGCCTATCTTGCAAAAACTGACGAGAATAGAGAAGACGAAGAACATACGCTTAAAGACGACGACATAAACTATCAAGAAGCCGGTAAGAACACTATTAGGCCCTCTGCAGCTGGTCATTAGGGAGCTTAAGCAACTACGACGGCGACGGCTGCAAAACGTCACTTAAAAAGTGAATTCGCTCTGTCTGAAACTTAATCGCGTTTGTTCCATCTCGTTCAATTCGTCAAATGCCGGCAAATTTTTTTGGAGTTGAATTCTAAAGGATTGTGTCAAATTATAGGAAACGAAAAAGAAAGTTGTCTTCTGTTCATGGCCTCCACAAAACGTGAAATTAGGCATTTTCAAGTCGTAGTCGTGCATTGACGGCAAATAAATTTACAAAAAAGCGTGTGCAGAGTTGTTTTTTGCGAAACTTAACCTATTGCCTTTATGTCGTTCTCGTTGACGTCGCGGTCGTCGTTGCTTAAGCTCCCTATTTTCATGGCACAAAACCGCCATGCTGTAGAGCAAGGGACGCACTGGGAGAAGACAAACAAAGGAAATTACCATTTTAAATGACGTAAGGGCCTGTTGCATAGAGGTGGGGACCCCAAATAGGTGAGGTAACATGCGGCTGGTCACTCCACCTATCATGTACACGTGATCAAATTAAAGTAAGACATTACATGGGCAGGCAGGTTACCCCACCAAAGCGGGTTACCTTACCTACCTGGGGTCCACCACCTCCATGTAAACAGGCCTTAAATCTTTTGTTTGTCTTGTCTTAGTGCGTCTCTTGCTCTCAAGCAAGGCGGTTTTGTGCGACGTGAATGACATTGTAGCGGCACAGGGCTATTTGGGATAATTTGGAAGTCAACTCTCGTCTCACTAATCTTGTTTTTTAGAGTTTGTGATCTTCTGTTCATTTTCTCGTCACTGCTACTGCTGCTGCTGCTGATGTCGTCCTTTGTAGAAGTGTTTCATGTGGTTACACTATTTTGAACAAAGATTCCGAAATACTACTTTTTTCGCCCTTTCCTTGTTACATTTTTTCGCTTCTGAAGGCATTTTGTTGTTCTTCGCATTATCTAGACATATATTGAATTCAGTAAGATATGGTTCGTTAACTCAAAAAGGAATTCTTTAACTGTGAAGATGAACTTAGTAGAAAAAATGAGACGCATACAGTAAATGCTAAGCATAATAGCACATTGATTTTACAGATTTAGTTGATGATAGGGATATCCAGCCATCGCTAACTCCACCACCGCCGCTCACGCCAAAGAGCATCCCTCCAATGCCTCAGCTCTCCACCCCCCTGAAAAACTTCTCACGCTATCTAGAACAGGAGGGGCAGTCTTCCGACGAAGGTAGCGAGTGTGAAGATGCAACAATCAGTGAGCCAGTAAAGAGAACAGAGTTGCCAAGGAGATTTGGTTACCAAGGAAACAGGAGTACTACGGAGAGACTTAGTCCAGGAGAGAAGTCTGGAAAGAAGCGTCCTTTGTCTCCAAGTGATGACGATGATGATGGTTTGAGAATCACAGAAGTTGAGCATCGTCAAGAAGAGACGCCTTCGCCTCGCAGTAACCACTCAATGGAAAGATCTCAAGAAAAAGACGAAGACAAGTTGATTGTTATTGACGATAGGAACAGCCCTGAATCAAGAAAGGGTTCACTCTTGTTAGTAAAAAGAAGAAAATTGACTCATGACCTTATGCCTAAAAAATCTCCAGTCGTTAGCTTGTTGTTCACACGAGCAGGCAAAGGTTTAGGGAAATCTAATCAGTCTCCAGGGACGCGGTCTAAAGGATCATCACCTACCATGAAAAAGTCTTCGTCTTCAATCTATTTGCGAAAACCTGGGACTAGTATTTCGCCGATCAGGGCACGGAGTCCAACCAAAACAGGCTCACTTAAAGGCGTGTCACGAGATAATTTGTCGAAAAAGGATTCGTCACATAATGGTGTGTCACGCGACGATGCGTCAACCACTAGTGTGTCACACAGTAATGTGGCACGGGAGAAGTTGTCACATGAACGGAGTCACTCGCCCGACTTGGTGCTCACTAACGTCAAAAAAGTGACAAGCAAGAAAAGCTTGGACAATAAAAGGGAGGACAGGACTACAGACAGGCAGCTATCTTTTGTTGCGACACGTTTAAACAGGCAGCAGTTGGTAAGAGTTTGCTTACGCGTTCTGCGATACACGTATTTCTAGTTATTATACAGTGAAACCTCCATTAAGCGGACACCTTCGGGACCTTCCCAAGTGCCCGCTTGATAAAGGGTGTCCGCTTAGTAGAGGTTTGTAAAAATCGGGGGCACCCAACGACTGTTTTCTGTAGAATATCTGTTCGGGGAAGGGAAAATTTCCTGGAATTTTCTATAGCTTGAGGAAGGCTAAAAATTTCTAGATGACTTTTCCATTCGTGTACAATTTTCTTAGCTACTTATCTTATAAATTCCCTACGATTTTCTAAAGTTTAATTTTTCGCATTTCACTCCCCAGGTTAAGCTATTTTTCGTAGGAAAAAGAATCCTAAAATTTTCGGATTTGGAAATGTCATGGAGAGAGGAATGAGAACAATTCTTACTTTTGCAAAACTTTAAATTGCATCTAAAATTTTCGGAAAATAGTACTGAAGCCCTAGCAATTTCGAAAAGACTCAAGTTGCCCCAGGATGACCGATCAGATACAAATTTTATAACGCCGCTTAAAATGCATTCAATGCATTTAGGAAGAAACCGGCGTTGAGTGCCCCTGAAAAGTTGCGCAATTTTTGTTAACGACTGACATTCAGCGGTTACTCTGTACTGTGATTAAGTTCCATGTTGTTGAGGAAAATAAGGAAGCTGTGCTGTACTTTGCGCAAGACTTTTAGGCGAACTTTGATCGCGGATGACAATTATACTGCCGGATATCGGTCTAATCTACAGTTTATTGACAGCTAAATGTATTGATTTATCTTTATTAATCGACTACAGTACGTATTTCAAGGAAGTAATCCAATACTACTATTGTCAATTCAGTCCGGTGTCCGCTTAATAGAGGTTTTTAACAATAGAAATTAGCCAAGTACGATTTTTTTTAAGTGTCCGTGTCCGCTTTATAGAGGTGTCCTCTGAACAGGGGCTTTTTATAAAGGGAAATATAAGACGTTAATTTCGGGACCCGGCTTAGCGCCCGCTTAGTAGAGAGTGTCCGCTATTTATGCGCTGGTTGAAGCCTTTTTCCTGTTTTCTCCTTCAATGCATTGCAGGCTTACGCGTGATAGCACGCTATCAGGGGCGGTGTTGTGCTTCATTATGAGCCTCTGGTGCTTTGATGCAGTCTGCAAACGTATTTTCGGTTACCAACTCTCTTCTTTTCAGGCGAAGGGTGGCGTCAACCATAAATACGTTTGCGATCGTAGGCTAAGTTTGTTGCCGCACCACTTCAGATTCAGCGTGCAAAGAAAGTAGTGTCCGATAGCCCGGGGCTAGTGGATTTTGCTATCGGGCAAGTGAATTCTGTTTTTAAGTTGCCCGACGGGCAAGTGATGTTTTTTGAGGAATTTGAATAACAGAAGAACTGTGAAATCAATTCTGCTCGTCAAAAAGGTTTGGGGCTATTTGAAATGACGTCTGGGCTAGTAAACTCTAGCTTCAGCTTGCCCGAAAGGCAAGCTGTAAAAATGATTTTCTTTGCACGCTGAGATTTCTTCTTTTATATAATATTATCATATATAAATTTTTCCCATATAGCGTTTGCCAATTAGACCTCGCTTCCTTCTCTTTAAAAAAAGAAACCATCTTTAACATTCCTAGGGAGCTTAGTTTTTGTTGTGGAAATATGGCCGTTCTGGAGAGGTTAAAGTGAGAGTAAATAAGAGTGGCCATGAGCAAAGGTTTAACTGTATTTTCGCTCTGTTCACTCTATGTGATATGTTGTTCGCCAGGCTGAAGCTCGCACCCTCGCTGAAATGTATGGTGGAAAACTAGCTAGCGAGTTCAACAGCAAGACAAGTCACGTGATTATGACCACTGGTATGTCGCTACATGCTGACAAAATCTGCTAGATAGTTAACCTACCCTTGACACATTTAACCTTTTCACTATCACAGAGTCCATCTCGGTGGTATACAATGTTGTCTAACTTAGCTTTTCAGCATCATATAATATGATCTTCGTATTAAACCGCCTACTTGCGATTGTTACACTTAGGACTGGTCCTGACTGAAACATTTCACGTTCGTTGGATGTTACGTGATATCAAAGTACACTAGCCAATGAAAGCGCGCTGTTGAGGAAAAATCGAGCTCTATAGCAATAGCATTTATCAGTTTTTAGCACTCATAGATTCTCGCGTTCAATCGTTCGCAAATCTTCCTCTTTCAAGTGTCTCGATAATGCATGAAAACTACTTTTTAGTTTTTTAGTGTCGCAAAGAAAATGATAATTTTAAACTACCAATGCTCCATCATTCTGAACTGTTTAGACAATTTTTTTTACCTCGTTTAATGACAAGAACCGAGAATGATCTCTCTTTCTTCCAGATGAGAATATGCAGTTGACACGTCATAGTTATACCATGAAGTACCTACTGGGTCTGGCTCTTGGAAAATGGATTGTGAGTCATCGATGTAAGTCAATCACTTGATTAAATTAAAAATCTTGTTCACATGAAATCAAAATTAAAATCCTTCCTTCACAACGCTCGTAAACACTAAGTGAATCGATTAGAATTTAGAGTGAACGGGAGTGCGAGAGCCATTCTAGTTTCCAGATTCCCACGGCTTTTTACTCCGAGCGAGTTGAGGCGGGGTTCGGTAACGAAATCTTGTTTTCTGAGCATTTTTGCAATTGGTTCTGGTTTTATCTCTTTTTTTGGAAAAAAAATTGCGCGAAATTTTTACGAATTTAGTTCATATAATCGTCTAAAGATCGTTCTAATATGCTCAACTATATGTATCACTTTGTTCCCTACTCCAAAGCATGCTTAGGATAAACGTGATCCCATCTCATTGGTTTCGTTTCTGCCTTTTTACATTTTTTTTTTAGGTCAGGGTGTGTTATTTACGCTATGGTAATTTTTTTTGTATTCACAGGGATTGCTGCTTGTAACCAAGCCAAATCACTTGTTTCAGAGGTGATATCACCGTTCATTATGGGTTCTTTATTAGGTTTCTTAATGCTGCCACAAGCAATGTAGAAAGCTCAACCTAAAACCAAAAGGCAGAACACCTCATTTTCGTTCGCTTTGATCCGCTTTTCATTCCTTTTACAGAGACAGTCCTTTGACATATACACAGGGTATGCAGTTAGCCAAATACCCTGACATAACAGCAACACCGACACACCATCGACCCTTGCACCTCTAGTTCACTTAATCAGATCTTTGTGATGTACAAAACCATGTAGTGAGTCGGTCTTGTAACATCGAATTTTTTGCCTTGGTTTTATTCGCCGCATCAGCTGAGAAGGACGAGATTTCAGTTCATGGCGAACGATACGTAGATACTTTTCTTTAACAACGATCTCCGATTCGCACGTTTTAGGTGGATTATGAAGTAAAAGGCGATGCAGGTCTTGGACAAGCTTCGATTCCCCGAGTAGCAAGAACAGCCAGAAGCAACAAAGTACGACTTAATCTGTATAAACGAATTTGGCTCGATTTCAGTGAAGATTTCTTCTGATTAAAGATTGCCCGGGAAACCCGTAATTTGTTTTGTTTTTATTTAGGAAGCACTTTTATTTGAAGACTATGAAGTCCTGTGTTTAGGTGAATTCAGTGCTGCTGTCACTAAAGGTAATATATGATGCGTGTTATTGTCATTTAGTAGTCATTTAGCAGACGTAATCAAAATTCGCAACTTTATGAAAGGGGAAGTAACTGGACTGTTGTTTTCACAAACAGCAAGCGTTAGCTCTACGTTATCTCTTTCTTCAACCACTTCTTCTAAGAGGTGCATGCGATTTAGGGTTTTAAATGGAGGACAAGCATCGCCTCAGATATAAAGTTTGTATTTGGGTAAGAAAGGATGCATGGGGTAAAGAAGGGGGGAGTGTATATCTGGGGAATGCAAGGAGTCCCCCTTCCTCTTTCCCCCTTCCCCCTTCCCTAAGCACTGTGGTTCATCTGTGGCTGTTACACTGAATTTCCCTTTTCATTGGTAGCAAGTATTTCTACTATGTCTTTCTACTATGTAGAAAGTACGGGCTGAAAATGATTTGTTTTGTATTATTTCTTACCTTTGACAATTACAGAACAACTCAGCCAGTTATTGAGATTTTGTGGAGCAAGTGTCTTCACTAACGCTGAAAGCATGAAAAGGACCGAAAAGGTATGTTACATGGGACATTTTATGAATAATTAAAATTTTTGAAAGTCAAAACTAGGAATTTCATGCGTTCCGGCTCAGTTCACTGATCATCTCTTTTAAGATCCTTTAGAACTTTTATGTAGCCATAGGTAATCGAGTTTCCTTTCCGTGAAAGTAACAACAGTTGTTTTAAATTGCCTATATCGTAAACGTAAAAGTTTTTATGTTTTGAAAAAACACATTACCACAAGAAAGTCTGATTAAAAAAATTGGCCCTCTGAACAAACTGAGAATTTTTTTTTTTTTAAATAAAATTTAAGGTATTAATTTCTTTGGCACGTCTATTCCGCTGATCATGAAATTTACAGTCTCATGTGTGACGTCATGAGTCATAAATTCGGCAACTAAAAAACGGGATTTTATACATACTTATCCTTTTCTTTGGGTCGCCAGTGTTGTTTATTTACCGCGCGACTACTGAAACCGGGGCCACTTAGACAAAGTATTACAGGAAAATAACAGTACACTCCAAAAAAGGGTGGTTGTCGATCAATCAGCAGCTCGCAAAAACAATAAGTTACTCGAAGCACAAAACTTACCGTAAATACTCTATTAAGCCCCCCTCTCAAATAAGCCCCCTCCCTCTAATAAGCCCCCCTTTTTCAGGGGAAGAAAGTTAATAAGCCCCCCTCCCCTCCCCTATTTATTCTAACTTCGTGTAGACTGATCCTGGATGGTTTACTTTCCAACTGGAAGATCGGATTTGATTCTGATCCTCGGCTGCATGACCTAAAACTTCTTGTAATTGAGCTTTTCCACTTTGCCTTCTAGTTCTTTATGGAGAACTGATACTATCGTGGTTTCTAAATTTAATAAGCCCTCCGTCTCTATTAAGCCCCCCCCCCCCCTCCCCACCCTACTTCAACTATTGATAGCGGAAAGCAAAATGTTTCACCAGACAATGTTTTTCTATTCGAAACTTTGCATACAACACCCAGTCACGTGTTCCTTAATTTACCTCATAGTTCTTTTAACGTACGTCATAGCTCCTTGGTTTCCGAAAGGCTTCCTTTTTTCGTAAAGGCTCTCGTAGTATTGTGCGCTTATTAAAAAACCAAAATTTTTAAGTTATGGGCACCTTTTTAGTTAAAACTAAACAGAATACCTGTTGTTTTTACTCTCTAGGGTCGTCAAAGAGTCGTCACAATTGACAAAGAAACTCGTGATAACGCTAAAGAACTTAAAGGTACACAAAACTGCATTTTAAGCCCCGTGCAAACGGACGCAACATTGTTGGCCAACAACTCCCAACATTGTTGGATGTTACATGTTGGGTCCGTTTGCACAGTCTGTTGCATGTTTGTTACATGTTGTTGAGTGTTTTTGGGAGTTGTTGCGCAAAGTATGAAACCGGTCAACCTTTTATTTTTGAGAAATTGTAAATGCCGAGACTAGGAATGTGTTCGAATAACTTGAACTACTTGCAAAATAAGACATCACGTCTTTACCACATTCGACGCACGTATAAGAAATGTAAAATGTAAAAATAAAAATGTTCTGGAAGTTTTAAAATCCTCGAAATATATTTCGCTCTTCGAGCCTCGTCAGTCAAGCTTTTAGCTACGTAAAAACGGACGCTACAACTCCCAGGATTGTTGGCCACACGTAGCTTAATACTATGTTATTTGATCTGGCTCCCTTGATATCTTTGTTTTAAGGGAATGTCATTTGTCTTTGGTCAAATTTAACTGATTTTTTAATTGACATATCGCTTTTCATTTTGCATAGCTATCTGCCGTCAACTAAACAAGAAGCCTGTATCTTTGGAGTGGGTCACCGATAGTATTGCAAATTACAAGTAAGTGGCGTGGACAACTTCAAGTTTTCCCTTCTGTGGCTAAGACAAGGGCACTGTCGCCGATATAAAATAGAACACAAGGTGGTTTTTTGTGGTCATTTCTACGTTATCGTTTTTGCTTTGTGACCGTATACCTGTGAGCATTTTGTTTTTCCAAGTTTCAAGTAAAGGATTTCTTTTTTTTGTACTTTGTGTGGATTTGATAATCTTCCCTTCCTAGACTGAAAATGTTTTTGTTACGATAACTATTGCGATCGATATACTGTCATTCCATATGGCTCCTTTATTCGTTTCTGTGATTTTCTAATCAAAATCATTTTCCTTTTTTTTTCCCCAGGGTTCAAGATTTGAAAGACTATATCGTCGAACTTTGAAGTAAACCATTATTACTTACCGAAAATGATAAAGATTGATATACATGTATTAACGAACTCACACATAATACTACGGGGTAATCGTAACACTTCACTTGTGCCACAAGTTAAATGTCAGGAATCAATAATGGACTTTTAAGCCTGAACGAAAACAGGAAAGTAGACCGACACAACGAAAAAACAAATCTGTTTTATGTCTGTTCTTTGTTCAAGACTATACAGAGAACAGATTCAGAGAGAAAAGTTGCAGCATATCTCGGTACCGTGTTGAGTAGTAAATTGTTGTTTATTAATATTTGAATTCTAGGCAGGTTATCAGTCTGTCAGGAGACGAATCCTACCTGGTGTAAATGCAATAGGTTTTATATTGTCAATTTTAGGCCATGCGGTCGTTACTACAGAGTAAATATTATTCTCTTGAGTTGTTTGCCAGTCCAGTTTCTCATCATGGAGAAAAGAAAACAAAAATATCTCAAAACTTTAAGGGAATTGGTATCTTCTAGAAGAGGGAATGAAAAGGCAGTAGGAAGATAATGCATTCCCTGGCTGCCAGGGTTGTTATTATTATTAGTAGTAGTATGTTTTCTGTTTGGGGGCAACGGAATTGAGCGGCGAAGCTGGCAATTCAACACTTCGCTCTCTACGCCGCTTCTCGTCGCTGGTGAGCGAGAAGACTTCTGCCATCCAGGGAAGATGATGCAATCAGAAAAACTGAATCAGTCTTCTCTTAATGAACTCTACACACAATTTGTGCGTAGATACGCCAACATAGACAAACAGAAGACAATACATATATGTATGCATACATTTATTGCAACTTCAAATGCGCACTTTTCTGTAACAATATAGTTATTATGATTAATAACTATACACAGCTAAGACAACTCCATTTCTTTCAAAAAAAGTATATATTTTATACTTGCAAGTAAACTGAGCTGTGTGATGCAAATGTTAGTATTTCTGTAGTAATTATGTAATGCTGTGCTGGATTTCGAGTTCGCTTCAAGTACGTCAGCATAGTATGTCAGTCTCCCTATTACCGAATATCGCTTGTCTAAAACACCCGTGGGCCTCTTTGTTTTTGATAATCTTGAGTTTGCACAGAAAGAAAATGAAAATCGTCGTAGTTCAGTTTCTAGCTTCGTCGGGAATTCCCGTTTACGTTTCAGGGAAATTCCCACACTCCGTGATTGGAAAAGGACAGGTGAAATCATCCACAGACAGATTATATGCGGGCAATAATGATATACCAACTTTTATGGATCATAGAAGCGACGTCAAAATGCTGAAAACGTAAACATAAACCCCCATTTTCGAGCGGCGTTTCTTGGAAAATCGCTCGCGTGACGAAGAAAACAGATTGGCCACTGTTAACGTAAGTCACATCCGTTGTCTATGCTCTCATTGGCCGTTAAGCGCCCAAAAAATCACTAAAATATTGAGATGTACGACCTTGTCTTTCTAGCCCACGCAAGGCTCAATTACTCACAGTTCACTGAAGAGATGGATTTTTACGCCTATTTAATTCCGGAAAGTGCGAACAAAGGACGGTGCTTATTACGATGCGTCCCAAAACAAATTGACTTTTTGAACTACTGGAGACAGGTCGAGGCATGTTTCGACGACTCTTTCAACTTCGTAGTTCGACTGGAATTTCCAATAAAAAATGAAATTGTCGCAACACTTTCCGCGGGAATTTTACGTTTCTGGGAATTCCCCTTAGCTACAGCTCTGAATTATTTATTTCCCATGGCCGTGTACGATTTCGACTCATAATTTCCTTCGAGGTCAGTTGAGACAGATGAGCAGCTATCGAAATGAAAGCTCACGAGAAACAGCTCCTTGATAACAGGCTGAAGGATTTTATGTATGAAATCATACCTTTAGAGCTACTTCCGTTCCTTCCCTGCTTGAGACAGCAAGACAGAGAAGAGATCGAAGCCAAACAGTGTAATCATGGTCCGATAAAGGCCACTTTTGTTCTTGTTGATCGACTTAAAAAGAAAGACAGAGGATTTCAAGAATTTGTACAGGCTCTGAGGGAAAGTGGAAGTGAGCATATAGCGTTGATGCTGGATCCATATTACCCTTTTGTTTCTGAGGACGGTGAGTAATTACATATAATTTATATGAAGTCATATTCTATTTAACTGCAGTCAAAGCTGACTGGTCGTTTCGGTACAAGTCGTCTCATTCGATACGAACTCAAGCAGTGAGATTGCACAAAACTTTTGACCATTTTAAGTATAGTTTGCGCGTGAACATTTTGGGTGACGTGAAACTATAATTTACACCTCAACTGAATAAACTTATACTGGAAACTACCGGTAACTCATAGTCAAACCCGTCGATCAAGACACTGAGGGGGCCATCAGGAAGCGTCCGATTGAAGGGCTTTCTTTCCTCAGGGACAAAGCAAACTGTCCGTAATAATGAAGTGACCGTATTAAGCGAGTGTCCGTATCGCGGGGTTTGACTGTATATCAACATATCAAATGTTTTGTTTACGCTAGTAAGCTGTGTTTTAAACCCTGTATTGTGTACAAGAGTGCTTACGAGACAAATTTTTAATACTAATGAATATCACACTTCAGTTAAAATTTGTCCATTACCAATGTGGACCTTGTGGATCTCGCCATTTATCAAAGCATGTTTTTCAAGTTTAAATACTGAAGGTGGATTTAAATAATATATATACTATATATTGTGTTCGGTGTTGACCTCTCTGAGAAATAATCCTGTCGGCTGTTTTTTTATGCTATTCATAAAATTTTGGATGGAAAAAGAAATCTTGTTTTGTTGGTAGAATACGCGAGCTTACGATAAGTGGATTGTTTCTTTTCCTCTCGGGGAAGACTTTACGCCGTTTGGGTTTCTAGCCGAAGTTAGATTGCAAGATGATTGTCGCTCAATTTTATTGGAGGGATTAAAGGAAATCATTACCGAAACACCGTGTTGATAAAAATACTGATTATAGTTTCTTCCCTCGTCATTGTACTTGCTCTATCAGTTTAGCACAGTTAAAAACGTTAAAAAACGGCTTTCATTGTATAATGATTTAATTTATGCTGTGTGGTTGTCCCACTGGCAAAAAATCAATTAAGATCGGGTTCAAGGCGAAAAAGATATTGCTACGTAGGAACAATAAACTGGACATAAAAACCGGAAGTATCTAAGAACATAAAACGCGAAACCGAAAGTGTTGTGGGAGGAAATGAACCATTTATTATTCATTATGTTAGTTTTAAAACAAAACAAAAACGGGTTTGGGTGATATTTTAAGCAATAGTCACAGTAAACCTGAAACTCCCGCATTTGGGTAGATTTGTTCCCAAACAATCGGTTGCGGTTTCATTTTGTAAATTTTTGTCAGTGGTAGCTTTATGTAGATATATAGCCGCAAATTTGTGATATGTGATATTCCGACTGTCTGAGACCCTAGCATTCCTGACTCATTTACAGCTATAATTTGTTGATCCAATTTGTTGGCGTTTTGCCTTTTCAATCAGGAACTGAAGAGGTCAACTTGAAAACGGAAGAAGAACGCTCAAGTGGCGATGATTCCAGAACGGATGTCGTCAGATATTGCAGAGGAGCTCGAGGTATCAGAAATGGCAATTCTTTTAATAATAACACAGATAGTTTCCTTATCAAGATCAACCTACGCTGAAACGGTCCCTATAACTCTCTCTTAAGGTTATATATATATGCGGAATACCTTCAGGGGGGTCTCGGACACAAGTAAGTGATGGTAGCGCTTTCCCGTTAAAATGGCCGCTTAGCACTAATCCATAATAAAATCTTACTCCGGGTTTCTTTTTCTTTAGTGTTCAAAAGCATTTTTTCAGATCGTTTTCTGCATTCTTTTTAGAGCATTTAACCATCAAATTGTAGACGATCAAGAGAATTGAACCGAATTTGCTTCTAAACTTTCATGTCTCGATTCAAATTTCACACGAACCCTGGGTTATCTTAACGCAGCTTTGAACAACCCAGCCCAGATACCTAAATGAAAGCTTTGAACTGGCTATCTTAATAAACCAACGATTTTAAAAAAAACTTCACTGTCGATTATTTTTGTGATATTTTTATACAAGCGTCAGAATAAGCTTTTGAAAAAACTAAACCTCCAAGATAAATTTGTTCGAATGACCTGACATTTTAAGAGATGTTATTTTCATGCAGTGGCAGATCCAGGGGAGCCGCCGCCTTCCCCCCTCCCTTGAGACCGTTAACCCACCGCCCCCACCCCCCTCCCCTTATCTGAAGGTCTGGTTCCGCCACTGTAATCTGTAAGCAACAAAAACCTGTCAGAAAATTTTAACAACTAGAGGCAACATTTGATGCTCTTTCAAGAAGAGGGGTGGTATTTACTGCTTTTGTGGGCAAACTGTCTCTCTAACAACAACAGCAACCAGAAGTTCGATGTCTCGCTTGTTGGAACGCTTCTGTCTCAGACAACAAATGCCTTTGTTTTAATTCCTGCTGTACAAATTTGTCGAGTCAGAGCACTAAAAGAGAGAATATATCAACTTTCGGTTTCTATTTTTGGCGTCCGGGACGTCAACGTCTTTTTTGCTTAAGGTCCCTTATATCAAATTAAAGTTCATTGACCTGGCTATCTTAATCAACCAAAACATTTTAAAAAACTTGCACTGTGAATTTTAGCGACTGTGCAATAATTATCAGGAGGGGGAGCTGAATAATAAGCGGACATAAAGTAATATTACGTAGCGCTCCCTACCAACAAAGGCTCTGACCCCCCTTCTGGTCACTTAAAATTATGACCAACCCCCCCCCTCGGCCCCACACATTGACTAACATTAACATGAATTCACTCCTTATGTCCTCTCCCGCTTTTCAATGATAATCTATAATATTACCTCAAAGCTACGTTTAACATCGTCTTTTGTATCATCCTATGATTCACTGGATTGAAGATTTGAGTCATTTGCGTCACTACCTTCCATTTCTGGTTGAGTCATGACCAGCACGAAAATAACTCATAGCTACTATTCCCTCTTTTCCTCCACTGACTCGTTAAAAGTGCTCCTTCAGGCACAGCAGGAATTAAAACAGAGGCATTCAGATTCGTTGTGTGAGACCAGGAGCCACTCCTGGTGAGACACAAGGGCTCCAACAAGCGAGACATCGAACTTCCGGTTCCTGTTGTTGTTAGGGAGACAGCTTGCCCTCAAAAACATTAGATACCAGTCCCCCCCTTCTTGAAAGAGAATCTTAAATGTTGCCCAACGCCCCACCCACCCCCTCTCCTTCTTTAGGAAATGATGAATAGGATGTCATTCCAGTGGAAAATTTCCGAGAGGAGCGGAACATCCGGAAAAGGAAGTCCTTTTTTCCGGACGGGATGTCCCAAACGGAAATTCGTGTTCCATTTGTTAAAAAACCCATCTTTGATACCAGTTTCAGGCTTTCGTGGCCGTTTTTTCGGTAAAAGAAAAACTAGAGGCTGACAAATGCGGCAGCGCGGGCATTTATCATGCAGCCATAGATGGTCGTGTACAGCCTCATCGTCTGTTCTCTTTTCTTAAATTTGTCACGTGGAAAGTTGAGACCCAGTAGTTGTATTTGACTTTCAATTTCCCTCTACGCGCAGGGGTAAGACATGACGTCATTAACGCAGTCACGTCACGATCGAGTAGAGCATCAATCACAGGTCCAGGTAAGAAGTTAAGGTTTTTTTTTTTGCCAATAGGACAAACAATATTGACCATTATTGTTTCATTCGTACTGTAAAATATTCAGTCAGCAAGGTTTGTTGATTGTGTTGATTGTGTTCATCCTAATTAAAGTAGTTTTTACAATATACATTAGGAGTAGCGGCCATATTTGCAGTCAATCTTGTCCCTAGGGTCCTGGCATCCTCCCGCTGACCGAAAAGCCCGCAGATTTTGGGTATGAGACTGCAGTAGATTGTTACGCCAGTTACAGTTTAGTTCAGGTTTTTATTACTACATTCAAACCCCTTTTAATATGGACACCTCATTATTACGGACAGCTTGCTTTGTCCCTGGGAAAAATGCCCTTAAATTTTCTCAAAATTCAACCCACTTAATAGGGACACCCCGTTAACGTGGACAATATGTTATTCTATGACCCCATATTAACGGGAATTGACTGTACTGACCTACGGCTCTCAGTTGTATTTAAGATTGACGAACGCTTGTTACAAAAAGTTTTAGTTAAAAAAAAAAATAGGCAAATGCAATTAGATTGATTTCATCACCAACAGATCAACGAATAAATACAGAGAAGATCATACGCAACTTATGCAGTTGCGAAAAGAAAGCTTGAAAAAATTCAACGACCAGCTCCCCGTTGGCTTGCTACCTCAATTGGCTAGAGACCAGCACTGGTATCGCAGTGGTCAGGGTTCCAAATTTAGCCTAACTTTTTTCAGGCTTTCTTTTCGCAGCTGCATAAGTTGCGTATTTTACTGTGATGATCTTCTCTACAGTGCAGTTATTTCTTCCTCCCGCAGTTCAAATATATGAAAGCACATATTCATCATTTCAGATCAACGAATATCTACAATACCATACAAAGTGTACTCTCAGCTTGTCCTGCTCTTAGCAAGAGACAGAATCAACATCGCCAGTAGGATATTTGATTTGACACTGGAGGAAGCAATCGCTTTAAAAGACCTTACAGAGCATAGCTGTAACTCAATGCACACCGGCATGGACGCGGTTTTCCAGCTGATGAGTGAAAGACAAGTGAGACTTGGCGAGCTAGTGGAGGTGTTAAAAGAGATGAACCGATACGATGCCATAAGTGTTCTTACTGAGGCTGGATATCCTGAATACACTTTAGGTAACTAATCTTAGACGTTTCTGGGTAACTGCCCACCTACCCCTCCCCTAAGCCAACAGTAACACTTACTTCACTCCTACCCTTAGACATGTCGACATAGATTGTTTAATAAATAGGAGCAAAGAGAATATCTCTTGAATTTTGAGGACCCTAGGATTTTTTTCATTGTTCCGTATATTACAAGAGCCATAATGGCTCTTAGTATATTACCCTCTAACTTAGTCAAGTATCTCAACGTTTCTGTATTTTCACATTTTAGACGAAAACAGTGATCAAGAAGAAGTGAGCGCTGACTCTCTGAGAGTCAACAGCCTGTGATTGACCCAGCGTTGGAAGATGGGCTTTTTACATAGTTTTAGTTTTATTTATGCATATACATTAGAGTTTACCACAATGTTTGTTTTCCTACCTACATTCAAAATATTTTCCAATATTATTTGCACTGCAATTAAAAACCAAAACACTCGCATACACTCTCGATTAAAGAAGCTCAGTTTGAATTGTACAAAGTATGGACTCCTGGCAATGTGTAGTGTACAGTTTACAAGAAAAATGTTTTTTAAAAATATATATATTGTATCACAATAGATAAAGAGCATTATAACAATAAGCGAATTTTATTCTTTTGTAAAGGTTCGACGTGAAGGCTGTGTTCCATCGCAATCGAACCTTTTAGGCGTTGAACTGATTGCTCGGATTTCATCCACCATAAGTAGAAACATGAACAAAGATTTATAGAACAATTATTTAACGCAACTATCTTTTCATCGTTTTCAAATATATTGAGTTTCTTTTCCTTGAAACCGCTCCAGACCCGGGGAATAAACGTTTGCCGGCAAATCCGAGGTAAATGGCGCCGACCATAACACTAGTTAAGTAAACTTTCAAGACTTTTAGTTAATTCATATCATATTTATAATGTCTTCAGCTTTCAATGGTGAAAGTAACAATCATAGCTTTGAATGCTTTGAAGTAATTTGCTTAGCTTTTGCAAATTTCTCTCGTTTGACGGCGATCAGAGGCCGCTGCGCATGCGTAAACCTTTACAATAGAAAATATTCGAATTCCCCGACGGTCCTGGGACGAGTAGGCCTTCAGCCATGAACGCGAGGCTAATGCGGTTAACGTCTTGGCGAAAACACAAATAAACATAGGCAAATGGCGGCTGAGTCGCTGCAAAACGATAGAAGTAAGAAGAAATACCAAGATTTAAAAGCTGAAACCTTGCAGGTAAGCTAAAGGGATAGCTCTTTCAAAAAAATAAAACTGTGGGAAGAGCTGTTCGTTCTATAGTACAGTTAAAAAAGCCACGAAGCCAAAAGAAGAAGCACAGGAAGTAATCTAGAAAATGGTATTAACAATTGTGTCAAAATATCAATATTCGAATCCTTTTAGTTTCATACTCATTAGTCTTAATTACCTGTGTGTGTATCTGTAAAAAGGATTTTAAAATGATTATTATCGTCTGTTAAAAAAGTCTGAGTTAAACTTCTCCTCGATTAAGTGCATGTTCTTGTCGTGCTTGTACTCAGTTGTGAGCGAATATGTTGATAAAAAATGTATTAAACCTAAATCATTTAAGAATAAACTTTACTTTTCAAGTCATCATCGAGTGTTTAAACTGAGTTAACTTCCTAAAATAAATGCAGCGACTGTGCGCAGAACGCTTATCCACCGAACCTACTTATTCGATTTTTTCAAATACACAAGATTTTGTATCCGCTCCGAGGCTTAGGGCATGCTCACTGGATACACCTATCCACTGGACGGTCAACGCATACTCATAACGTATATTTTTTACAAGTCGCGGGTAACGTATACATATTTTATGGCTCTAATAAAGCAATTAAATGATGTTCATAACGTATTTTTGCAGCAAGCAACATAACGTATATTTACGTTATGACATAATGGTTCGTATTAAATGTATAGGTATGCATGCATCGTGTCTATAATATACATAAAATGTTGCGAAAATATAATTAGGTCGGTTTAATAATACCCATATTCTTATCTTGATACCAATATTTATGGTCTAATGCGAATATTTGAGTTCTTCTTCATAGTTACATATTAATCATTTTGTCATAAGTGGCGTTCCATACGTCTGCGTACTTTTCCCCAAGTATTGTTTTGTATGGATCGGCATTTTTGCGTTATGACATAGTGGTTCGTAATGTATTGGTATGCATGCATCATGTCTATAATGTACATATATATGTATGTTATTGATGCAAAAATATAATGAGTTAGGTTTTATAATACCGATATTCTTATCTTGATACCAATATTTATGGGCTAATGCGAATATTTGAGTCTTCTTCACATTTACATATTAATTATTTTGTCACAAGTAGCGTTCCATAAATTAGACCCACGACATCCGTAGGACACGTGTCGAATTGTGCGTGTCCGAATGGTCGAAAGTCATAACGTTCGTTAGTCGCGCACGGATTAGTCATAAGCAAAAATCGTACTGTCTAAATCGGCCCTTAAGCAGTCATCACTTGTCTAAGTTCCTTAAATCGTTCTCGATTTGTTGCCATTCAACATCTATTAGATCATTCCGTTTTCTGATGGATATTATTATCTCATCATTGTTTTTTTTTTTTTTTGGCCATTAAGCCAGTATTTCATCGGTGAGTTAGCCAATCCCGGCCAGCGGTGACCGGTTTGAATTGGTACAGACAAATTAGTTGAGCAGTCCTCGCGAGTTTCGGAGCTTTGAACTTCCGGGTTTCCACGTTGTTATGGTGATTTCTTGAACAGCTTAAATGTACTGTAATTATTCATTGAAATATATTATTTGTCTATATTTGGCCCATAGCTGTCGCCTTATGTTAATAAGTAAACAGTCTGGCCCAGGGTGTTGTTAAGTATTTTTTTTTTTCTCTCTTGTTTTTGAATAAAATATTAATGCTTCTTTTATGAAACTCAAGTAAACCGAACCTTAAATAAAACCTATACACAGGAGGAAGTGATAAGGATGTTTTTTTTTTCTTTTTATCGTGCAATTCCTATTTCACTTAAATTGCCAGTTCCGATCTTAAAAAAATTACATATTCAATGGGAAGGAATTAAGCCGTATGCTTAGAGAAGGCAATAGTACGGTGCTGTCTTTATTTACGAACACTTTTGATATCCAAAGGTCGTTTTCTTTTACATAAATAATGGTGTAGCAGAGGCAAGAACAAAGTCGAGGTTAGAACAAAGTCGCGTCGATTACGTCCTTCCACTTCAACTTGGTGGAGAATTCTGGCTCGCTTTTTCTTTTAAAATGAACTTGATTTCGAGTCTAATTGGTGCTCATTGATATTTTAGAAGGTAAAGGTTTAGCATTTTGGACTATAAAAGTTAAAATTCCCATTTAATAAAACGGTGAAATAATTGAGAGATTTATTACTTCTATCGTGAATGTATATGCTGTATTCAGCAACTGCATAATTTGACCTTCAGCATCAATTTGTTTTAGTTATATTTAAAAGTGATACACTTTTCAAAACGAAAATTGGCTTTTATTATGCAACTTCAATAACTGCAGGAATCATCTATTCCTTTGCCCGCCCACGACTTTGTTATTTTTGAGATCTCACGAATCATAGAAACTTCCTTGAATTTCCCTAAGTTGTTGATCTTTCTTTCTTTCTTTATTTTTTATTGTTATTAAGGAACACAGGATTTCAATTTAGGAGAAATCGGAAATAAAATAATAAGTCAAGCAACCAGTGTAGAATGTTAATTTTTTGCTGTAGGTCAGTAAAATATCAGATATGCTAATCTATTCGGATCACACTGAGCTAGAGAGAAACCGAAAGTTTGTTTAGGGGCGTTTACGCTAAATATAGATACCAACATCGTCGGGATTTTTCCCTTGTCTTTGCGTATTTAAATTCATTTCTCATTGTTGTGCACACTTAATACAACCGGCCACATAAAAAGGACTTATTTTGCTCATATAACGAAAAAGTTGCTGTTCATTGAAGTCAAGAAAAAAGTCAGTGTTTTGGATTTATTCGACCAAACTCGTAAGTAATCCTTCATGTTCGTATTTTCGTCGTTGTGTATTGATAGGTCCATGCGCTTCGTCGCTTTCGAATTAGCCAAATAATTCATACTGCCAATGTAATAATCCCCACAGTCTTCAAACCAATACATATCACATATTTTCTGCCTACCCGTACGGCTACAAATGAAAAAACCGTTTTTGTCTTAACGTTTTCCCTTTATTGGTGTTTTAGTTGCACTCACTTTCAACTTATTTGAAAAGTAACTTTCACATTTAATATGAATAACGACCGCTTACTTGTAAGTCGAACTACTTAAGTTAAAGAGACTATTTGCATATATTTTGTTACTCGATATTACACGTAACTTATTCAAGCGAATGGTTTTAATTACACCCCTGAAAAGACGGGTGAATCCAGCTGGTTAACAATCTGTCTAAAGAGAAAATGGTTATTCAGTGAAGAAAGCATCGACCCCGTAATCTGGGAAAATCAGGTAATTTATTGGTAAGTTTAGGAGAAACTAGTAGAACAACAAGCAGCTAATTTTGTCCACAGAGTTCGGAGAAACTCAGATATTTGAAAATTAGGGGGAAATTGAGTGTTTAGTGAAGTGTCGAAAAAAAAAATAAGTACAACTTTCGCGGTCAGAGCTTCTATGTGAATAAGCAAGTGGCTTGGTGTTGAGAAGAAAATAATCTTACAGTGGTAACCTGGTTCGCTCATCGTACACTCTCGTGCAAAGCCAAGATGGCCGTTCAAAGTCAACGTTTCCAGCGTTCGAAAGTCCCTCTGGTTCAAAGTGGTCTTGGTGTTCGTAAAGTCACTTTCTTGAACAAAAACTGAATAAGATTGGCTGCTTAAATTTGACATCAAAACCGCTTCGTTGTTGGTTTGCTAAGATCCCGCTCAGTGATACCCCTCCCATGTGCGTTTCATTTGTTTCATATGCAATAAGCTTTAGGGTATGTTTTTTCACTTTCAGACGGCCCTGTACAGCGGGCTGACGGGATAATTTAAGAAACAAATCGGTCCAAATGTCCTCTAGTGTATCCTTCACATATTAAGAAGTTGTTTCTAATGTTAGAATTTGTTTGTTGCAGGATTTTGAAAAAAAAGCCAAACTTTCAATTTAAATAACAGGAACCATGCATAAGTGTAAGTAAAACATTCCGGCTTGTTGATGGTCGAATCAGTTTATACTACCGTAGCAGGCATCTAATACGGACCTTACGAAACTACGACGGCAAGGAAACGTCAAAAAAGCAACATGTGTAATGAGCAAAACAACGGACGCGATCCAATCAACCAAAATTTCCGGAAATTTTAGTCCAAAACTCAATGGATCGGTTCGGTCCTACCGGAAAAGTTTCGAAAAAACGGGTCCACCTTATGAGGTGGACCACTTTTCCCGGTCGGACCGGTTGGGATTTTGGTTGAATGGATCGCGCCCAACAACTCTGCACGTGCATCACGCTGTTTTGTGCATTTCTTTGCAGTCCCTGTATATTTACGCCTGAACTCGGGCGCGGCCCTTCTCTTCAGCTCCAACCCAAAATCCCTTCTTTTAAGCAATTGCTGGGCCCCTTGGAATAATCACGAAAAAAGTGAAAGGATGTGAAGTCTATTTTTCAGCGACGTTTTCATGGACGAGGCTGTTGTCAGCTCGTAAGGTCCCTAATATGAAGTCTGGACGAATGTCTGTTAAAAGCGATTTCGTCTCTCCTATTTACTGGGGAGCTTAATCAATGGACCTGTTGCAATAAATCGTCACATGGTACAAAATAGGGACGTTTTGAAGAGGGGGACCGTAAAACGCACACGACATTGAACAGTTTTCTATATCATTCGGAAGTTGGACGCGGTTCCCGAGAGTCCCCGTGGGTTTCTGATTACTCAGTTTCTTGCAATAAAGCTTTGGGTAAGAATACCCTTTCAGATAGGAGATGGTCGGTAGCATTTTAAGGTTAAATTTGACCAGCATTTTGTGCAGCGAGTTGTAGGGTCACGATTGACCTCAAACTCGCAGGATATAAAACTAGAGAGCTCTGAGGTTTATCTGCTGAATTAAGAGAAAAACCTGTCGTACGATTTTGAAAGTATGTACATTTTTGCGGAAATTCGATTTTAAATATATGCCGATATCTCAAACGTGTTTATACCTAAAAAAATAAGTAACGACTGACCTTAAACTCGCCGGATATAAAACTAGAGAGCTCTGAGGTTTATCTCTTGAAGTAAGGGAAAAATCTGTGGTAGGAGTTTGAAAGTATGTACATTTTTGTGGAAATGCGGTTTTAAATATATGCCGATATCAAACGTGTTTATACCTACAGAAAATAAATAACGATTGACCTTAAACTCGCCGGATATAAAACTAGAGAGCACTGAGGTTTATCTTTGAAGTAAGTGAAAAATCTGAGGTAGGAGTTTAAAAGTATGTACATTTTTGTGGAAATGCGGTTTTAAATACAGCTATTTCGAGAAAGGTTGTGGGAAAAATTGTGCACGCGACAATCCCGAAAGGTAATATGGGATGCGATCAATTCACTGTTCCTGACACTCAAGCTGTCGAACCTACTTTTGTTACTTTCCTTTAGCATTCGCAAACATTTGATATCCATGGCCTCTAGTGCCATTCTCTCAAATTTCTTTGAAGAACAGTGAACTCAAAACCACCCACATTACCTTTCGGGATTGTCGCGTGCACGTTTTCCGACAACCTCTCTCGAAATAGCTCTATATGCCGATCTCAAACGTGTTTATACCTACAGAAAGTGAACAACGTTTTCTTAAAGTTCTTCTATTCCTTATTAACGACGTCAAAAATCATAGAAATCGGATAAATCGTTCCCGCTGAAAAACGCGATTCAAAAACATAAGTAACTCGCATATAAGAAAAAAAAATTAGTAGCCACAGGTTCCTGAGCATTACTCATATCCTCTAAACCGACTCTATTTTTTAGCAACTGGGAAATATTCAGTTGTTGTGAGTGGCAAAGGCAAGGCAAGTGTCGGCGACAGGGCGAAGATGACAGTTTACGGAGTGCGAAGAAGAGGTAGGAATTGAAAATAAGCAGCGGATGCTCTTGTTATTAGGGAGTTTAAGATCCAACGACGCGGACAATGACGAGAACGTCAAAAAAACAATAGGTATTATTAGCAAAACAACATCTTTGCACGTGCACCATGCTTTTTTTGTACATTTCTCTGCCCGTTTTTGCACGACCACGACGTGAACATGCCCATTTTCGCGTTTTATGTAGGACGTAAACAAGCAACGACGAAATTTTATTTCTCTTGCTGTACTTGGATATGGTGCCTAGGAATTCAACACCAGGAGGGTTCGCCTACATTTGACAAAGTGAGTGGGTAACAATAATTGCGATAAAGACTGATAGAACGCAAATTCATTTTTTAAGCGACGTTCTCGCTCATTGCCGTCGCGTCGTTGGATCTTAAAGTCTCTATTAGCGGAGCTCTAGTGCGCGATGCGCGCGCAACGGAGCCCCATGGGTAAGAAAATGTGGTAATCTAAACCCATCCGCGAAAATTTGGTAATCAAGTCACGAATAGCCACCGGCGTCTTGTAAAGCAGAGGTAACTTAAGAGTCAATAAAGACGAAAACGGAAAGCGGAAATTGTTTCTGTATTCGTGTTTTCTAAAGTATTAAGCTTAGATTAATTGTCATGCCCGCAAATTTGGAATATAGAGCAAGAGAAAGACAGAGAAAAAAAGAAAGTAGGCGGCAGGCCAGCGAAACTCAACGAGGAAAGGATCGACAGAGATCGGGAGCGAGAGATAAAAAGCAAAGGAGACTTTCCTTTTACGTCCCTGTGTTTCTTAAGCAATCGGAAGTTGTCCCTGTACCAAAATGTTCGCCACCCAAAGTAGTTGAACAAGATCCTCGGCCTATTTCTCTCACGCCCCATATTGCAAAGGTCATGGAAGGGCTTACGCTGGATTCCCTCTTGAAGCAAGTCTGTGACAAGCTCGACACCCACCAGTTTGCCCTGGCCGGGAAGTCCACAACTGACGCTCTTGTTTTCTTACTCCAAGTCATCCTTGAGGCCCTTGACCAAGGTGACACTTATGCACGCATCTTCTTTACTGATTTCAGTAAAGGTTTTGATTTAGTCGATCGCAATATTCTTGTCCAAGAAATGGAGCTGCTGGGCGTGCATGAGGCCACTATCAGATGGATCGGCTCTTTATTAACGGACCGTTCACAAAAAGAGTGCGAATCGGTCAGGTTTATTCGCATCCAGTTACACCGAATGGGGGAATACCACAAGGAACAAAACTCGCGCCATTGCTGTTCACCATATTAGTGAACAATCTGTGTAGGGTCTGGAGATATAGGATTAAATACGTTGATGACACCTCGGTATTTGAATCTATTCCTCGATGTTCGCCAAGCTACCTTCCATTTATCGCTGCAAATATTAACACCTACGCTTCCATGCATAACATGCGGCTTAATGCGAAAAAATGTAAAGATATGGTTATCAATTGTTTGAAGTATCAACCCACTGTTATAACACCGATTTAGCGTAATGGTATAGTCATTGATAGAGCATCTAGTTATAAACTCTTGGGGGTTATTATCTCTGATGACCTCTCCTGAAACGAACATTGTGACAGTATCCATAAAAAAGCTACTAAGCGATTGTTTGTGCTGCGGACCCTCCAGAGAGTTGGACTGGGCACTAACGATCTCGTATTAGTCTACTGTAGTATTGTTAGATCCATTGTTGAGTACGCCTCGCCAGTTTGGGCTGCGATCCCGTTATATCTGGACGACTTAATTGAGTCTGTACAGCGGAAAGCTCTCAAAATAATATTTGGCCGGGTAGACTATACGGAAGCCTTGGTCTTAGCCGGCCTGGAGACTCTTAGTGACAGGAGAGTAGGAGCTTGTAAGCGGTTTATGGCTACTGCACGCTAAATGCCCCTCCCCCCCCCCCCTTAAGAACATCATCCCCTCCCCTGCCGCTATTGAGTCTGATTACAGAAAAGGGTCCAACTTCCAAGACGCTAACATGGTCATACCAGAAGAATTAATGACTTTGAATCTTATAAATTTCAGTGAATGTATGTTAATGGTTAATTGTATGTGACAATGACCTTCCCCAACAATTCAGTTATTGCTGCAAGTGGGTGAAATAAACAGAATATCTATCTATCTATCTCTTTTTTGTTGGAAGAACAACATGAACATTTTGTAGCGCGGTGACAAAATGAGAAATGCTAGCGGCTACTAATACAAGGACAAAATGAGCGGCAGTGGAAAAAAAGTGAACGAGAACACGTACGACATTTCCTCCATAAAAAAGTTTCTGGAAGTTTCACGTTGTAGTCGCGCAAAACAATGGTAAAGAAATGTACAAAAAGTGTGTGCTGCACGTGCAAAGTCAATTTTTTGCTAATTAGACCTATTGTTGTTTTTTACCGTTCTCCGGCGTTGCCTTCGCCGCGTAGCATTAGGGAACTTAAGATAGACACGTTTTCCGGGCGACGGCAACTTCAACCGGACATGACATCATCATTTGTTAGATATTGCGCATGCTCCTGCTCACCACCTTGCTGTCGTAGTCCCGTCGGCAACGTGAAACTGTTGTGTTTGGCGTTGTGGCGAAAACGTGAGTATTTAACTTTCATTTCAATCAGGTTTGTTGCGTTTAGCAACCAAAATTTTGCAGATTATCGTTCTTAAATTGTCCTTGTTTTCTTTGAGGCACATTTCAAGCTCGATTTCCAAGCTCTGTTATCTAAACTTACATCTTTGAATGTTTCTATGTTTTCATGTCACAGGGCATCCTCGGAGACCCAGGGGCAGTCAGTCGGGTCGGGAGAAACGGCGGAACGAAAGTTTTCAAGTAAGGACGGAAGAGCCCCTGGGTACCGACTCTCACCGAACCATTTCCAAAAATTCAAACCGATGCTGGTTCCTGATTGGGCACAAAAAATGCTTTGTATTATTGTGCCCAATCGGCGAACAGTTTCTCCTGAGTTATTTTTGTGTGTTCGTACACGACGGTTATTGTCTCGCCACATTTGCCCGGTTGGTTCACAAAGCTTGTGCGTGCAAGGGAAACTTTTACTTTCTACTTCCCTTACTTTCCAGAAACGAAGGAACTACCGATGAGTCGAAAAAACGTTTGGGATGCTATCAGCAGGAGCAATTGAATTTGGCCCGAATATTCTGTTTTTCGCGGATCACAATGTATCGTGAATAATAGGAAGTTTTATGATTCGGCGGAGGCAACGAGAAAGTCAAATAAGCAATAGCTAGATAAGGCAAAACAACAACTTTGCACGTGCATCACGCTTTTTTGTACATTTCTTTGCCGTCATCTGCACGACTGCCCGTTAAAATGCCTAATTTCACGTTTTGTGAAGGACGTAAACAAGCAATGACAAAATTCATTCTCTTCATGAACTTGGATATGGTTGAAAGAAATTCAGCTCCAGAAGAGTTCGCTTGCATTTGTCAAAGTAAGCGAGTCGGAATAATCACGATAGAGACTGAACAAAAATATAAATTCACTTTTCCGTGCGACATTTCCGTCGTGGTATCTTTTAAATACTCTCTATAAATGTATTTACGCAAGACGTGGCCGATGCAAGCGTGAATACCTGTTGTAAGCGGAGGCTTTTTTTTTTGGAAAAGCGTCTTTAGTTTTCGGGCAGACAGTATTTTGAAATCATATGGGAAATCTATATCAAACTGAAAGTTTCCTGACTGCGTGCATTTCTTTGGTGCATGACCCCGACAAGCCGTGCAATAGCCGTCGTGTACGAACACACGAAAAGAACTCAGAAGATGTGCTCGCCGATTGGGCACAATAATACAAAGCATTTTTTGTGCCCAATCAGGAGCCGCCATCGGCTTGAACTTTTGGAAATGGTCCGGTGAGAGTCGGTACCCAGGGGCTCTTCCGCCCTTACTTGAAAACTTTCGTCGCGCCTTTTCTCCCGACCCGACTGACTGCCCCTGGGTCTCCGAGGATGGTCACAGGGTCAAGATACAACTTGGCAAACAGCCAACCGTAAGTGAGCTTGACATGGACAAAATTCTCCCACGAGCCAAATAAAAGTATCCAGACAAAAAATATGAACTCCGATATTTTAATTGTGTGTTTTTAGTTCACTCTTTTCGTTAGAGTATCGTATAAATAAAACGCATTGAAAATTATATAGAATAGTAATACCATGTACTAACGTGGGAATACTGAAATAATGTTGTTGTTGTTGCATGCAAGTATTTCCCGGGAATTATTTCAATACCAAACTAAGAATACAGTTCCTTGGTAGCATTTTAATGTTCTTGGAATTTGCAAGGCTTCGGCAAGCCTGTGGAGATTTTTTTTTTTTTTCAACACGAAATTCTGCCTTGCACTCAGCTTCATCCCGCATGTTTTTTTAGCGTGAACGGATCGTAACTGTCCCGACTCATAATTTTCCCACAAAACGAGAAACTCTTTATCCGATACATGTTGTCTGCATAGCAAATATTTATTCTCTTAATTCTTTATGTGAAGCCATATTTTCCTCTTCGGTATTCTTCTAAGGCGCCGTCCTCCTGAGTTCACTGCGATCTTAATGTTCGAATGTTGACCGGAAGCGACGGCTGCCTCAGTTCTAGGCTTTCTCTGCCAGTCCGGTCGCCGTCGCCCCGAAAACGTCTCCATCTTAAGTTCCCTATTACACAATTCTATACTTTGTTTGAACAAACTATAAGTATTATCGAAAGCTTTGATTTAGCCCTGCTTAAATCTTTACATTACCGAGGTTTAGAGTTATTCCACAGGCCACCCAAGCTCAACTTAAAAGACGTAGAATAGTGAGTCTACTCCTGGCAGTTTTTTGCTATCAGTGTTGTGTTACAGAAAGAGAGAAATAATGTTTTTGAAAGAAACGCGACTGTTTAGGTTTAAAGCATGAAATTACCACATTTTCTTGACTCAAGTCAGCTGAAAGAACCTTATCACAAGTTGAAATTTGTCGATGTCTCTATTACTGTTATTAGTTAACTTACGCTACAGGACGGGAGAGGAAAGAAGATGGAAAACATCGTGTGACAAGCGTGACAAAAACAATTTACCTCAAACCTCCTCCTCCTTTTAAGGTGGCTCCGTCATTGATACTGGAGCATTTAGCTGTGACACATTTTCCGCGATAACTTTTTCGTTTTTAACGCGATGGCTGCGAAACTTTGCAAAGAACAACAAATATCATTCGGCAATAGTACGAAATATTCCGATTTCATTGGTGGTAAATGTTTCTTGAGAAATGAGCGCTTACAGGGACCTTACTGTTCAAAGAAAATCGCGTCTAGTAAAAAATTTTGCTGATACTTTTTACTGACATTTCTGGTATCGGCTTTTATTGATACTGTAATAAATATGCCGGAGAAATTTCAAAAAAATCGTTAGAGCAGAAGTCCATAACTAAACGTCGCTCAAAGTCATCTGTGAAAATTGCTTTGGAATTTCAAAAATAAATTACTATTAGGTAGAAGGAGCCACCAGTTCGAATTTTCGGGACAAGTAAATTCAGTGTTTGCTTATTCTTAAAACAAAAGCTGATTGCCTATCATGCTATTCTTTAAAAGGTACTTTTAAAAAAAACACAGTAAGGTAGGGAAAGGAGACATATACGTTGCACTTCGCTTTGGCCAGGAGCTCATCAAATGGAGCTCCATCTCCCATACAAGCCCTTGGAGTCAACCCTTTCCCGAGTAGATTTATAATTAGAACGGTTCCCAGGGGAGACTTCGCGCGCCGACGGTGGGAAGCGCCAATCACAACGACGAAATGACACTGCTATTGTACTTCATCAAACAGCAGGAAATTCGGTGTTGACAGGCCAAACACAATCATAAGCTAGTGATGGGCTCCTGCATTTGATGACTTTCGCGATCCCCCCTCCCCCATTGTCTTCATTTTCCAAGCAAATTTGAGTTGTCCACCATATGAATCCTTCCAACGTTTTCAGCGATCCCCCCTTTGGGGTTCTCAGATACGACTGATCCCCCTTTTTGTTCTCCTAAAAATCAAGTGATCTCCCAAAATCCTACGCCCCCCTCCCCCCTCTCCAGGCGATAAATGATGACCGTTCCCTTAACAGGGTTACTCCCAACTGGCTAGATACAAACCAGCTGCCTATTTATAAGTGTGGCCGAGGATTTGAACCCTGGACTATCGCGAACAAATCCAGCTGGCGGTCACGGCGGGACTTGAACTTGGGGTCTCCAAATTCCAAGTCCAGAGCTCTAATGGCTCAATCACGCTGCCTCCTGTCGTTGATTCTCTGGGAAACTGCCCACCTACCCCTCCCCTAAGCCAACATGAACACTTACTTCTCACTTAGGGCAAAATGTTGGCTCAGGGGAGGGGTGGGTGGGCAGTTTCTTAGAAGCGTGTAATGATCCGATGTTGTTGCTGTTAGTGACCTTTAATTCGAGGACAGGAACAACTACGACTACAGGGACGAGAGTAAAAGGGTGAAATAAGGGGAAAAAGAACAGAAATCATGGATATACACATTGATTTTTACTTTTCGAATGATAGGGTACGCTACGCATACTTCCTCACGGACAACATCAACCATCACTGGCCCAGGTAAGGTATAAAAGAAGCACGTTTGAAATCTACGAATGTCTGATTCTTGTAAGAGGGAAACTCTCCCGAGCTTTTCGAAGCCATATCCTCAAAGCAAGAAATGATCACAGGGTCCCTTTCTTAAGTCGTACTCCGTCAGTATCGTACTCAGTCGTACTTATGCAGTTGTACGTCAGTCGTACTCAGTCGTATCGTATACGGAGAGTAAACAAAGCTATGTATAACGATGCTGAGGAGTGTGTGTGTGTGTGTTTGTAAGGGGGGGGGTGTTATCGTCGGAAACACACACACTCCTTTTTTCTAGGATTCTGTTTCATTAAAACAAAATCTCTAAAATTCAGTCTGCATGTCAACACAAATTCTTCGATATCCACACAAATTCTGCAATTCAATGACTAGAATCACACGTTTTGAAAGCGAATTTTGTGTATAAGATATGTACACACTTAAAACACAAATTTGGCCCCAGAAACCAAAGAAACCCTGGCGAAATCGCCTCTTAAATCTGTTAAAGCAATACTAGTAAAAACCCGAATATAAGAACCTAGTGATTTAAGAACCTACAGGCTGAAATGTGGCATTTAAATACCCAAAAATATGGGAACCCGTTTAGCCTGGCAAAGAAATATAGGTTCTTATACAAAAAAAATCACTCCAATTTTGATGGTCAAAAATCTGGATTTTAATTGTGTGAGAAACTTCTGACAAAAAGCTATTGTGTACATGATTTCTTTGATTTACATTTGTTTGGATTTTTACTAGAAATATGTTTTCCATAAACCATGATATCTTAATTTATGCCAATGGACCCAATGGTTACACTACGACAACCTCTGAAAAAAAAGAACCAATTAGGAATGAACCTAATCAGCCTGAATTTTGTAAAGCTGTAAGAACCTGTTCAGCCTGACCTCGAAAATTCTAGGTTCTTGTATGCCGACTTATGTTGTATTTCAATATTGCAGTAGTCGTATTTAACTAATTTCTAACCCTTTTTTTGTTTTCAGGACAAGCGCTTAAACACATTCCATCTCATGTGCTTAGCCAAGTTGTTGAGAGTCTCAACCTCCCCAGTCCACTAGGAAATGACTGGAAGGGTGTTGCCGGAGATATGTTGTTACCATACAAGACTGTGATGAGCTTAGATCATCACAGCTCTGAAGGCAGAATGCGTGGAATACTCGAAATTATGTTCGAGAAAAAATTTACAGCGGGCGACTTTGTAGATCTTTTACAGAAAATACAAAGACCTGATGTTATCGAAATTTTCATTGAAGCCGGATTCCCAAGGAACAGTATCCGTGAAAAAGAAAATGGTGAGCAGTACTTTTAAGAATTTGGACTGCAGTGAACCACATAACGCACCCTACAACTGTTTGCTGTTTCTTCTTTTCAGATTTCTTTGCGTTATGATGAACGTAATAGGCATTATTTTTACGTATAAATAAAGCAACTGCATTGGAAGCTTAGCACTATGACCCTGTGGAAGTCCAGTTATCCAAGTTGAAATGTTGGCGTGATCACTACAAAGTTGCGCCTAAGCTGTCACAGGAGTGTCTTTTCATAACTTGCAGCTCTCTCCTCAAAAAAGGTTTACTGTCTTCTGAATGCAATGTAAACGATGATTTAGACAAGCTTTCATTCAGTGTTTCATCTCTTTTCAGATGAAAAGGATTCCCACAGCTCCTTACAAGAAGTAACTATAACAACACCTCAAATTAGTAGCCTTACTACAAGAAGTGTATGCGCAAGAAACGACAAGTCATGCGATAACAAGAAGGCTAGTGGAGACAACATCCATGAAGAATGCGAAATAAGTAATGGTGCAGTTTGTCAACATTATCCGTGAAGAAGTTGTCGAGACTCAAGCCAAGCAATTCAACGGGAACAGACATTTAAGCAGTGTCGTTGAAGAACATAGTCCAGTATAATCTTGTATTCATTGATAGCATGGCTAGTTTTCTACTTAACTTGAAGAAAAATTAATTGTTAGATTGAAGGAATCATTTGCGTTATCTATATAAGATTCCCAGATCCTTGAACGTTTTTTCCATTTCTTTAGTCCTATCTTTTTTGTGTTGACTTGGCAACTTTGTAGTTATTAAACCTTATTTTATACTTTGTTGTATTTGACTCCCATGACCAACTACAGAAACGCCATTTCAGAGAGCTGTTAACGAAATGATTTTCAATTCATAATGCAACCCATAATAAATCTGAAGCCTGGTGTTGTTTTTCAAAGAACGACTGTTTCAGCGTCACAGATATTTTTGTCACCTTTAACAAACAAATGACACAAATGTTAAGAAGTTATTACAGGTTCCCTAAGCTCACGAGTGAGAATCGTTGCCGGAATCGTCAGTTGCGCAACATAAACATAATTATAAGAGTAAGCTTGTATGGAGATTTAAGCAATCGTTATTTAGGGTTCAAAATAGTAATAAAAATACATTCGAATTTTTTTTTACCTTGTCTCCATGTGTAAGTTTATGGTGTTTTCTTAGCATTTTTGGCGTTTCTGGGCGATTCCTGAGCGAGGTTTAGTTCTACCGTTGGGGAATTATATATATAACGAACAATGGCAGAACTAAAACTCACTGGAATCGCCCTGAAACGACCAAAAATGTTAAGAAAACACCACAAATATAGACAAGGAGACAAGTTAAGAAATTCTGATGTATTTTTGTTACTATTTTGACCCCTGAATAACGATCGCTTAAATCTCCATACAAACTCTTAAAACATTTCTGTTACGCAACAACGATTCTCACTCGTGAGCTTAAGGGACCTGTGAAGTTATCCGCCTTTCATTAATCATTTAGTTATCCTGTTTTAATGCAAGGTTTTTTTTTTTTTAGTATTTTATCAATTTTAACTTTCACATTGTACAGTGCCCTATTGAAAACCACTTAGTGACTTAAGCCACTTCTTGATAAAGGACTCTATCATTATTATTGTTATTATTATTATTATTATTATTATTATTATTAATATATATATTTAGCCAAGCCTAAAAGCGAAGCTCTCGATCTCATTACAACAATAATGTAATGATAATAATAATGATAATAATGATGATGATGACAACTCTACATTGCCCAATGTCGGGTACATTATTCTCAAACTTTCCCATGTTCTCTACTTTTCCTAAGAACGATGTAGAAATGATTTTGAAAACCTTCCAATAGTAGCTTACCACCATCCTAACAATTTAAGCGATACTTGTTAGAGCGACTGTTAGAGCCCAATTACCAGAGACTAATAACTGTAACAATGACCAGGCCACTCCCGGTTCTTTTCGGTGAAGCAGTAAATGCACCACATGCCCCTATCGCTGGTTTTCAGTGATACGCCATTCAAAATAGATCAAAATAAAAATCAGAACCGTTCAACAGTTTAAGTACAGAATCTGGGAAATGAAAGGAGGTAAATATACAAAGACCCTCGCCAAGATTCGGGTTAGAGAAAGCGTACCCTAACATAAAAGCAAAGAACCCTTTTAAAGCGAAAATTTATATGAACATTGGTTCTCAGCTGCTCTAATACATCATGAAAGTAAAATCTCAGAAAGATCGATAGTTTTGTAGTTTGAATTTCAGTGACGTCATGTGAAAACCAAGAATAAAACACGGTTTACATCGAAACCGCAGTTTCAGAACGCTTTCTCAGCAATGGTCGTGATCACTCTGTTTACTATATGTTACTTATCACAATTTAAACACTTAGATATGAACGCGATTGTCTTAGGAAAGCACGCAAGGCTCCCCTCATTCATAAAGCTAAAACCATCGGGCCTCTGAGAAATTAGAAAACGCAACGAGCTATATTCATTATGTAATCATTACCATATATACCTGGTTTTTTGAAAACCGGGCTACTAAAAAATGTCAGTCTCTCGCACTGATTGTTAATTTGATGGCCCTTGTTACTTGAAAAGTAAAATCTCACCTCAAAAAGAAATTATTGAATACATGAGCCTCCATTTGATAGAATCGTCTATCTTGAAGGTAACAAAAGTGACGTTTTGCTCATTAATCTGGAAAATAAGGCATTTTAAGAAGCAATTTTTAGTGTCGGTGTCACCGATTGCAAAGCCAATTCCCCAGTTCACCCCATTTTTAATTGACGCTGGTCTCCCAAAAACAATCTAAGCCAACACTGCTCAACAAAACCAAGTCCTAAAACCAGCAGTTCAACTGCTTGCTGACTAGGAACATTCTGAACAGAGTGGGTGATTGCTTGCATGCAAAGAGCACAAACAAGCTGCATAAGAGTGCAAAAACACATCAAACTTTACAACAACCCCACTCCCCTGCAATTTAACCAGGCTACCCCAAATGCATACCAGACGATAGCCCCATGTCTGTGCAACAACATGGCACCCAACCAGACACAACCCCCCTTAATTTGAGGGAGACATTGAGCTTTGAAAGACAGGGGTAGCCCCGGTACAAAAACTCAGCGAATCCGCACTCCAGCACAAAGCATAGTCTTTATAACAACCCCACCCCCCTGGAATTTAACCAGGCTACCCCAAATGCATACCAGATGATAGCCCTGTGTCTGTGCAACAACATGAGACTTAGTTTGACGGAAGCCCCCCTCAAAAAATATTAGCTGGGCCAACGGGGGCAACAGCCCGTCCCTACGGGACGGGCTGTTGCCCCCCTCGTGCAAATTTTCTGGAATTTGCACTGATTTCTGTCAATTCCAGGAAGTTATTTGGAGCCCATGGTTAAGAGGTGAGGGTGGTTAGTCCTGAAGAGCGAGATTGTTATTTTTGCACTAAAAGTATCAAATTTTGACCTCGGTACTTAATGAGCGCTTTCCCGAGTCTCACTGAGCAACAAAAGAAAGCTTTGTTCGCTGCGTTGAGTCGAAAGGATGTGTTCACCATTTTATCAACCGGACATGGAAAGTATATTTTCTGTTACAATACTGTCATTCCATTAAATAAACTAACTTGTTTAGGGCAGCAAAATAAAAAATCTCCGAATACGGAATGAAACTTTCCTTGTAGGAAAAAAAACATACAACTTTGTACAAGTGCGTAATCATTTTCGGTGCAGCTTGATTTTCCTGCGACGCCCAAAAAAGATCTAACCGACGCTATTTTTGGCATAGACCTATTCGGCTAACTCAATGTTGTACCCAATTCAAATCTCCCGGGGATAAGATTCTTTGTGTATTACATTTGCATTATAATGTGGCATTCACATTTAAATGATATGGAAATTCCTGAAACAAAACGTTTTATTCCCAAAGGGTTTGAATTGGGTACATTGAGTTAGCCGAATAGGTCTATTGGGCCAACAAAAACCTCTGAAAGTACATTCCGAACCTTTGTTGTGCTGCATGACTCTTCCTAGCGTCGTTGTTCCACAAAAAAAGGAAATGGAGCCACCAAACCAACATGCAAGCCAGATTGCCAGAATACATATTAATATTACTATTTTCAGGGGAATGCCCACGAATCGACGCGAACGGCGCGCCCCGCAGAAGTAAACAATGTAATAAGCGCGATTGATAGACTCTTGCAAACTTTACAACTTCCCGCTGGCACACTGCAGACAGAACAGATGACAATGTTTGTGAAAAATCCTTGTTATTATACCCAAATAAATTCTGCAAATCCTGCACCATTCGTTTGGAACAATGTCGGTTTCTTTATAAAGTGGTCTTCTTATTCCTGGACTCTTGTCGCCCATCGTTAACACATGCTTTAGCTTGACCCCGATTAACAAATCACTCTTTACCACCCAAGTGAAGACGGTTTGTTCATAACATAATTTCCCCAGGTCTACCCCCACTTAAAAAAAAAGCGGCTGATAAGCACGTGTTTGCTAAGTTGCCATTGGTCACTCTTTTTATTAGCAATTTGACGCGTTTGACAGCTGTCGTCTGCATGAAAGTGAGATTCGAGGCCAAGGTAACCAGAGGTTTTTCTCTCTCACCTCGTCGCTTACGCGACTCGTCGCCGCCCGCTTCGCGGCTTGCTGTTGATCTCTTTCGCGAAGAAAAATCAAGAAAAACCTCTGGGACCAGGGTAGGAAGATTATGACCTATCACTCTTTTTTCTTAATCGCTCAAGCAAAACAAATGACAGGATGGCACATTCATCATTGTTTAGCTGCACCTTTTCAGTGTGCAAAGAAAGTGGTGTCCGATAGCCCATGGCTAGTGGATTTTGCTATCGGGCTAGTGAATTCTGTTTTTAACTTGCCCGATGGGCAACTTATGTTTCTTGAGGAATTCGAATAACAGAAGAACTGTGAAATCAATTCTGCTTGTCAAAAATCTTTTGTGGCTAGTTCAATTGACGTCTGGGCTAGTAAATGCTAGTTTCAGCTCACCCGAATGGCAAGCTGTAAAAATGATTTTCTTTGCACCCTGCTTTTTACAAATAAATTAAAGGAAATTATTATATTCAACTGGTACATAAAGCAACATTGACACATTATGTCCATTTCTAGGAACTAAGAACAAAAGCAAAAGAAGGTTTGGCAAGTGTAGCGTTGTTTTATTTCCCATTCATCAAATAAATTATCATGTATTAACAGCATTACCCAGTATAATACATGATGTATGAGGGTTCCCAGTCCCCCGCAGCATTTTTAAAGATCTCATAACAGAACTCGCCGCGTATTAACCGCTCAAGAAGGCGGAGGTGTCATGAAGGGACAACCTTCACTCTTGTCGCTGGGCTAAAAACAAAAAGGCTACCTTGTATTAATAATAATAATAATAATAAACTTTATTTCAAAAGGATAACAGTTAACCCTGATAAGTCTATGGTCATCTATAGTAAATTGCAGATTATTTCTGTAATAGGAAAGGAGAATAAAATTATTATTACCAGGCTAAGTACAGTTTACTGTTGGAATAAAAAAAGTTACAATGACTATATGCAACAAAGATTAAAACTATGATAAATGGCTATATGTGATTAACATTATTAAAGTCCATTTAAAAGGGACTGAACACCCCGTTTTTCATTATATCTACTGGAATACCATTCCGTAGGCTATGCATGCTCCATCTGTCTCCTGTTTGTATATTTAACACACAAGATTATGTGGGTCCTTTGTCTATTTTGTATGCAACTCTGCTTTTGTTGTGAGGATTACCATCAGTTAATGAGTTATCCCCATTGCTTCTCTGGTATATATTAAGACAATGTTGTTGGTATGTTGTCAGTATGGTTTTAGTAATAAATAGTTTGAACAGTCTTTTCAACATTGCTTCTTTCTAATGTCTGCATCGGTTGCTATTCAGTTGATGTTTACTTTTCAGATGGTCAGCAGCCAGAAACTCAGCACTAATATCATGTTATTGATTTCATCCTAAAGTTATAGAACAGCTCCCATTATTTGAGTTGTTGTAATGCTGTAAAATATTTCAATTTGGCAAACGTATGTTTCTGCTGATTAAAAGGCAAATCAACATGCTTTTCAATGATGTTGTGATGTAATGGGAACAGGACAGATACAGTATTTGAGATAATGATAACCATTTTGCTTTTGAAGGATGATAACACTCTTGTATGACTTGGTGATGTTCTCTCTATAAAGTGCTCTCCAGAGTAATGGGAGAAGCCAGAGGTGATTACTAGCTTAAACCTGTGCCATCATCAAAAAACAGTTGACTTGTCAGTTCCACAGGGTTGAAGATAATTTTGTAAATCCACGAACAACACCACTCCAAGAATCGAACCTTATGGAATGCCATTGATAATGACTTGAAAAGTAACAATTATCAATTAAACTGATCTCCAGCAAGGAAAGATTAATTTATCTACGGTGAATTCACACAACAAAGTTATATCTGGTATGTTATTCAAGACATACTGGAATTGCAGAATATGAAGATCATCACAGTTATAGATGCAAGCTTTTCACTGTATCTAACCATTCACATGGTCATTCTCCAATTTCTACGGCATCAGGTCAATTAGCCTGACAATTTCAGTTTTGGTTGTGGGTGTCTTGGGGAAAGAACAATGCAGTTTATAATGGAGGTTTTGATTTTCAGTATGTATATGCTCCTTGAATAATTTTGAATCTGTCATAAACACGGAAAATCTGTTGGCTAGCTTCCAAGCTGATGATTAAAAGAACTGTTATAGAAGCATACATACTTGATTAATCTTGGTAACGATGATGACGTACCTGGAGCACCAGCCTGTTTTGCAGTAGTACCATTGGCACCAGTCACTTTGAACAAAGGCATAGACTTCATTTTATATTGAAGCTGTTTACATTGGGATAAGAAGTTAAGGTTTAGTATTTATCTGACAGTTGTTCACGGAATCAGCAGTTGAGGACGATGAATGTGAAATATTGTTTATGGAATCTATTCGGCAGTTCAGCACAGTCTATCCAGAAGCTCATGTGTGGTTATTGAAGAAATATATGAACTAATTAAGTCTAACTATGCAATTATCTCTATAGTTTTTTATCATCACATGTTTGACTTCAATAACTTGTTGATTATCTCTAAATTTACCACACCTAGCTAATACACTACTACTAATTAGGTATAAGGAAAAAGGAAAAAAAGGTTTCCTAAAAAATACTGAGCCAACAGAATGCACATACAATCAAGGGGTGGGTCAGGATGCTACTTTCCCCTACCCCAAGAGTCGATGCGGACTTCTTTCCACTACCCGGAAAGTCCGTACGGACGGACGTACGCTGACGTCATAACCAAAATTTCTCGGATGGATAGTTTATCTTAGTCATGGTGCTCCGCTCGCGCGCGCTTCGCGCGCGCAAGGAGCTCCGCTATTAATTTTAATATTATTATCGTAATTATTTTAATCATTATTGTTATGGTGCATGCTTCACACGGCAGGTGTGTCAATGCTGGAAACTTCAGTCCCATCACCAGGTCGCGACAAGTCGCCTCCAAGGATCTTGGGAGGATCTTTGCCGATAGCCTGTTCCAGTCGTTCGGAGAGTGGAGTGCGGCACGAAGGAAGAGAGCGAGAAAAAAATAAGGAGGAAAAGAGGGAGTTGTTGTTGTTTTTTCCTCCTCACATCTCTTTGTGGTGTCCCTACGATCTGAACGCCTGGAACAGGATACTTTGCTGATCCCAGAAAGACTGTTCTTTGAAGTGCGGCCAACTCTATCCTGGCCTGTTGCAGGCTCCGAGATAGTCGGGTCCGCTGAATTGAGAAAGCGCAAACACGAAAATAAACCGGGAGGAAACTTTTTCCTTTTTCCCGCCCCGCCAACTTTTCGCGTGCCTTGTTCTTTCGCGTCTTCCCCGCTATCTGAGAGCCTGGAACAGGCTAACTCTATCCCAGCATTTATGTTTCTAAGGTACTCCTCCATTCTCTTCGGAATAGTACCCAGTGCTCTGATAATATTCGGGACAACGTTTACACTCTTCATCTTCCACAACTCTCATTCTCGTTCCAAAAAACATAAATTCAGTGTCCTTATGTTGTTTCTCGTTCACAATGATTTCTTCGGAATGCGATACCAGAATCACTTTGACAGCGCAGGCCAAAGGGATCGGAGCTCTGGGAACGAGAACTACCATTTCTTTTTTTGTTTTTATAATTAGTAATAATACTTTATTTTCGCCCATGCGCAGTGCGTTTCGCTGTTGTGTTTCGGGGAATCTTTCGCCCCAAGCTTCTTCACTACGTCAGTGGCTTCCAATTTGCACAGAAATCATTTCATCGCTGCGTACTCTGTTAAAATTTCAGGATGGTCCTTTTCGGCTTCATTATTTCTGTAGTGGTTTTAATACTGTGGTGCTACCTAGACTATGGCCGTAAGGTGAGAAAAACAGTTCTTCTAAGACATATTTATGTATATATTTCCATTAAGTGATCTACAGTCACAGAAGCTCTCGTAATTTTTAGATATTCCACTTTTCCTTTTTTTAAAGTAATCGTTTTACAAATACATGTGAAACAAATTAGGTAACAATCAACACGGACCAGGGCAAATGAGTAGGTATATTAATTTGCTGCGAAATTTTTACGCCGCTGCAAGTCACGAACAAATGACTTTATATGGTTCGTGTTTTTATCACATTATTTATATTTACGGTAAAGCATATGATTCAGAAGTTTCTTCAGCAGAAAACAGTGTCTAATTTCGTAATTAGTTTTAGTTCACTGGGGAAATACTTTCTGAATCCAGTGCCGTTGTGCCGCTGTTTTTTGAGGGTTTACTAACTAAAGACATCAGTAGAAGGGAGTTCCGCTTTCGATTTCATTCTCATAATCCCTAAATACCTGTATATTAATTACAGTTTTCTCAGAAAAGAAACTGAGTCGAGTAGGTCTCAGCACTCAACAGACGTTCATGGCACTCCAGAGAATTAAGTTACACTATTACACTCAATTTAATTACATACACCGCCACAATCAGTGATACTGAACCGAATGATTTACGTTGAGAACATATACTTTAAAGATACTTTTTAAACGAAATTTTCGAAACTTCCAGATAATCGGACAATTCGTGGAACGGGGTAAACATCAGGGTCGGTTTTTCAATTTGTGCTTTAAACAGTCTGCACTTTTTAGATGCATATTGCTTCTATGTTCAGGATTCGGTTTTCGGTTTTCAACCAAAATTAAAGCGGAAATGAAAATTATGGGCAAGAAAAATTATTTTCCGGCTGCGATTAGGTTTTTACCCATAATTTGTATATAAACGAATAAGCGATACAATGCATCAGTCAATTCCAGCTGCGCCCAACCTCTCTTAACTCTGATAGAGGCCAATGCTGTGTCCGCATTAAGTACCGCTGCACCGCTAGTGCATACTGATTAGTTGCCTGTACACGGTTACAATCAGGTAGGGGCTGGATTATATAATAGATATGCTGCGTAGATACTCTTTAGCCGCACACGCTAATGCCAGCCGTTCATCCAGTCGAACGTTCTCTACCACCCCTAGGAATTTGTAGTGTTTTTCTTCCCCAAGAGCCGTGATGGTAGTTGTCTCGTCCATCCTCATACCAGACTCGTCTAGCACTGGGGCTCCCCTCTTCACGTGTACCACTGAGCACTTTTTCTGATTCCAGTGGAGGCCGATGTCCTGCATCGCTCCTCTAGTCTCTTTCAGCACTCGGTTCAGCTTGCTCTCAGGCAGCAAAAACCTTCAGGTCGTCGATATACAGGAGATCGGTGACTTTGACTCCTATAGGCTTGGATAACCGGCACGGTATCCCTTCGTTTCTCGCAGGCGCCACGCTTCTGGGTTCAGGCACATTGTAAACAATCTAGGACACAAAGCGTTCCCCTGGGGTAGTCCCTTCATGAACCTTTTTTTCTAGAACTCTCTCGCGCTTGCCTTGATGTAGCTACTACTCTAGTATTCCAGCTCGCACACAACTTGCGTATGACCTTACCCCGTCAGATGGGAAGCCTGTGTACGGCCGTCATTGCGCATAGCCAATCATGGTCGACGGAGTCGTAGGCTTTGCGCACGTCAATCCATGCCATGCTTAAATTCCGTTTGCCTCTCTGGCAATCCAGCATTACTGCTCTATCGATTAGCAAGTTATCCATCGTACCGAAACACCCTGATTTCGCTCCTCTTTGCTGGCCTTCCATCAGGCCATGATGTTCAAGGTGTTGGTCCATTGGTGCCAGGAGGCAAGATGTAAACCACGTATACAGGTTGTTCAGACAAGTAATAGGTCTTTGATTTTTCACTCAGGAACTCGCCTTCTTTCGGAATGAGGGAGGCATATCAAACTCATTGCGACATTTGCCCTATGTCACATCGGGTGACCTCAACTTCCGGTAAAATAGAGCTGAAAACACGCTATTTTTTGCAGAATATTGCCTTTCCTTCTCAAAGTAGGAGATCTATCAAAAATGCACCACCGGTATTGAACTAAGTGCTATCTAAGCTACTAGAAGTGAAAAACTTGGGTTATTTTGTCAAGATTTCGATGGGGCATTTTTATATTTTTTTCCGTCGGTTTGGATGTAAACTTACAGAAGCGTGACCGGTCTTGAAAGTAGCGAGTCGAGAAAAACTGGACTGGCTCGACAGAGCATGCTCGAAAAAAAAAATGCACCGCCAAATTCAAAGAGTTAAATTAATTTGCAGCGTTTTGATATGTAATTTGTTGGGATTCGTGCAGATTTCGGTGGGGCAAAATGACTTCGAAGGTTCATCTTGCTCTCTTTCTTCTCTTCGCTTGTACCGTGACGGTTTCTGCAGTTGAAGATAAATTTCAAGGCGAAAATGGTGAGAAATTCAGCCAGTAGAACGGTCCTTCGTATACTTTACGAGATTAACAAGTAAGTAATTTGAAGTGATGATGAATATTTTAATAGGAGCTTAATTATATTTTCAAACAATTCGATTTCTAAATTTTCGGATGTTTAATAATTCCTCGTTTCTTCTATTTATTCCCGCAGCTTTTTAATTTATACCATTTTAAAGGCCTAAGAAGAGACCAGAGAATCTGCTCTTGCACACATAATTGAGAAGATTTTGAAGGAATCAGGCAACGATACAACTGCTCGTTAATGTTGCCTCTATCCTCCAGCGAACCTTCCTCGGGGAAAAACATTTTTCCTAAGTGAACGAAGGGAAAGTAATTCCTTTTATTATCGTAATCACGCCACTCATCGTATTCGTGACTGAATCCCACGGAATGAATTTTTAGCTGTTTTCGCGTCGTATCCACTTCAACAACCTCAACAACATACAAATCCCTGTCTTTTTTGAGTTTTCGTTCCGCTTTCTCCATCTTTTGTTCACGGAGCTGAGAGAATTCCTCCACAAAACGCCGTGGAAGACGGCCGGTCGAGCGCTTATGTTTATTTGGGATGGTGAAACGTATGTAATACCTTTGCGCACGCCCTGTAGCATACACTCCATGTAATGATCCCTGAAAAGCAAATGTCCTCATTTGTGGGCAATGAGTTTGATATGTTTCCCTTCAGAAAACCACTCGGGCTAATCTTCGTCGCTCTTAGAAACTTCTTTGAAGCTCTTGACCACACCCTTATGCAGGGTGCTAGCACGTTTCCAACAAAAGTTAGTGATTTTATCAGGCCCTGGCGCACTCCAGTTGCGCTTCGTGGACAGGCCTTTGACGGCTTCCGCTACTTCGAGAACCCATTCGTCGCCTGTCGGTGGTGGTACTTGCTCGTGGATCGCGATCTTTACTTCCTGCAACCAGGCGGCGTTCTTATTCCCAGTTCCTCTCTCTTCCCACAGCTTTCTCCAAAACCCACTTGCCTCTTCAATGTTTTCAAACATTCGCGAATCACTCTCGAGCACGTTTTCCAGGATCATTATATCTTGGTCGCTCATTCTCTGGGTCCCTCTTCAACATCTCACTCAAATTCGCAAACACTCTTCCGGGGACCGTTTTAAACTGCTGGTTAATCACACGCGAGACCTCTTGTTTCTTTTTCCCGTCAAACCCACGTTTTAACTTTCGGAGCTCCGACTTTTTTTTGTCCATGTAGCTAACCAAACCTGCCACAGAGATGGTTTTGCATTTTTGTTGGAGCTGAGACCTATTTTTCCTTCCTTATTATTATTATTATTATTATTATTATTATTATTACTATTATTATTATTATTATTATTATTATTATTATTATTATTATATAAGTCGAGAAGCGAGGCTGGATATGAAGGCAGGAGGTTTTTGGACACCAGGAGTAACGGCATTCTTTGACGTACCTGTAACGCATGTTAACTCCCCGTCCAACCAGGGCAAGTACACAGCTACGATCTTCAGAGAGCAAGAAAACGAGAAGGAAAGTAAATACAACCAGAGAGTGATGGATGTAGAGATGGGAACTTTTACACCGTTGGTGTTTGGTACAAACGGGGGCATGGGACTCGACTGTCAGAACCTTTTAAGAACTCTCGCAAATAAGCTTTCGACTAAGAACAATGAACCCTACGCCAGCGTTATTTCCTGGCTTCGAATACAGCTCTCATTTGCTATATTAAGAACTGTACACAGAGGCGTCAGAGGTTCTAGATATCCACTCAAATCACGTGAAGTCTCAGATAACTTCACTTTCGCTGTAACTGGTCTACATCTGCACTCATAACTTTAGGCCTAGATTTTTGATAGTTTTTTTCCTAGTAATGCTTAATTTTCCTTTTCCCACTTTTAAATTATTCACAATTGTAAACAGATTTTCTATCGTGAACATATATTTAGTTTTTAATTTGTAAACAATACGATATAGTTTAAAATTGTAAATATTACTTATTGTTTTGATACTTAAATAAAGATTGGTTATTATTATTATTATTATTATTATTATTATTATTATTATTATTATTATTATTATTATTATTATTATTATTATTACTCAGACTCAGGCAGGATGTTCTGCCTGGTTTATAGTCCTTGGGAGCGGGTTACAACAAGTCACCACGGGTCCCAGGTCTCTCTTCTTCCGTCACACGACCGTCCGTCCGTCCTGTGGTCCACCGCTACATGAAAGCTGCGGTGAAATTTCGCATTCCAGCTTCTACGCGTTTTGGCGGTGAATCGCGTGGCCGCCACTCAATTAGAGAGAAACAGACAACAAAGCCGAGTCTTTTTTTCGACTAAATGTTTAGTAAGGTCTACACTGATGTGGATAACAGGGGAGCTAGAGTGAGAACAAAGGAGACAAATTTTGTGGGAAGACAAACAAAAATTATATAGTGGTGGTGAGAAAATGACGAATTCTAGCGACGGAACACAAGCCAAAAAATTTTTATGAGCACATACGACATTCCCACCATAAAACGTGTAACTAGCAAGTTTTACGTTGTAATTATGTAACAACAACGGCAAAGAAATATACCAAACAAGTGTGCTGCAATTGCGAGAACGTCAAAAAAGCAATAGGTTTGATTAGCAAAACAACAACTTTGCACGTGCATCACGCTTTTTTAATTTGTACATTTCTTTGCCGTCACTGCACGAGTACGGCGTGATAATCCCTAATTTCAGGTTTTGTGAAGGACGTAAACAAGCGACAACGAATTTTTCTTTCCCCTCCAAAACTTGAGTGTGGTCCGCAAGAAATCAACTCCAGGGAAATTCCCTTACATTTGACATTTTCAGGGAGTTGGAATAAGCGCAACAAAGTTTAAGAAAACGCGAAGTCACTTTAAAAGTGACGTTTTCCCTCCCGTCGCCGTCGTCAATGCTAAAGCTTCAGATTTCAAGTTTTTTGATAAATACAGTGTGATTTCTTTTGTTTAAACGCGATAACACTTCACACAAGAGACATTTTTATTCTGGCTCAGTTTATGTGCATGTTCGTGATCGAACTAAAATTTTCAATAATCTAAGGTAAAGTGAATTAGTTCTATTTGATTCAAATAGAAAAAGACTTCATCATAGTTCTCGCACAAGCTATGATAACGCTTTCTTCGGAGAGGTTCCTTCCTGTACGTTATCCCACCAGGGGCTTGTTCACCCTGGACAAACCCAAACTTCAAGGTTTAATTTGCTGGCAGATTATTTTTCCCTAAAATTACAAGCCCTTCCACTAGTACCTAATGTTAACCCCAAAATTAGAAGTTTTTTTGCGGTGGTTTTGAGTTTATATTGTTTGAGTAAATTAGAAGTTTATTAATCAAAGAGAGCTTCGCTTTTAGCCTTGGCTAAATCTTGATATTATTAAACTGACTGATATCTGGTCGCTACGAGTTTCGCACTCGCACCATTCATGACTAGCGTTTTACTTTTAGAGAGAGAAAGAGGAAAGAAAAAGAAAAGAGGAAAGTCAGAGGGTAAGTTATTTGAAAGACGTAAGTAGTAAAAAGCATAAACTCTTTCCATGCCATGCTCTGGTATTCCTTCCGGTAGGTTATCATTATCACCACCACCACCACCATCATCATCATCATCATCACTATTAACATTGTCATCATTATCATCATCATCATCATCATCGCCATTATCATCGTCATCATTATCATCATCATCATCATCATCGCCATTATCATCGTCATCATTATCATCATCATTAGCAGCAGCGGCATCATCGTCTTCATTATCATCATCATTATAGTGATGATTTTAGGACTTTGCGACCTTGACCTTGAATGGTTCCTCCGAAGGCACAATTGTTTTATTTTCCGGCCAAAAGGCATCACAAGTATAGAAGCTAAGAAGTTTACTAAAAATAAACTGATGACCGGGAAAGGTTTAAATGGGTCCTTATGAAGTTATTTTTTAAGTCGGTGAAGTCCTTTAGTCAACAAAGCTAGTGGTAGTTATATAATTACGAATTCTGCGAGTAATCTAGATACAATTTAAGACGATCAAGACTTACCACAGACCTTTTTATTTCCTCTTTTTTCCGAGCGATTGCAAACGCCACGATATCTATTACATTAAACGGTACTTGCGAAGGGTAAATTTTGCAAAATTCAAAGTCAAATCGAAATATGAAAGGCTGTATTCAGTTGCTTAACGTGAAATTCGCGTCACTAGTAATTATACATGTAAGTAATAATAATTTTTTTTTGGAATTTTTTTTTGAGTACCCCTACTACCTACCAGGTCCCGTAGTCTACCCAATTACTTTTCAGATCGAAATATCGAAATATTTGGAGAACATTTTGTCGAGAGGGCAGTGAATTGAAATGGCGATAAAAGAAATTGACGAGATTTCTTCTGGTAGAAGACAAATTTAATTCCTAACATCTCAAGTATCGCATCTAAGATGGGGTCACAACAAGGTCCCGCGTGTGTTGCACGTTTCCGCTGTAACTTTAATTTTGATTGGCGCGTAGAACAATGTTGAACCTTGGCTGTGAGGTATAATATAGGGGTATGGGGAAACTAAATTTAAAAATAGGTCCGCATGGCGTACATATCTCTAGTGCGAATTTATAACATTGAGAAATATGGTCGTAATGGAAAGAGTTAGTTTGGTCCGTGCTGCTCTTGTTGAAATTCCTTAATGTTCTGTTTTCAAAGTGTATGAGAAAGAGATTTTGTTCGAGTTTCACTGATTTGTTTCTTTGAATAGCCTCTGCACCTACGGTGTTGGCTCTTTGTAGCAGGAACTTTGCCTTTGCCTTTGATGAGGCCATTCTTTACCCCTATAAAATGAGAAGTGTGTATTCTGAAATAATCCAGCTCGCTTGAAATGTGTTCCTAGATCCGAGAATGCTTTAACACTTTCCCCCTTTGAACACTGGAACGCACATACCCTACGCGATTGAGGCAAGATATTCCACGAACTGAACAAGCTGGCTGAGTCAGTTGTTAAAGGGACTTTTGTGGAGCTTCCCGCTAAGCGACCCGATTAGAGGATCGACGAGCTTATTCTATGCGTGAACGAAGCATGGTCCGCGCAACTGACCAGAATTATTCGCCATCTTAGTCCAAAAATGAGCAAAGTACATCCGTGGATGGTTTGCCTCGACCTTTCCATGCCTTATGAGGACTTTGCAGATCTCTTGAACAAGGAGATTCTTGGTCTGACAAGATTTGGAATTTGACCAGTTTGAAGATTGTGGTGGGTTTAGAAAGCAACTTGGTAAAGGAAAAGGAGAGGCAAAGTTTATTGTGAAATCTTAGAAGAAGGAAACAATGGTCTACAACGCTAAAGATGAGATTTTAATTTTTTTTAATGGATACTGGAATTCGTCATTGAATTGAGGATGCAAGGTGGAATCATAGAGTAACAGGTATCTCCCTAATAGTAAAAATACCTCATTGACAAGAAGTCATCGGTGTTGGAACATTTTTTAACTCTGCTTATAATCGTTCTCTTCTTTCCCTAAGCAGATAACAGTTCATTTTTCTTTGATTTTTTACTCGAAATACATAAACATATACACATTTGTTTATTGTTTATGTTTATATATCAAGAATCATGTTTACACTATATTTTAAAGGAGGGAATTCAAATGCCATTGTGCAAGGCAATGACAGGGCTGGGTTTCTGCAGTGGATTCGAAATATTCCGTTGAATAATTATAAGAATCGATGTTCATTTAACCAAGAACATATACTGTTAGAATTGATATCTATTCGACCGAAGAAAACAACGTCACTAATAACAATGAAGAGAATACTGTAGTTTTCAGCAATTAGCCTGTGTGTAGCTGGCGGGATAAGCGTGGGAGTGCTGTATTGTTTTGGCGGTGGTGCCGCGAGAAGGGTGGGTATGCAAGTCAATTTGAAGTCCCGCCCGCCACAATTCTTGGGTATTTTGAATAGTTCACAGTCAGGCTTATGGGAGTTTCTAATAGGCTGAGAGGTGATAAAATGCCAATCAAATGATAATTAATATCTCTTCTATCTCTCAAGGGAAAGTTAGTGCGTTCATGTGGAAATGAATCAAATTTAGCAAGCTATAAACAGGCTCCACTCCACTCCGCAATAAGATTTCCGCTTGAAAGAAATCCTCGAAAGGCATTTTTTTGAGGGAAATAGATCTCAAAACTTAACACCTGTCTTCTGCTATCCTTTATTTAAAAAGAAACTAATCTCTTTTTATGACACGAAATTGGCTGTATAACAAAAGCACATCAGACAATAATGCCTTTTGTCACGCAGTGCAAACTCCCTGATCCATCTGAGCTCAACATCAAAACAACACTTGATCATTTAAAACTTGAACCTAGAGATACGGATGGAGTATGCTGTGGAGGATTCTTGTTTTAGACTGAGCAAATGTTATCTTTGCCCATTGAGAGGTCATGGGACCGATGTGTTTCCTGTGCTTTCCAGCATTGATTTCCTGTGGTTTTTGTCTCTGGCAGAATTTGACCTCTGAAGCATTTTAGGGAATTTTTTGACCTCTTTTGAAGCATAAAAATTTTTTTATTTCGGCTAAATGACCGTTTAATAAAGGATTTAGTTTCTCAAGTTTGGAGTAACTGCAGAATATCCTGCCTGGATCCTGGATAACTTTCAACAAATAGTTGTTTTGTTCGTGACTTGATTGTTACACTTGGCCTGACTCATTTGCAGGTCAGTTTCGTGTTACAAAGCTCTTCATGATTGGATAATCAAATGGTTCCAAACAAAGTGACAAAAGTGGGCGGCATTCAAAACTCGTAAGAAATGCGGCTGGCAGGATTTTCCCTTGCGGCTTCGCCGCTCAATTCGCATGGCGGCTCCGCTGCCAAAAAAGTTCCCCAGGCTCAAGATTCCCGCAGGCTACACAGGCTATCAGCAATGAAACATCAAGCTACACTCCGAAAAGAAAGCCTCAAAAATCAAAAGTCAGAATTGGTCACCTGAACGTGGTCTTCATCTTTGAAGACCAGGAATCGTCTAGTTCAGCTATTAAAAAGATCACTTTTTCAAGAGAATGAACTTGATGTCTTAGCGGGTTCTGAATCGTGGCTTAATTCTTCAGTGAAAAACGCCAAGGTAGAGATGAAATTTCCAGACTGGATAGACAGAAGAAAATTGGTGTTCAGTGTACATGTATGTAAATACACACGTGCTTCCTTAAAAACAAAGGTGTCAAAAGACCTGACCTCTGATTTGTCGGGCTTCCAGCAACTGCGGCTACAAGTACAACACATGGAATAATTATTTGTTCTAGGTGATTTAAACTGTGATCTGTTAAAGAGCTGCTGTGAAGGAAACACTCAGAAGATTTGTGTGACACCTTGAACCTTAATCAGCTTCTAATTTTACCAACCAGAGATACGCCGCACAATCACCTTCTTTAATTGACGTTATTTAGCAACAAAAATTAAACGCCATTGTTTTCAAGGAAACTAGAGTAGGGGTTTCTGGTTCGGCACTATAATGGTTTAAGAGCTACATGCATGATCGCCAGAAGTACGTACAAAATGTCTGGAATGCATAAATCTACACACGGAGTTCCCCAAGGATCCATTCTGGGACTGACCTTATTTAATGTGTACATCAGCAATTTGCCTGGCATCCCAGTTTATTGCTCCTTGGAATCCTACACAGATGAATCCAAATTACATCTATTATTTCCAGTCAAGGATATCAACAGTGCAGCTCAACAAATAACTGAAGACCTGAAGAAAGTTGCCTTGTGGTGTTGTCAAAATAGCCTTCTAATCAACCCCGATAAAATTAAATTGCTCTTAATCGGCACCCGTCAAATGCTGCAAAATGTGCCTGCAGATCTGGATTGACATGTTACTTTATTGGTGAACGAGTTGCCCCCAGTTCCTTTGGCAAAGGATCTTGGAGCGCATATGGATGCTACAATGTGTTTTGATGACCACAAAAAGTATTTCATCTTCTTGATTGTCGAATTTATGTCAAATTAATAGACTAAAACATCTTTTAGACACAAACACTTTATTAAATGTTATCAATGCACTAGTCTTTAGCAAACTCTACTACTGTTCCTTCATTTGGTCTAGTAGAACGAACAAGAATATCAATAAATTACAGCATGTTCAAACCTTCGCAGTTAGGATCATAACCCTTTTGTGTAAATTTGATCACATCATTCCTGTTCTTAGAGAACTAAGATGGCTGCCTGTCTCATCCATGCTTATCTATAGGGACGGCATACTGGCTTTTAAGTGCTTTAGGGGATTGACTCCAGACTATCTGGCTAAAAAAGTTAAAACGAGGTCCGACATTCACAACAGAGACACGCGTAACAAGAATAAGATAGACATTCCAGGGTACAGAACTGCCTTAGGCCAAAGGACCTTCCATTATCGGGCCGTTTCACTGTGGAACGCCTTACCCAAAAGGTGCACTAGCTTATGCGTTATTTAAAATCGTTTTAGTAAGCAGTCTATTTTTAAGACAGGGTTACTTATTATTTTTTGTTTTTGTAACGAAGAAAATTAGAGGCCACCTACCTCAATCATCTTTTAGAAGACACTCCCTTCACAACTCAATAAATACAGTACCACAAGTGAAGAGTAAAACAATATGCTTTTCGTCTCTCACCTATATTTCGACCGTGTTAAACGGCCTTCGTCAGTGTGAATGGCCGTTACAAGCATCACACTCCATTATTACATGTTATTATTCATTCAAAATATTTTCCCGATTCTGATTGGCTAAAAGCACACGTTTAATTCACCATAACCAGTTAATGATGACCAAATTTGGAAGAATTTTGTGTTTAACGAGGAAATGACGTCAAAAATGCAGGGTTTTCGCAGGTTAAGGCACCGTTAACCGAGAATACCTGGGGACGAGGTTGAGGTGTTTTGCTTGTGAACTTGAAAAATGGCGGACATTTCACTCGATTCAAGAGTAAGAACTAGGCCAAAAAATAGCTAAAAACATGGCAAGAACAGCAAGAAGACAACTCGAAGAGCGACATCTGCTATTTGGACAATATTTGCGGAGCTGCACAAACCTAAACGTGCACTATCGAAGATGAACTTAACATCGATGGATCGAGGGGGGTAAGCATGTTTTAGCCATGTTTTTAAACTAGGAATTATTTTGAATGAATAATAAAACAATTATTGATTCGGCTTTCGTATCATATGAAGAATTATGGAGATCTCGGAGGGTGTTATCCGCCTCGGCCTACCGCCTCGACGGATAACACCCTCCTCGATCTCCATAATTCTTCATAAGATACTCAGCCTCATTCATTAATTGTTAAATAACGAACAAATTTGAAAACTTGCACACGCTACAAAGGAAGATAAACACGCGCGCGCTCTTACCGGACGCGAGACCTAGTCGTCCTATTCTGGCTGTAAATAAAAAAAATCACTTATATTCAAGCCCTGAGGCTGAATACAGTTCAACCTATAGGCCCACTAGCCTTCTTTATCCCGGAGAGCTGATTCTTACCCGGACACTCTGTCAATTAACCGTATACTGACATCCTCAAGACCGTGTTGTCCCGGGCCAGAAAAATGTCTATATAGAAGATCATCCTTGTTTCTACCCTCAAAAGAAAGCCTTGAATGCGCTCTAAAACGGGCCTTATGATTGTTAAACCTAAGCCTAAGTTTTGTTGTTGTTGACCCAACGTACTGCGCATGACAAACCTTACCGGACATCAAGTAGACAACATTACTACTATTACAGTCCAGTTCGTAGTTAATTGTATAGCTCTTTCCAGTTCTGTAAGAGGTAAACCTTTCGTCCGGTTCCAGGTACTTACAGACCTGGCATCGTCTGTTACCACACACCACTGTCCCCTTCGAGCTCCGCTCCAGACGCGTTGACGGCCTAAGTTTAGCGTATACTAGGTAGTCCCCCAGGCTCTTGGGTCTTTTAATGCCACGAAGGGTACGTCTTTGATGGCTTTCCTGCATTTTTCTGAGCAATGCAAGAGCGGCTGAAGTTCTCGTAAGATGCTACCAATGTTAGGAAGATTTGGATGGTATGTCACTACCGTTGGCACTCTGTTAGTAGCATTCCTAGAGCTTGGTGCCAATGTTTCCTCTCTGGTTTTCAATCTCGCTCTCCCAATTTGCTTTAAAACAAATGCTTTTTTATATCCCCTGGCTACAAGAAACCTGCATAGATCAGTAGTCCTGTGATTAAACCAATCCAGCCTAGAACATATTCTTCGAAGTCTCAAAGCCTGGGCATATGGTATGTTTTCCTTACACATCCGGGGATGACACGAAGTGTGGTACAGATACTGGTGTTTATCCGTCGGCTTTATGTACAAATCAGTCTCTATTCTTCCATTGTTATTTATTACCTGAACATCCAGGTAATTAATCCTCTCTCTAGACCAGTCCCAAGTGAACTTAATCGTGTCAAGGGCTTCATTGATATAATTCAAAAACTCCACCAGCTAAAGCTCGGTCCCCGTCCACACCATAAAAACGTCATCGATGTATCGTAAACAGATGTAAGGTTTTACCTGCGCCGGGGATAACAACCTTCTCTCCAGTCTATCCATAAACAAATTCGCATAAGACGGTGCCATTTTCGTACCAATAGCCGTCCCCAAAGTGTGAAGATAATAGTTTTCATTAACTTCAAAGTTGTTATTCCTAAGCACCAACTCTGCCAGGTCTACAATTGTCTCTGTCGGTATCTCCGGGTTCTCTCGATTGTTTAGAGCCTCCCTGATAGATTGTAGTCCTTATGTTGATATATAGTATATTGAAAAACAGAAAAAAACTACACAGTTTTTATCCCTACAAGCCTGTCTCGTGATTGCTCACTCTTCAGGGGATTTAAATGACATGAATATTCATAACGGTAGTTCCTATTCCATAAGATTTACATAATCAATGATGCGGTTAATTCAAATTATAGAATGTTTACTTGTTACGTAACGTTACGATGCTGCCCTCCGAGTTGTCTTCTTGCTGTTTTTTTGGGTATGTTTTTAACTATTACTTCCCCTAGTTCCAGCTGTAGTTCTTACTCTTGAAACGAGTGAAGTGTCGGCCATTTTTGTTTTCACAATTGTTTTCACAACCAAAACAACTCAACCTCGTCCCCAGGTCTTCTCGGTTAACGGTTCATTTACTTTTTGAAGGCTGCATTTTTGACGTAATTTCCTCGTTAAACACAAAATTCTTCCAAATTTGGCCATCGGTAACTGGTTATGGTGAATTAAACGGTTGCTTTTAGCCAATCAGAATAGGGGAAATATTTTGAATGAATAATAATTTGATATATTTTTTTTATGTTTATTGATGTAATTACTCTGAAAAGGCATCCATTGAAAGTAATAAAGTTATTACTATTATTATTATTATTATTATTATTATCATCATAACAGGCATTGTCGTGCACAGCTTCAGGCGCATCAGTTGAGGACTCCAGAACACTATCAAGCGTGGCTGCAAAAGACCAACTGACACACACATCCTCTGGTGATATGATTCAAATGTCCATTCATTATTTAGCTGTTGGAAAAAAGTTTTTCGGAGAACAAACCAGTATTTTTAAATAATTTGGGTTGTCATTTGAGTTCAAACGTACATTTTTTTTCATTATTTCCAAAACGCTTTTTGATTCATCATTGCCGTAGTTAAGGTGTTTCCTTTTGTATAGACTTTATTTAAAGTTTTAATTGCCTGCGTAGATTAGCATAACAGTTTGCGGGGCATAAAGTATTGTAAACTTTATAGTTCTGTAAATAAATACATTGTAGTTGTTATAACTGTAAGCGTGACCTCATTTTTGATGGAAACAGAAGGCTGGCAAAGGTTTCTACTCTTTGATTTTAATAAAATTATATCTATTTGTAGTCTTCACTTGAATACGTTTTTTCAAATTACATTTTCCATTTTCTTAAGGTGGTGTCTCCTCAAAACGGGGAGATCAACAGGCAATACCTCTGTGCCTACCGAACAATTGCACTTGGGATTCTGAGACAGGTCAGTGCCTTCAAACAGAAGAGAAACGTCGATCCCTGTATGTAGTGAAAGAGTCCCTTGAACAACTCAGCAAAATAAAAGGTAAATCAGTGCCACCATATCATTTATTAAAGCTTCCTATTTGTCAATTGAGATGATTGATAATGGTAATTGAACCGAGTAAAGTGCAATTTGGTCTGAAATCATACGCATGATTTTAAAATCAGACGAGTATGCAGCGCCAGTTCGATTTAAAATCACAATTAATATTTCAGACCACAATTGCACGACACGAAGTTCAATTACCAGTTTATTACAGCCATTTTGAAATCGCTGAATTCAGCCAGTACCAAATTATATTGATCTAGTCGTCGGTTTGTTGAAAAGTGTAAGCAAAAAGGCCGTTTCATCTCATTTTGATGCGACTATAGAGCAAAAATGTTGTAATTTAGAACAAAAATGACGCGATTTAGAACAGAAAGACGCAACTTAGAACAGATGTCATTTAGAGCAAAAACTGAGGCGATTCGTGAATAATTATCACACTGCTGAGAGCCAATCGGATTGCAGGGATCACCAGTGATTACAAAATGGAGATAATAAAATGTGATGCTTTAATAAACTAATTAATGAGATTTGTTGCATATATGATTTAACTTAAAGGAAATGAACGATGCACTTTATTAACGCGATTTTTAAAAAAATCGCGTTAATTTGCTGCATCTTAATTTACGTCGATGTTAATTGCGGTCGACGAAGGAGAACGCCTACTATTCGTGTACCGTACATGATGTAATAACTGTTCCGTATGCCATGCGATTTCACGATTTAGACGCCATCTTGGACCGGCCTGGCACATTTTGTCTCGATCTCATGTCTTCAGTTTTTTCACCCGGGAGCTGGTATCTATTTTGTGACACTTGTTCGCAAATGAAACGTGAGCGATTTTCTGTTCACTACAGGTTTGTTTATAGCTTTTCTCGCAGTTTTCAATTAAGTTTTTTTCTATAGGAAAATTTCCATTCTAAGATAATCGGATATGTAGATGTTATGTCAACAATATGTTCTGCACACTGTATTTGCTTTCATGAATCCAAGCAAGATCAGCTTAGATCGACCAGATTTAATTCTATTACAAATTACATCTTTTCGCTTTTAAAAGCTATTTACAGCGTTGTATTTGCTTTTGTTTGTCACCATTTTTGAAAAATATACAAGAAGTTGAACAGTGAAACGTTGACCTTTACATCTCACTAATTCCGGGTGCGTTGTATTTTGAAAACAGTGCTAAGTAGGTGAGTCGTGTTAGCCTAGTGTCACGCAAAAAGGGTTTAAAGTGATGAGCGACGCTTAAACTTTTCAGATAACTTCAATTTTTAGCCAATTTTATGGACCATCCTGCAGTGCAAAAGAATATCCTGAGGATCATAGTCAGTGTTTGACCTGTTGTTACTTTCATGTACTTTACTTAGAGGTTTAGTCAAGTAAATGTAAAAAGTACAGTACGCTCTTGCATTTTTAAGGGAAAATGACATAGTAACGAATTGTAAAGTGGGAGGATAAACAATAACATTGATAAAGACAGCTGCTGATAGCGGAGCTCCCGCGCGCGAAGCGCGCGCGCAGCGGAGCACCATGGGTAAGAAAATTTGGTAAAACCATCCATCCCAGAAAATTTGGTTATGACGTAGCGTACGCCCGTCCGTACACACACTTCATGTAAGCCGATGTCAAATGTCACAATAGATCTTGCACAACTTGACTAGCCTCTTAGTTATGTAAGCCATCCGTATGAGTACGATTAGATTGACAGCTGTCAAAATCAGACATCCGCTGACAATTATCACATGACCGTCTCGCGGGCTCAGATAAAAGACCAGTCGTTTTGCCCCTATATATAAGCTGATATAATATGTCACACTTACCAATTCAACATAAAAACGAAACTACGCCGAGCAAGGCTGTCAGTTGGCTGACAGTCGTTTAAAGTTACATTGGCAGGCCAAATTAAGTTCAATTGACAGCTGTCAAAATGGGACATGTGCAGACCGCTATCAGAAAACTAATAACGAGGGCTCAGGTTCGCTCAGGTTCACGATCTGGCATTTTCCACTACATGGTGTACGGAAATGTCCTACTCACACTCGTAGTCTGTTAATTCGAATATTCGCCATTCTAATGAAGGTTAATTGACAGCTGTCAAACTAGAGTATACGCTGACCATCATCACCTGAGTGGATCGCGGGCTCATGTTACTATCTATTGAGGTCACGTAGTGTTTAAAGTTTTGCGCAGATATTTTATTTGATCACGGGCTCAATTCGAAGCCCCATAGCTTTATAGAAAATCTATCCATCCTAGAAAATTCGGCAATCACGTGACCGTACACCGACCACCCGACCCTCCGTCCGTCCGCACCACAGGCATACCAATGTTTAATCTCACACTTTCTAGCTAGTTTGGGAGCCTGCAACCCGATATTGTACATCCATGTTTTGATTAATTGACAGCTGTCAAAACAGTGTTTCTGCTGACCAGTATCGCCTGACCGTATCGCGGGCTCAGGTATCGACCCTCTGAGCTCGAGTAATATTTTGAAGGTATTCGCTGACAAGTTGCTACTTTTCAAATGATCGCAGGCTCAAGTTCAATTTTTTTAAAATGCATATGAAATAAGTCGTGTTTCATGAGCCGCATTTTTAAAATGTTGATTTCGAACTGATCTCGGACACGAAAATTCAACCGGCTTTTACATTTACATGCAGGGAAGGTAATCGCTTTTGACTTTTCTCACTGTCACACGTTGATCACGCTCTAGGTCCAATTTTAATGTTCTGATTGGTCAAAATTTGACAGGTGAGTTTATGCGGAAAATTTTTGCAGCGTCTGGAAACTTGCTTACTGATAGCTGGAGCTGAGAGAGTTTTGTGTCATGTTGTGATGTTTTAAACTGTCTTTTTCTACTTGGTGTACAAAATGAAATACAGCTGCTATCAAGATTGTTCTGTAATTCGTGGCTGGTTTGTTTATTGCGCTTTTTGTTGACAAATGCACCGCTTGTCAAAGTCATTGGAAATCCGATTTCGGATGGCATCGTTTTCAAAAATGAGCTTACTCACTTGCCTTTGCTTGAGGCGTAAGAAGGTTGAAAAGTCTCAAGCGATTCTGGAACACTTGATGACCTTCAGAAGCAGCATCTCGACTGGTAAGGTTGAGCCATTATTGTTTTTTTATGTTTTTTTTTTCGGTTTCCTGAAGTCGAGCGTATGGTTTATGCGGCTTAAGTTAAAACACGAGCAATGATCTAACTACAATAGTATCAGGTTTAAAAAGCCTTTAGACATTTTTTGACCAGCAAATTCAAAGAAAAGGTTCCGAAGATTATTTAGTTATGATTTTGGCTGTAAACAGAAAGTTCTGAGCGATTTTCTTGCCTCGAGTTCATCTTGAAAAAGAGCGAACACCGGGAAGCCGGCTTAAAACATAAATAAGCTTATGCTTGCCTGACTCATGATTTTCTGAGACACTTTACTCTCAATACTTCTCTTCGTGAATGAAAATTATTGCCTCTGTACATGTTTCACCGAATTAAACTTATTTTATTGATTTTTAGTAGTCCCTCTCGCAATTTTCATTGCTGCACCGGTTGTTTCCAGTCGAACATAAACATCGCATGTAGGAATACTCAAAACGCCGCGCGTAAATATCACTCGCTTTTAAAGATTACACAACAAAATCATACACAGTTTCATGAATAAAGGGAAATAAAACCTAAACATAACAATTTCTCTATCATGTTGAAGCGTAAATGGTAACTCTATTAATCGCACTGCAAATTTGGTGCCTGTTAAAAGTGAGAACCCCTTCCGGCTGGCCGAAAAGTGATTTTGGGAATTTTTTTTTATCGTTTTCATTAAAAGCCCATAATTATTACCCCGCATATCACATAGGACCAGATTTTTCTAACAGAAAACGTTTTATAATTCAATGCTATAATTTGTTGTGCAATGGAAGCGCGTGCTTTGATCGTCGTGGATATTGAATGAGTGCAAATTCTCTTGCAAAATTGTGAAAAACTGCAGAATTTAATATAAGTTTAAATAGGGCAAAAAAGAACAAATTCTGTCTGAGGTCTGTGTACTGTTTACCTGAGACGTGATGAGAAAAAGTATGTTTAAAAGGCTGGTTTACACGCCACCAGATTCGTCGCCAAGATTTACTAGTAAACTAAACTTGTCGAACACAAAAAATCCGGCCTGATTTTTATTTTGGCCTTTCTTTTAGACAGAGGAATGCAACGTGTAAATTGGCTGCCACCAAGGACTATCGTGGCGCATGTGTTTTTAAAATTATATTTCGCGGTTGTCCAATTATCCATAGTCTCTCTAACGGAGCAATGTTGGAGAGACTGGTGAATGCCACATTATGATGCTACAGCTAATGCAAATACAATACACGAATAGGTCTATTTGTTTTCCAGGCCTAATCTACTGTGATCGAACATGATTGCTATTTTTCGGTGTACAAATAACTTGATGTAAAATTTGTTTCACTCTTGGACGGTCGAATTCTGATTTTTCTCTAAAATCACTCAGCCTTTGCCTCAAAAGTCAAATGAATGTGCCCTGATCTGTGGATTACAAGTTTATTGTTTGTTTTAAATTATGAATTTATTAACGGGAGCTTCGCTTTTAGCCCTGGCTAAATCTATATATTATTCATATTGATAAAAGCGTTTGATTTTGATTTCTCAATATTGCAAACCCATCAGGTTTTGCACCCCCTTCTCCCTCGCCCTCCCCATTGAACGCATCTCCCTTAATTTGCAATTTGCAAAACCGTAACGGATCTATCTCAAGCAAATTTTGCCAAAAGTGCGACTTACCTAATTCATCACTGGCACTGACTCAGAAATTGAGCCATATTCCAATCCCTGAGATGCAGAAGTCCATAAAATTCCAGTAAATGTGCTTTAGAAACTGCTGGTATGCGGCTATTTTTGAATCCCATGTTACCAATCCGAAGCTCAAAACAGGTGAAACTGTGTCACGTTTCGAGCTAAATACTGTAGCTCGGTAAAACAACCGTCCAGAGGTGAAAGTTTGCTCGAGAATCAGAAAATCAGCCAGGCAGGTTTCAGCTCTAAAACCTCGAATAAACCTTCTATTCAACCGGCTCTGCAAGGTCAAATGCAGGTTGACACGTAAACCGGAAACGTCGAACCCAGAAATAAGGAAGACCGAAAATGCGGAAATCCGGATCATTTACACCTGCCTGTAACTGCGTCATCATGCGTGCATTCTTATATCAAAAGAAAACAATATTTGCCAATGGGTCAATTACACCTTACCACATTAACAGATCACGCCAATATATGTTTACATATCTGGGAGGTTCAAACTTTTTGCAAACAGCTGTATCATCTGTCTGGATTTGTTGAAACGTGGCTAAAGAAATTTCAAGTGCATTTTAACTATTTGACATCTAAGTGGAATGGGAAGCAGTTAAAAGTCACTACCTGAAGCTAAAAAATGACAGCATTGTTGCTGGCAATAGACGGTAAAGTTCTCTCGCAGAAGTAACAGGATTTTGCGATGACATATAAAACAACATTTGAAACGTCCAGAAATTGTAATCTTCTAGTAGGTCAAACCGTGGGGCCCACAGCTCAGTGTCGGCCGAAAACAGATGAAGAATCCACAATCATTGAGCACATAATAGGCTTTCTAATAGAAAATCACCTAAACTAAACGTTCATGAAGTGTTTCTATGCTTGGCACAAAGTATTCTGGTAACACGAGCTCAACCGCACATACCTGAGATTTGTCTGTCAACACTTCCGGTAAATCACACAATAAATGACTTTCGCGACAATCACAACACTTCCGAAAACCACTCATAATACTTCCACACTTAACACGGGGGAAACATCGTCAAAATACTCCGTAAAACTCTCGCTTTCTCCACATAAATCGTCACATGGAACTTTTCTCGACTCACTGACTATTTATTTATTCATGATCCCGGATGTAAACCAGCGGTTGAAATGGAGACATACAGCCCCCGCCTTCCACATAATTTTTTACTAAGTCTTTGTCCTGGTCAGAAATCAGCATGAATTTCCATCTTGCCGAATAGATTTCAACCCTAGAACCTACTTTGTGCGGCCAAAGACTTGTTACTGCCAACAACAAAGATCGCAATATCCCATGTCTCAAGCCCGGGATCAGTCTTTCACCCGTGTAGCCCGAAATGAGACGAAATACTAGAGGATATTGGACCCAGTAGATTTTGCCAGGCGTGAGAATGGTTTCTTCATAAGGCTTTAATGATGCCTTCCGGAAAACTTTGCTCAAGGCAGCCAAAAAAACTCTAAGACAACCCACTATGAGAGCCGAGTTCAGTCTAATACGCGCGCTGATTTCAAACTGACATACAGAGAGAATCATGGGAAGTTATGAAAAACATTTTGTTTTGAGGGGGGGGGGAGGGGGGGAATATGTTAATAGCCAGTGAGAAACCCATCAAAGTCTATCTACTGTGGCCTCTCCGGTACAGATTAAATAAATAAAAAGTAACTATCAAAAAAAAAAAAAAACATGCTCCACTACATTGACTCAGTCAGAGGGTATATAAGAGAGATTTCTGTAGCCATGTTTTTGCAAATCCAGACAGATATATATACACTTGAATGACAAAAAGATCTGCAACTATATAATTATATATGTATATCTGTGTAGATTTCATACAAGGTGCCTGTACTGCAACTACTCACCCTCCCCACCCAAGAAGCTTCTGACTAGTCAATCACTTCCCCCAAGCTCTGCTAGTAGTGTTATGATTATGAGTCACAGCATTGATTTGGCTGGGCTAGCCCACAGGAAAAATTCTCTGACTTTGCACCGCTTTCTGACATGAAACTCTAGTCAAAGTGACAAAATTTCCCCTCCCTACCCTCCTGGTTTACACACAAAACAAGTCAGCCACCCACCCACGGATAGGTCTGGGCCTAGGCTCTCTGCTGACACCTAGCAAGACGGCAAGCCCCCTGTTTTTTGTTTTTTTTTTTCGGCTACACTGGCTTGCACACGGGCGATGCCCGTGTTCAAGCGAAAACTTAGCGGGCACCTTTTAGCAAAATCACACAGAAAATAGCCTGAATATCTCTAGCCCAAGTACAATCTCTTAGCTTCTGAAAACATTTGCTAGCCCGGGGAGTAGCAATTGCATTCCCGGGCAATAAATTCACCACCGGGCTTAGATAAGCATTTAATATCTGTGTGGATTTCATACAAGGTGCCTGTACTGAGTCTTTAGACAGCCAAGTCAAAGGAGAAACTACTCACCCTTCTCACCCATGAAGCTTACGACTAGTCAATCACTTCCCCTAAGCTCAGCTAGTAGTGTTATGATTATGAGCCACAGCATTGATTTGATGGGCGATGCCCGTGTTCAAGCGAAAACGTAGCGGGCACCTTTTAGCAAACTCACACAAAAAACAGCCAGGATATCTCTAGCCCAAGCTCAATCATTTAGCTTGTGACAACATTTGCTAGCCCGGGGAGTAGCAATTGCATTCCCGGGCAATAAATTCACCACCGGGCTTAGATAAGCACTTTTAGTCCAAGGAGAAACCACTTACCTCTGGGCTAGCCCACAGGAAAAATTCTCTTACTTTGCACTGCTTTCTGACATGAAACTCGAATCAAAGTGACAAAACCTCCCCTCCCTACCCCGCTGGTTTTCACACAAAACAAGTCCGCCACCCCCTTACGGATAGGTCTGGGCCTGGGCTCTCAGCTGACACCTAGCAAGACGGCAAGCCGCCTGGTTTTTTCCGGCTACACTGGCTTGGACACGGGCGATGCCCTTGTTCAAGCGAAAACTTAACGGGCACCTTTTAGCAAAATCACACAGATATATCCCCCCATCACATTTGATGTGCCCACGATGTTGTCATTCAGCAGATGCACGCCTGAGCACGTAAATTGCCCTCCTGTTCGGTGTGAATTAACTGTTCACCTACATTCCTAGACAAAAAATGATTGGGCGTTAACGACGCTCACAACGCTTGCTGATTAATGGTTGAGTGGCCTATAAATAAGCAAACTCTCCGCGCCTGTGGCAACTGTGATTAGTTCTTCGTCAGTGACATCACTGCCACCAGGAGCCGCCTGCTGCTACCTACACCTACATACAAATTTCAGGGCTCGACGCTGCGACCTGTGGGGTCGCCAATGCGACCAGCTTTTACTCAATGACGACTACATTTTCACGCCTGGTCGTCAGCCTGGCTGCCAAGATAGGTTACTTTCTTCTTTGGGAAAACGTACACTAATGATAATTTGTTATCCTTTACAAAACTAACGGATAGTTAACGGTTTTTCTAACGTTTTGCCGAGACGCTATTACGGTTTGTCTAAACGTTTTAACGATTTGTCTAAATACTTTAACGATTTCTTCCAACACTCTAACGGATTGTTTTTATGATCTAACAGTTGTTAAGTCTAACATTTGACTTTTACTTGAAAGAGGATTGTGAAAATCACAAGTGATAAATTCGACAGAAGTCTTATCGACTTTAATCGATCGCAATTCTCAACAGGTTGTCCTGTGTTTCTCCGGGAATGACTTCTAGCGCATCGATTTAAAACAGTTTCTTTATGTCGGACATGTATCTCGATTGCGGACTCGATTGCAGATTAGTCTGATAAGAGCTTAAGCTATATAATCGAGAACGAACGGTGCTTATGTCTCAAGCTTCTTTTAAACAACTTTATGCAAATTTCTGTTGAGCGTGACGACCCAAATAAAAGCTCTGCCATATTTTATTGACTTCTAATGAAGTACCGTTGAACTCATGCTGTTTGTCTAACAGACTTCTCGCGAAATCAACTTCTTTGCCCGAAAACATTAGCGACGTTTCCTCTTTCTGGAGACTTTCGATCACGTGCTAAGCAACCGCGAAATAGATCAAGTTTCACCGATGTTCATTTCTGAACATGCAAATACATGGGACGCAAAACAAATTTTGCAGATTTTGTTCTTTAATAACCCAAATAATTTTGTTTTGTGATTCCTAAAGTTTGTTTGTCTAAATGTGCATTCCATTGCTTGAACAGCTGTTGGAGGAGATTTACGCTTGAGTGTGGGTTCATTTTCCCGAACACCGGCTGGTAATCGAGCCTCGAGCGAAAACCGTTCGAAAGAAATTTCAAAGGAAGGCTGAAGCATTCTTTCTCTGTTAAGGCTAAGCAAAAGATGTTAAGTTTATTGTATTCTATTAGTTCTTAAATATAATTTTTGGCGACTAGAATACTTTTTCTGGCGACCAATGACTTGAAAGCCAGCTGGCCGCAACATTTTTTTCTGAAAGTCGAGCACTGAATTTTCTTCTTAGTTGCTTTAAACACCATGCCATGTGCCTCGTCAATATAAGGAGTACCCAGAAAGGAGGGATTAAAATAACACTCGATTTCCCTCCATGGAGTCTTTCGGTGAGTGCAGTTTTTCTGGCGACCAAACAACTTGAAAGCCAGCTGACCCCAACATTTTTTTCTGAAAGTCGAGCACCGAATTTTCTTGTTAGTAGCTTTAAACACCATGCCATGTGCCTCGTCAATATAAGGAGCACCCAGAAGGGAGGGGTTAAAATAACACTCGATTTCCCTCCATGGAGTCTTTCAGCGAATCATTTCGTTCGTTTGCCGATCCACAAGTTCTTTACTGGTTCATTGAATGTTACAACGAAGTCGTTCCATTAATCGTGAACAATTTTTTGAGTTTCTTACTCGATTTAACATTTGAAATGCCCGACAAATGAACAGTTTTTCTTCCTGTCGGATCTGTTTTATCTCATTTCCCCCACAGGTCACTAGAATTCCTCAACAGTTTCAGAACGCGGACGGGTGTGAGCTCTGTCGTGTTTGTTTGGTTTTTCTCGCGGTCGACATCCCTCGAGACTGTTTACCCATTTGGCTATTTCGTTTTCGGACAGCGCACCGACTGCGAAGTTTTCGAAAGTAAAAGCTATAACGAGACGGTTGCTGAAAGCTTTAATGGAATCGCTTCTTAAGATTTTCTACTATTTGCCAACGTTTAACACGGAAAAAATTAGAAGTCTACGCTGAGGATTCATCAATTACAGCGGCGACAAATCTATCAGTTAGGAAAGTTTTTAATTTTTTAAAACATGACGAGAGACAAGCTAAGTCAGTATTCCTTCCCTTTCTTTTTAGGGCCAGTATGTGTAGTTTCTATCGCCGGACCGTACAGAAAAGGAAAGTCATATGTCTTAAGCGAGGTGTTTAGTCAACCAGAAGTATTCCCTCTTGGACATCATCTCAGACCTGAAACCTTGGGAATATGGCTTTGGATTGTACCAGAAGTATTTAAGGTTAATTGTTATTCTAGTAATGATATTGAATAAATACCATACATACAGGAAAAAAAAAGCCGTTTTGGAGTGTCTGTAATAGATTTATACTGTAAAGTGTGGCAATGTCTAGTTTTATAAAGCTCGAAATGTTAATTTTCTTAAAATGGTATTTATTAAATTACAGTAAATTGATACAATGCATTCTAGGTACTGAATAAAGAATTATACCGAACCAGTTTTAGTTGATAATTTCTCGATGATGCGTTCATTCAAGACGGACTTTCGTCAAACAGCGCTCCAAGATTCTTGTTGTTGTTGTTGTTGTTGTTGTTGTTCTTGTTCTTCTTCTTCTTCTTCTTTATTGTTGTTGTTACTGTTATTGTTATAATAATTCAGTGTTATTTTAATTATATTTTTATTATTACGATAGTCTCCATAAAAGACAGATGAAAATTAATTCGTTCTATATTTTATAGGATTCCACTGGCCAGGAATTCAAGGTAGTACTACTTGATTCCGAGGGAATTGACTCTGTTACTTGTGAAGGTTATGATGACACCCAGATTTTCACTTTGACGGTTTTACTGGCTTCGGTTTTAATATACAACTCACAAGGTGTTCCTACGCGGACAGATCTTGAAGGGCTAAAGTATCCTCTTAATTATATATATATATTTTTTTAATTTTTTGTATTAATTTCCATTGCATTGGGCTAAAAAAAATCATGTGCTTTGATATTTCAGTTAACTTAAAAACGC